CTTCAGGGAGCTCAGGCTTGTCAACACACAGATGTTTCCTCCCCAGGATCCCTCTTTGAAGGAGAATGGGGATTTCCTGCAGTTTGAAAATGGGAAGTCATTTTCCTCTATTGAGCAAGGCAGAACTTGCCTCAGGGTCAAGTCATCATGGATTGAGCTGATGTGTGTTACTCCCTGTTACCCCACTTTGCTGCATAAAACTCTCTTTGGCTTTTTTCCACCACTGGAACAGAATCACAATGCCAAGGGCTTTTCCAAAGGAACAGAATGAGTTGTGCTGCTGCTAACTTGATCAAGAAGACGAGGAAAGAAAAGAAAAAGAGACCAGTCAGAAAGTCAGAAGAGGTGGAGTGGGAGAGGCACTCACCACTTCCCTGCTGCCCTGTTCTGAGCTGGCCCAGCCAGACAGAAAGTGTCAGAGCTCTGACAGGCAGCCCCTGGCTGCTGCTCTTCTCCACATGAAGCATCCAGGATGTCTGACCCCGTTGTCCTTCTCTTCAGACATGCTTCCAGACCATCAGTGTACAGCAGCACACAGATGAAACAGTATTTCCTGGTCAGGGTTATGGTTCTCTGGCTCACACAGGTTGTCCTCTTCTTGGCATCCCTGTCCTAGTGCCCATGGATGCAGGGAAGAAGCACAGAGAATGGTCAGGTTTGTGTGCTGTGACCTAAACAGCAAATCCTTCTGTCTCTTGTCAGTGCTGCTCTCCTGGATTAGTGGAGTCAAACCCACAGATCTGTTGTTACTCCACGTGCTTGCCTTTGCTATCTCTCTCTCTCATCTCTCTTTGGTGCTGAAGAGCACCAGTGCCCTTTCTGCATTTGCTGCTCATTTCTGTTTCCTCTCTGCTGTGCATTTATCAGGAGAATTCCATCCCTGTGTTTCTGCAGGCAGCAGACAAAAACCATCCTTGTAACATAGAACCAGACCTGTTGGGTGGCTGGCTCTTCATTGTGCCCCATTGTTCCGTGTTCTACACGGAATTCTGATCCTAGGAAATCTCATGGGAGAGAAGTGCTTGTGCTGTTGGATTTTAATGTTTTGTGAGACACTTTGATCCCTTTTCCAGCCATCCACTACAGATGGAGGAGGATTTCACTGGGGTCACACGTTCGCTGCTCACATTGTTCAGGTTTCCTGTTTCCTCGAGCATGTGCTGCAGACATCCTTTCTGTGTCCAGATTTGCCTGTCCACCACCATGGTGACAGCAGCTGGTGACACTTCCAGCAGTGACAGCGAGGGGAGTGGCCTGAACGTTTCTGAGCTCAAAGGGGCTGTGGGAGTTGGAAGGTTTAGAAAGCAGAAGGGACTGCAAGCCCACCCAGCCTGAGCTGGGGCAGGGCTGTCAGGCTCCTGGCTTTTTCTCTTTATTGGAATACAGTAGAACTTCTAGAAAGAGGCACTTAATCTTGATGGAGGAACCACAAGATGTGCACAGCTCCCTGGTAAGCCTTGATATTTATCCTCATGATTGGCAGATTCTTTTCAAGCTGAGCTTTTCTTCAGCTTCCAGTCCCTGCCTGCTGCTCTCTCTTTGTTGGTTTGCAATGCTCTCTGCTGACACCTCTCCTCTCCAAACAGACATCCTCTGTTGTGATTTACTGTTCTCAGAAATTATCCTGGCAATAATTCCCCTAAAACAAGAACAAGAAATCAAAGGAACAGTCCAGTCTTGCTGGATCTAAGGAAGAGGAGCATCTACACATGGGTACCTCTAAGCACTTTCCTGGTTCCATGTGGCTGGGAACAGGGGTGTCCTGGTGGGAGCTGGCTTTGGGAGAGCTCTGAAGCCTGCCTGTGGCTGCTGTGCCAGATGTGGAGCTGTGCCAGATGTGGAGCTGGCCTCTTGGAACACTGTCTGCCAGTTGCCTGTGCATTCCCATGGCCCTGTCCTTGCTGTGTCCCAGCAGCAGGTTTGCCTGTCATCACGTGCCACAGTAACCAAAACTGCTCCCACAGAGGTGTGCAAACATGGTCCTGGTTTAGCTGTGCTGATGAAAGAAGAAGGGACTGCAGATGGCCAGGCTGGAACAGGGTTGTGTCTGCTGAGAAAAATAGAGCAAGAAGATCTCTCCTTTTCCTCAGATCTCCTGTTTTGGCAGAAAAAGGACAATGTGCTACCCATGATGGCCTCTCTGGCACTCATTTCTGAAAGGATGGCTTGCTGAGTGTCCCTGAACTAGGAGGTACTTAATCTGTGGTGCATCATAATGCCCAGGCCCATGTGCATCTGTCCCAGATCTCATCATCCCACACTATCTGTGCCAGAGCATCCTGGGCTCCTGCATGAGGAGAATATGGCTCGTAGTGACATTCCCACACTGTCTGTGCCAGAGCATCCTGGGCTCCTGCATGAGGAGAATAGGGCTCGTAGTGACATGGCAAGGGGCAATGGCTTCAAACTGAGAGAGAGCAGGTTGAGATTAGGACATCGTAGTGACATGGCAAGGGGCAATGGCTTCAAACTGAGAGAGAGTAGGTTGAGATTAGGACATGAATAAGAAATTCTTTACTGTGGGGGTGGTAAGGCCCTGGCACAGGGTGCCCAGAGAAGCTGTGGCTGCCCCTGGATCCCTGGAAGTGTCCCAGACCAGGTTGGACAGGGCTTGGAGCTTGGGAAGTGGAAGGTGCCCCTACCCATGGCAGGGGGGATGAATGAGATGATCTTTAAGGTCCCTTCCAATCCAAACCAGTTGGTGATTCTGTGAGGGCAGAGTGGTGAGGAAACCTGTATGAAGTTTTGTTTCTTCTTCGGTTCCTCCCCTATGTCATTTTCCGTTCCTCTTTCCCCCTAAAGCTGCTGTAGGAGTTGGAGTCCAAGTGTTGTTGGGAGGGAATTACACTGGGACCAGTTAGGGGCTCTAACACAGCAGTGGTCCCAGCATTCAGTGGATCTTCCTCTGCAGTCTCCATGGATGAGTCCTGCCTAACAGTGAGCTGAGTCAAATTCCTGTCTAAAACAAAGGGAAGGGATCCACACATACTCCATGCTGTCTTGGTTTCAGCTGAGCTGCAGGTAGTTTTCTTCCTAGCAGCTGGTACAGTGCTGAGTTTGGATTCAGTACGAGGATAATGTTGATAACACCCTGATGTTTTAGTTGGTGCTCAGCAGTGCTCACTCTAAATGGAGGACTCATCAGTGTCCTGTGCTGTGCCAGCAGGGAGCTGCAGAAGGAGCCAGGAGGGAGCAGGGCCAGGACAGCTGACCCACACTGTCCAAAGGATATTCCACACCACAGAATGTCATAAACTAGGGCTGAATTGGCTAGGAGGGGCTGAATGCTGCTCAGGGAAGGGCTGGGTATGGGTGTTCAGTTGTACTGTGCATCACTTGTCTTTCTTGGGTTTTATTCCTCTCTGGTTTTGTTTCCTCCTGTTTCTTTGTTATTATTATCATTATCATTATTATTATCATTATCTTTTACTTTATTTCAGTGATTAAACTGTTCTTCTCTCACGAATTTTACTTTTTTTTTTCTGATTCTCCTCCCTATCCCAGGGGTGGGAGGCAGGGAGTGGGTGGCTGTGTAGTGCTGAGTTGCTGGCTGGAGTTAAACCACAATGCACGCACATAAAAGCAAACTGTTTCCCCATTGTTTGCAAGAACTTCAGCATTTGGCAGTGCTGAGATTCCCTCTTGACTGTCATTGACAGACACTGCTGTGCTCACAGCAATTCTTGAGATTGGCAAAATCAGAAGCCAAGATAGAAGTATTAGTAACTAAAAAACAGAATTAGCACTGCAAAACACAATGCTTGTATGCTTTTTGAAGGGATGCACATTTTGGCAGGGACTGAAACACTGGATTAACTTTGCTTTTTATACTGTTTCCATCCAACATTTGCTGGTGTTTACTGTATACCATCCCCATCTGCCTCTTGCCATAGCCTTTGTTTAAGAACACAGCCATGGCACTCACCTGTGAAAGACCTCTGCTCTTCCTGCAGTCCAGCAGAGACACATGAAGCACACTGAAAATGTGCCTGAAAGGATGTTGGGGCAATTCAGAGCTTCCCTTAAGCAAACAGCTAAGCCTTGCAGGACTCTGGTGCTGACTGTGCAAAGTGGAGGAACACCATGGGCACCCAAAGGGATCTGAGCGTGGCACATGGAATCGCTGTGGGATCAAATTAAGGAGAAGGGGTAGTGGGAATGGAGGGACTCCAGTTCCTGAAGAGAAAGGTGTTGGGTACAGAAACGGTGAGCGTGCAGCAAACGTGTGAAATCTGGATCTTCTGAAACAGAACGCAGGGCTGGATTACCCCAGATTCCTCTTTATGAGGTTTTCATGCACAGCAGAGATTGTCTGGTGTGTCTTTGTTATTTTCAAGGCCAGATATCTATGAAGGGAATATGAGGGAGCCAACCTGCTGCTGTATCCTTCCGGAGCTGCTACACTCCCACACTGCACAGTTTACTCTTCTTCAGTGTGCTTTTGCAAACAGTAACAGGGCACCAATAATCCCATGGTGGAGGAGCTGTCCTGGGATTTGTTCCAGTACTCTGTGCCATCCAGTGGAGTTTACTGGGAGAGAGTCTGGTTTTGTGCTTCAGGTGGTGGTGCCCCTGTAAAATAAATTGTGACAGCACCTCCATGATCAGTGCTTTGACCCACTGGTATCTCCATGGGAAGGTAAAGGAGGGCCAGATGCCTGCCTCTCTTTCTCAGACATTTGATCATTTCATGCTTTGCATTTTTCTGCTCAACCTGAGTCATTTTCTTGGAGAGCTCCACGTGCTCTTGGGACATTAAATACAGAGGGGTTCATTTCTGTCCCAAAGGGTGATTTCTCCAGGGCAATGTTGCTTCCTGTTCTGGATGAAGCTTGCACAGATGAAGGGAGAAATGGACTGAAATTCTTTGGGTATATTAGCATCTGCAGAATGCCAAACCACATCATTTCCTTCCAGCTGTGTGTCTGGTTAGACTTTACATTATCTAGATATTGACTTAATAAGTTTTATGGTTTTTTTTGTTTTTTTTTTTTTCTTAGCAGAAACCCCGAAAGGCAACTCCTCAGCCAGGAGAGGACACCTTGAATGGCCACCTTCCCCCTGGCTGGCAGAGCTACATGTCCCCCCAGGGTCGCAGGTACTACGTGAACACCTTCACAAATGGTAAGTGGGGGTGGCTTTCCAGTGCATGTTTCATCATACCAGCACAGATCTGTTTCAGGAAATCATCTTGATAGTTGATTTTGATAACAAAAGTAGCTGCAGAGCCAAAGTAATTCATATGATCCTGACACCATACCTGAAAGAAAATACAAGAAGATTATAATACTCTGTCAACTTAATTCTGATCATCAGAAGACATCTGAAACATTGACAAAAGACAGAGAATGTAAAACAGAAATGTCCCTGTCATAAATGTTTTAGAATATGAAACACTGTTAAAGATATAGCTGTTACCACATTCCCTGTTTCCTTTGCCTGGAGATATTTATGTCTCTATATACACATACATGTAAAGTAGTTTGCTAAAACATCAGATAACACTAAAGCACCATTGGGGAAAACAGAAACAGAGTTCACACTCAGCTTTTCCATGGAGACAAGGAAAGAAAAAACACATGTAATGGGACAACACAGACAAAGCTTTCAGTCTGTATTTGTGAGTTCTATTCCCTGTCATGTTGAGAAGCTGACAACTCATGATCTTATCACCTGCTCAAGACCTGTCAAACTTGTACCACCTCCAGTTTACCTGAGACTCTGTGTCGACCTGCTCTTCTCATCATGAGCTCACAGCAGCATTGCAAAACAGGGTCTTGTGACCAGCAAATCCACATTTCTGTAGCAAAGAGAATGCCAGAGTGACATGAAGGAGAGGACAGCAGGAGCTAATCTTGTTCACAGGGAAGTTGCAGCCATCAGGGGTGACCTCTGGCATTCCTTTACTCACAAAGGAGAGCCACGGGCACCTCATGGTCTGTTCAGGGGCTGATGTGTTTTATTTCAGAAGCTTTTAGCCCAGAACTTTGCTAAGTCATTGTTTACTGGAGTTTGATGCACTCACATCTTACAGGACTTTTCCTCCAGAAAGTTCATTTCCATTTGACCCTGTCTCCATTTCCAACCACGGTTTGCTCTGGCTGGTGGGCAGCATCCCCTGCACAGCTGGGGAGAGCAGCAGGAGTTAGATACCCCATTCCCACGGCTATTCAGATGTGGGGAGGAGGTAATTATACTCAGTTCTGAGCCATCACTGGGATGGAATCACTGGGTTGAGGCCAGGTAGAACCAGTAAGAGGCAGAGCTTGTTTCTCTTGTGATAAGAGTTCTTGTCAGAGAGACCCTGCCTCAGAAACGGGGGGGACTGGGACTAAATTTCTCCATAATGTCAGGCAGTTTTGTACTTCCCTCACAAAAGTTACAAGTAATATAACAAAGGCCAGTTGCCATATGCTGCTTGGGAGCTCAGGCCAGAAATCTGGAGATTTCTGATTCCTCTAGGAAGGGAGGATAACTTTGGCACAGGCTGACCAGGGAGGCGGGGGAATCTCCGTCCTTGGAAAATCTCAGAAACTGCCTGGACAGAGCTGTGGCTGATCTGTTGTTAGCAGTGATCCTGCTCTGAGTAGCTGGGCTGGAGACTTCCAGAGGTCACTTCCATCCAGTCTTTCTCAGCAGAATGCCCAAACCACTTGTGGTTGTGCTCTCAAGCGTTACAGTGTTGTGTGGTTCTCAAAATAACAGCTTGTAAGAGAGGGTGGAAGTGGGGTTTCTGTGTTCTGAACCTTGCTTTAGGGATCACTTAGTCAAGTTCTGTTTAGATGAGACTAATCCTAAGCCCAGTGAAGCACTTCCATCATTGAAAGGCTCTGGTGAGAGGAGGTTTGGGCCTTCTTGTGGGGTGGGATTGTGGCTAAATATTTACCCAGCACACAGGCAGGGTCTGTGGGTAGAGGACCTGTGTGAAGGAAGGCATTTCACTGATGGGAAAACAGGTCTTAAAAGCAACAAAGGCAGTTTGAAAGCTGACTAAAAGGAAAACAAAGCAGGGACCATAGTTAAATTACAATGAGCTGCTGCAAAACTGTTTGCCAGCTCATCCTCAGAGCATGGTCATCAATGGTCCCTTGTCCTGGGGGAGTTTGTGCTGAAGGGAGTCCTGCAGTGATCTGCCCGAGAATCCATTCTAGGCAGTATTTCCAGCGATGAATGGCATGCTGACATTGAGAGCACTTATTCAAAAAATAACTTTTAACTGGAGCTGGGAGGGAACACGGTGTTCCCTCCTGCACAGAACAGGCTCAGAATTCACAATCACCCTGGAATAGGGGGATGCTGTTCAGTAAAGATGCATTTAAGATCAGAGATTTCATCAGAAATAATTAAGTGGCAAAGACAGGCAATGGAACAGTTTACAGATGAAGACATTGGGGCTCTGGAGAATCTGAAGTTGAGTGAGAGCCAGCAGTGTTGTGCTAGTACAAACCAGCCAGCATTTTCCATTGTATAAATAGGAGTGTTGTCTGTGAGGCATGAAGTAAGCCTCCAACTTTACAAGGAAATTATAATGCCTCAGCTGGAATATTTTATCTTGTTTGGACTCTACACTTCAGGAAATATGTGAGTCAGCTGGATAAAGCCCAGAAGAGAGTAGCAAAAGTGATGGAAGATGTGGAAAACATAGCCTGTGGGTAAATGCTGAGAGATTGGGGATGTCTGCCCTTAGAAAGCAAAGATGTGGGCAGGGTCATGAAAGTAGCCTTAAAGTGCATCAAATGCCATTCAGGAGAAGGCTGTTTGCAATGCCTGCCATCACCAGAAGATTTCCATTTCCATTTCAATTTCCATCTCTAGAACACATCTCAATTACAACCAGGACAGCTAAACCTTCCAAGCTCTGTTGGAAGTGAAGTGTGGGAGTACAGAGTTGCCTGGGAGTCTGTATCACCAGAGCAGGTTATGCAAAACCATGAAAATTCATGGTTGGCCTTTCCTGGGGTAGAGCAGGGGCAGTATGACTTCCTGAAATCCCTGTCAGTCCTGCTTGTTTCAGTCTGTAAAGCCTAAACTACATGAAAAATATTTATCAATGTAGAAACTGACAAATGCCTTCAATGGAAGTTGTTCTTTATTTGGTGTCTTGGTATTTCCCCAGTCTTTACAATAATCACATGTAAGCAGGCTGTTGTCACTTATCTTCTGGTTTGCTTTTTCTGGTTATCTGAGTCAAAGAATCTTAATATGAATTCAGAGGGACATTTCATTTTCAGCTGTGCTGAATCTCCCCGCTGTGTTTTGGGTCAGCTCCTGCCCCTCGTGGACTGTCCTGGCCCTGAACTCTCCAGGGAAATTCAGGATCAGGCAGGAATGTCACCAGGCAGCAGCAGGGGGTGGGCTCCACACCACAGCATCTGCTGGGACGGGTGCACGGCTGGGAGCAAGGGGGGCACAGCCTCTGAGGAAGGTGATCTAAGTACGAGATTTGGTGTGGTGGAGCTCTGTGCTGCTCCCCACATGAGCCCTGTGTGTAGTTCTGTGCCCTCCTCCTGAAGACAAGAGGTGTTGGGTGACCTGTCTGTGCAATGGTTCATCTTTCTGACCGTGCCTGCTGGTGCAGAAGCCTTTTTTTGGGTTAAATTGTTTTGTTGCTCTCAGTGCTTGAACAATTCAGAAGTGGTAACACAAGTATCCACTCGCATTCCTGGGGAGGGGAAGTGGGATTTTAGGGTCAAGTAAAAGCATGATTCTTCTGAGCCTTCAAAATACAGCAGACACCTCCCTTCTTGTGAGGCATTACTATTATTGTCACCATTGTTTTCAGTGGTTAATGTCCTTCCACACTGGGATTATCTGCCTTTGTTGTACATCTTGACCCTGAGACGAGCTCAGTGGTCAGAGCAGGGTGCTAATAATGCCAGGGTTGTGGCTTTGATCCCCATATGGGCCATTCACCTAAAAGTCTGACTCCATGATCCTTCTGGGTCCCTTCCAACTCAGATTATTTTATGATTTTGTGATCTTATCTGACTGTAACAGTATTTCCACCATGTGTTGTTGTGTGGTCTAATTTTAATTGTCTTTACAGGAAAAAAAACAAACCATGAGGAATTGGTTCTTAACTAGAAAGAAACATATATATATATATATATATATATATATATATATATAATGTAAAAAATAGAAATAGAATATCCATGAGACAGTGTTCTTATGTGGAAGAAAAATGTTAGGAAAATCAGTAATGAAGGAATTGGGGTGACCCTGGAAGAAACAGTTGTGCAGAGGTGACAAACAGCACATTCCTGTCTGTCTCCACTCGATATCCCACCAGATGACCACTCCACATTTATCATCCTTTGAAGCAGGTTCAATACTGAAAGCATTTTAAGGGCCTCTGAGCTGGACATGATCTGCACAGTGAAACAAAAGACAGTTTCAGTGCACCCAAGGTTTTCTGAGCATGGCTTTGTCACAGGAGACTTGAGTCTGCACCAGTGACATTGCATCTGGCATCTGCCTTGTGCAACATCCAGAGCCATCCCTGCTTGCCCTGGCAGAGCACAAGACAAGAGTGCCCAGAATGCACAGCCACTACGTGGTTAATGAGTTACTCAGTGTCTGTAGGAGGGGTTTTCAATTGTGTGTGGGTGGTAGATTCAGCAAGAAAATATTTCATTATGCTGAAGAAATTCTCTGATGGGCTGCAGCTGCAATACCTCTTGCATTAGTCAAACAATAGCACTGCAGCTACCTTGCCCATCACATTAAAGATGACTTATGTACTTGGGACACCGGTGTTTGTGTGGCTTGCTGCCACCTTGCTTTCACAGCTGAGGCCAACTGTATGTGGTGTGTTCTTATTTCCAGCCTTTTCTTGTCTTTTACCTAAAGTCTTTCCCATTTACTAAACAGCATTTTATCTCCTGGAAAGCAGAACTTCTGCTTTCATGTTATCTTGATCCTAATTTAAGTCCATATATTCTTATTATCCCAAGCATCATTGGTGAAATGCCACCTGCAACAGTAAGTGCTGGGGCAGTCCTGAAATGTGTGGCTGAAAGTGGTTATTTTCTTGAAAGGTCTCTGAGTTGAGGGGTTTTATTCATGCCTCACCAGCTATGGTCAGCTCCTACTCCAGCTAAACTTATGAGCTGCAGCTCAAAGAATCAGTCATCTGTGGAGACACCAAAGACATGTCAAGCATTTTTATTACATGTTTTTTCTCAAACAGTTTAAACGTTTCAGTGACAATTTCCCTCTGATACAGGATGCTCTAGCTAAAGGGTGGTTATAGGAACCTGCCTAGGTAAATTAGCCTAAAACCTAGAAAAACAAAGCTTGTCTCAGAAAGTGCTGGAAATAGCATTATTATCACTGCTAAGCCTGCAGTGAAGGGCTTGCTTTTGTCACACGGTGTTTGCAAAAGGAGGGGCGTGGTAGATATCCCAGTAATCGTTTTGAAAGGTCAAGTGAGAGCTCTTGTCAGCAGCTTTTCCCTGTGGAGGTGGTGACAAGCACCTCTCCATCCAACATGGACAGAACAATTCAGGAACTCCTGGATGGTGCCTGTCTCCATGGTGTGTCTTTCAAGACTGAGGTCAAAAGCTGTTTGGTAGCCTCAGTCTCTCTTTTATTGAGCTGCCTGTGGGATGGAAGTGGATTTTGGTTCTGACACCACAGCTTCTGCTGGACAAGTTCACGTGCTGCCTGTGCACTTGTGTGCTTGACTCTCACGTTTGATGCAGGTGCAGAGAGATTTGCGTTCAGTCAGTTCAGCTGTCACAGTGTGATCACAAAAATTGTCTGCTTCAGGATATTCTCAAAGGGCTCTTTCTTGACTAACACAGTTCCCAGAGTGTGTGGCTCTCTGACATATCGTGTCATTTCTCATTCTGCCAAACAGAAGTGAACTTGCTTCCCCCAAACACCACAGGTTTCCACTTTTCCTCTGGTAGGAAGTGTTTCACCACTTGTGTGAAAACCCTCTCTGGTTCCGTTGGCCGGTAGAGCTTGGATCTTGGAACTGTTTTTCCTTTTACTACGTCGTTTCAGTTTTAACAAGTGGTTTTCTCCTCAATTCTGACTCAATTCCACAGAACCACGGAATGGTTTGGATGGGAAGGGACCTTGTGCCAGCTCCCAGCAGGGGACACATTCCACTAGACCAGATGGCTCCTAGCCCTGGCCTTGGGTATCTCCCAGGGCTGCAGTACTTGTTTTTGTTCACAGCCCTCCTTCACAGTCAAGAATTGTCTGCAGTTGTCTGCTGGGTCATCTCTCTCAAGGAAACTGCTGGTTATTCCTTCCCCACACTGCCTGGATGCTCTAATTAACATGTGGCTGATCAGGGAGGACAGAACTTCTTGGTGTTGGTCTGCCAGTGCCAAATTGCACCCAGACTACAAGGCTTCAGCTTGACTGGAACATCCTCTGGGGAAAACTGTGTGGGATGTAGAATCCGGGCCAGTATGGAATCTATTCCTAAAGCCATGATCACTGTTCTACCACAGGGTTACAAGTAGCCTTCTGATTTTCCAAGCACCAGGATTGTGCTGGTACTCCCAGGCAAGACTGTGCCTTTGCTGGATCAGACAGTGCATTATCTCTCAGCAAGCCTTCTCTGTGTCTGTGTAAAGAAAGTCATCCCCCCACTCACTTCTAATCCCCACTCTCACTTCTAATCATGACTAAGCTGCAGAGAAATCTGTAATGTCACAGTTTTACCTTGGTAAACGCAGTTGCTTCCAGTAGATGGCATTCCAGCAGTGCAGTCCTGATCCAGATTAGTTCCTGTCCCTGCTTGAGCTGCCAGAATAATCCCTGCACAGAAGTACATTGGTTTTTTTTTCCTCCTAATGCTCAAAATAAATGGAGTTAAAACACTTTTTTTCATTTCCTACCTAATTAAAGATGTTTTTTCTATTTAATGCATTTTATAGCATTGAGGGTTTTTTCTTTATTTTTCAATGTGCTTAACTCCAAAGTCGTTTTATTTTGGAAAATTTGTCAAGAGACTGAGTGTTTTGGATTGGATTCACAAATCTGCTAACCACTGGGCACTGCTCTTTCATGTGTGAATTTTCTGCCCTCAAGTTATGTGTCTGGGTCCTCTGTGTGGCAGAGGGGAAGAATGAGGCACTGCACAGCAGCTCCACAACAGCCAGCAGGCAAAACAGAGACCAGTTACAAGAAGCAGCTGGTGATTTTCACAGAATCACAGAACATTCTGAGCTGGAAGGGGCCCACAAGGATCATCAAGTCCAAATCTTGAGTGAATAGCCCATACAGGGATCAAACCCACAAATTTCATTTATTAGCAGCATGCTCTGGCTCACTGAGCTACGTCTCTTTAACTCTTTAATATATATTTCTATATATTTGGTAGGTTTTTAGGTACATTCCTCTGCAGGGTCTCAGAAATGGTGGAGACAGTTATGCTTGTGTGAAACCCCCAAGGCAAATATGAAAGTAGCTTCCTTTACTGGTAACATCAAAGTCAGTGCTGGCAAAAAACCATTACTTCACTGACTGCACTGGGGCTCAGCATCAGTGGGCATCACAGTCCCTTCCCACAGATCTCAACTCACATTATTAATTAATCAACATTTTAAAATAAAAAAAAAATCTACAAGACACCTGGGTACTGTATTATTTAGCTTTGCCTTACAGTAAATGTAAATTAGAATTTGTCTTTATTTAACCATGCACTTGTGGATTGTAAGCCAAGACAAGCTGACTCATAAAAGACAACTCTTTGCATTTGATTTTGCTTCTGTTTAGTTAAGACACTTCTCAGTGCTTCTTTATTGACCTAGCATGGAATTTATTTACTTACTACCCTGTTCACAAAAACAGGCTAAAATTTAAATATTCCCTCGAGACTCAGCAAAGCTTCTAGTTCAGGTTTTAAACTCGTAATGGAAGAAAAAACTCACAGTATTTTTCTTTGCAGGCAAAAGCATGCTGTGGCTTGGGGAGGGGGTGAGAAGGGAAGGATGGGGAGGGGCAGGACATGTACAGGTGTGGGGAATGGCACCTGCTTCCATTTGGGATCTTTAATCCTGAGTTCTTTCTGAAATAAGGAATTTAACACAACCCTTGAGGACACCTCTGTGCATATATATACACATAGACATCTATGTGCACATAGATACTTATGTGTATATACAGATGGGCATGAATCTATACACAAAAATAGGCTTTTTGTGGTTCTTGAAGCTGTTAACAGCCTGCTTGATGCCCAAATAAGCACTGACCCAGGACAGGAGGCCTTTTGTGCCCTGAGGGAGGTGCTCACTGCCAACCCTAAACTGTTAATCCCCAAGGGCTCTCCTCCATCACTTCTTGACCATGGTCATCCAGAATATTGACACAGGTGCAGGATGTCAGGCTTTGGCAGATTTAGATGGTTGTTGATCAGGAGTTGGGAAATAGCAGTTTCAAATGAAGCAGCCAAAGTGGTCCTCAGACTTGATTACAGTGACTTGCTAATTTTCTTATTGATACAATCTGGCAATCAGTGTTGTTTAGTTGGTTTGGAACTGACATGTGCACTCAAAAGGAATGGTTCCTTGGGCTTTCTGGCTAGACTTCTGTGGAAGTTGCTGCTCTCATCCCATTGTCTTCTGTTCACAACTTCTAAAAAGTTTTGCACTTAAATCTTCTGTCTTCAGCATGTGGTCAAAAGCAATTTTCCATTTGCTGAGAAAATGAGCAGAACAGTTAAACTACAGAGGCAACTGAGGGGGGAAAGCAGCAGCAGTCTTTACAACTGGTGTGACAAACATTTGCATATTCCAGCTGCTTTTTTTTTGAGTGGAAAAAAAGGAATTTTTCAGGGGAATATTTTCTGGGGAGGGAAAAAAAGGTGCTAAGGCTTGTGTATATGTGACTGAAAGCACATCTGTGTGTCACTGACAGCTCCTTTCATGGAGACAGCAGGGGCAGAGGCACTCTGTCCCCAGGCTGAGGACCACGGCTGGCACGTGGCAATGCCCACAGTGGGCTGCAGGCAGTGCCCAGGCTTTCAGTGCACCTGGAAAGGCAGTCAGTGCAGGCCAGGTGAGTGTTCCCAGGCAGTGACCTGGAAGAACCAGTGGTGCAGCTTCCAGTCTGCTCTGTCTCCACCCATCCCAGCTGGCAGCTGTGGCAGGAAGAGATGAGGGGAGAGAGGAAGGGCAGGGAGGTGCAGGCATCTTCCTCACAGGGTGAAAACCTGGTTCAGAGAGAGGACAGTGAGGGTCAGATCCACTGGTTTGTGTGTCATAACTCTGGTATGTGTGCAAAAGCCTCCATCACCCTGACACTGGTGTTTCCCTTCTGCAGAAACGACGTGGGAGCGGCCGAGCAGCGTGCCTGGCACTCCCAAGAGCCCTGTGTCACAGAAGAGTTCTGCAGGTACTGTTTGATGAATCTGGGTGAATCTGCTCCTCTGCCATTCAGCAAAGCAAAGTGCTGTGGTACAGTGGGAGAGAGACTTGATGGACACATAGAATCATAGGATGGTTCAGGTTGGAGGAGACCTTAAAGATCATTTTGTTACACCTGCCTGCCATGGGTAGGAACCCCTTCCACTATCCCAGGTGATGGAATATGCTCCAAGCCCTGTCCAGCCTGGCCTTGGACACTTCCAGGGATCCAGGGGCAGCCACAGCTTCTCTGGGCACCCTGTGCCAGGGCCTTACCACCCTCACAGATTTTCTCTTAATCTCTGATCTCAGTCTGTCCTCCCACAGCTTAAAGCCATTGCCTCTTGTCCTGTCACTGCAGACTCTTGCCTAATGTCCCTTTCTAGCTCTCCCACATCCCTGTCAGACAAATGTCTCCCCAGACCCTTCTCTTCTCCAGCCTACATGCTTGTGAGAGTGTAGCAGAGCAAACATGGTGGGGCTTTCTCTCCTGGCACATCTTCTGGACTGTTGTTTCCCTGCCAGTCCCTCTTCAGTCTGGGTGTCTGAAGTGTCCACTCAGGAGCTGGGATGGCTCCTTCTGGGAGCACAGAGGCAAAGAGGGGCCCAACAAGCACTTCCTCAGTTTGTTTTCTGACAGGGCAGGGAAATCAAAGAGCTGCAGACACACCTGGGCTGGCTGATGCTCTTCCACACAGAGCATGTGCACAGCAAAGAGTTTCAGCATGTGATGGCTACAGGGGTGACCATACATCATAGATATAGATCGTCTCTGTCTTGATCTGAGGTTGCAGGGAAGCAAGTAACAAAGTCAGATATGTAACTGTACTGAAAAGCTCTTGGGTACTGCAGAATGGCAAAGCAAAGCAAAAATTACTCTAGAATAAGAAGTGTTAAATGTAAAGGCCATTGGTGCCAGATGACTGTAAATAAAGCAGGTTAGAAGATGTTTTCCTTAGCAGTTTTTGAACTGATGTCCCTCTTTATTGGCAGAACTGGGTGGGTAGCCTGTGTGAAGATTGTGCATTTCATTGTGACCAAAGGATTTATAATGTAGTTGATTATCTTGTTTCAACGTTACTTTGAGCATTATTCATTGCTCAGTATATTTAAAAAAAAAAAGGCAATTTATAGTTCCATGCAGGAACCAGAAACATCTTACATGGCTTTCTTTCTTAACATGAAAACTCCCTTGGAGCAGTACTTTTAACAGGTGCCCAGCAAGCCACTCTGTCACTCTCCTCCTCAGGTGAATGGGGCTGAAAACTACAACAAAAGGGTTGGGATAAGGGCAGGGAGACATCACTCATTATGGTCATGGGGCAAAACAGACTCCACTCAGGAAAATGTTTAATCTATTACCCATCAAATCACAGTAGGGTAATGAGAAACACAACTAAGCCTTAAAACACTGTGATCTATATCTGCATATTCAGTTATGGGATTAGTTTTTTAATTTGTGCGTATGGGGTTAATTTTAAAATCTTAAATGTCATTGGCTGTCAGCAGCAAGCCTGCTAACTCTGCATTTGTTCTTGCAGTGAATGGCTACTACATCTCTGGGTCCCCAGTACACCAGCTTGACTCAGGTCACATGAGCCTCCGAAAACCCAGTGGGGACCCCCAGGTAAGTTTTGGGAAAAAGCCAAACAGCGGGATCCAAGAATAAATGGGTTTTTACTTAAGTAGTTTAGGAATCCACCCAGAGCAAGAAGTCAAGAGGTCATTTTCTTTTAGAAACTCACAGATCAGACAGATTTGTTGTGTGTAGCATAGTTAGTCTTTGTGTTCAGCTGGTAAAACAGTAAAAAAAGCCAAGATCCTTTGGATTTTTTTGTCCTGTCACTCCTTTCTGAAAAATCCACCAGGCCACTTCAGTCACTATGAACAACCCTATGAATTTTCCTGCCACTCCAGCCTGAACCCTGGGCCCGTGTCCAGCACAGTCCTCTCTTTACACTTGCACATCCGCCCATGTCTGTATCTCATTGTATTTTCCTGCAGCTCCAGCCTCCCTCCCAAAGACAGTATTCACAAAGAATTCATCCAAAGCTTTTTTCTCAATGACTTCATCCACTCTGGCCTGTCCTTTCACAGCCCCTCCTCAGTGCCTCACCCAGCACATCACCCCGAGTTAACCTACAGGATGTTGACCTGTGGACAGTTTGCCTCCCCTGCCTTTGTCCAAATTTCCAATAAATATCTCTGTACTTTTGCTTGCAATACATCATATCCCTGGGAAATTCTTCCCCACAGGTCTGCAGATGCAGCACAGGGCCCTCTTCCAGCTCCTCCCATGAAACTCTGCTCCCTGCCAAAGCATCACCATATGACTATGTGACTGCCACAGCTGGTGGATCACACTCCAGTTGGGCTGTGCTTCCCCACCCTCTGGCCTTTCCCCCTGAGTTTTCTGTTTCCTTTCTGTATGAAAGTGCTGAGTCCTTTCACAGTGCTAAATACCCCTGGGGAAATGCGTGGTTGATTGGTGTGCTTCTGCCATGTGGACCTGGCCTGTCTGGTGCTCTCACTGTCTCTGACATTCTCTGTTTCTTGATCTAAGTTTTGTGCTGTCTGAAAACTTTCCCACTTTGCCTTGACTCTTTTTTCTCACATGCTGCCTCTTAAATAGTTCCCTTCAGCCTTTCACCTACGTCCTGGTTTAGATTCATGGCATTTCTCATGATACAGTCCAGCTCTTTGGATTCCCTGTTTCTTCCACATCAAACATCTTGTACTAATTCCCTGTGCTGCTGTTTCTCTGAGCAATTTGCCTGGGCTGGAGACAGTGAGCACCTAAACTAGGTCAAAAGCATTTTAGAATCTTACGTAGTGCATTACCAGACACCCCTGTCCACACATCTACCGTGACTCCCTCAGAGAACCCAAATAAACCTGTAGGCTGTGACTTCCTTCAAAAAGTCTCTGGTGAATCCTTGCGCCAAAAAAAAAAAAATTAAAATTAATTTCTCAAGGCATCTGACTCCCATGTTTTTGTAGTTGGTTTAGAACACAGTCAGATTAACTAACATCTGCAAAACTTCCTTTGTAGCAACATTTGCCACCTTCTGAGTCTTACTCAAAGCCTCACAGACACCTTTTTACTCAAATTCACATTTGAGATACATGAGGAGTCACAGAGTCACAGAATGGAAGAGACTCTAAAGCCCATCCAGTGCCACTCCTTGCCATGAGCAGGGACACCTTCCACTATCCCAGGTTGTTTCAAGACCCATCCAGCCCAGCTTTGAACACTTCCAGGGATTCAGAGGCAGCCACAGCTTCTCTGGACACCCTGTGCCATGGCCTCACCAGCTACAGGGAGTAATTCCTTCCCAATATCCCATCTAACCCTGCCCTCTGGCAGTGGGAAGCCATCCCCCTTTTTCTATCACCACAGGCCTTTGTCCACAATCTCTCTCCAGCTTTTTGTAGACTGACCTCAGGAGCTGAAAGTTTCCACTGAGGTCTTCCTGGAGCCTTCTCCAGGCTCTCTCAGCCTTTCAGTGCTTTGCAGTGCTTTGCTCAGCTGACTCCACCATCAGCCTGTCAGAGATCCCTTTCATGGCTTTTCTCACTCCCTTCATCACCTCCATGGTACTTTTTTTCCACTACTCCTTTATTACAGGTTTTTCCAAACTGAGCTCCTGGCTTCATCCCTGCTTTGAACCTGCTTTGAATTAGTTCTGAATCCCTAACTGGCTGCTGGTGGCATTAATTCTCAGAACAGCTTGTGTCTACGCCCGCTTGGGAAGCTGCTTTTCCTGGGGGCTGTGGCAGCTTTTGCAGGAGAGTCCTTAGTAAGGAAAGCATCTGACCATAAACCTGTGGTTGCAAGAAGCTGTTCTGCATACCCTCAAAGTCTTTTTGGCCTGTCTCTCTCTCTCCTTGTGTGTCTTGGGCCATCCTGAGCTGCTCTGCTTTGACTGCTTCCTTGTCTGTTCCTGGCACGGGCTGTCTCCCACTGTGGAGCAGCTCCTAGGCTTCGGCCAGGATGCTTTCTTGGACCTGGGCAGCAGCCACCATGCAAACAAATGCTGGCAAGATCCCTCCAGCAAGCTCAGCCACATTTCTTGGAAACAGGTCAGGGGGTGGGGGGAAAAGCCACAACTGAGAACAACACGGAACTATGCAGTGCTGGGCACACGGCCAGACCTTGTTTATGGCTTCCTAGAGAGCAGCTAAATGCTGCCCGTTCAAGTTGTCACAACTGCCACCAAGGGGACAGCAGAACAGCCATGGAACTGCACGTGTGTGGTGCTGGCACCTTGCTGCTGCTGGGTGTCGAGTCCCAGGACGAGCACCAGGTTCCCAGACAGTGGGATATGGGGTGGGAGTCCCAAATGATGCCAGGAGCAATTCACGGGCTGCAGAGCAGTCACAGCATCTGAGCCCCTCCAGGGACCTGCGACAGAGACAGGGGGCACTGCCCCCCTGGGGGGACTCTGGGGCACATTTGTGTCCCTGTCCCCAGGGGGTTATGATGCCACCATTCCGCAGAAAGGTAGGAACTGCCTGATGGCAGAACACGGGACGTTGTCACAACTGCCACCAAGGGGACAGCAGAACAGCCATGGAACTGCACGTGTGTGGTGCTGGCACCTTGCTGCTGCTGGGTGTCGAGTCCCAGGACGAGCACCAGGTTCCCAGACAGTGGGATATGGGGTGGGAGTCCCAAATGATGCCAGGAGCAATTCACGGGCTGCAGAGCAGTCACAGCATCTGAGCCCCTCCAGGGACCTGCGACAGAGACAGGGGGCACTGCCCCCCTGGGGGGACTCTGGGGCACATTTGTGTCCCTGTCCCCAGGGGGATATGATGCCACCATTCCGCAGAAATTCTGATGGCAGAACACGGGACACAGGACAGCATCCATCGCTGTCCCCAGCAGTGGATGTCACCGTCCCCGTTCTCGTACTTAGCAGAGCAAAGTGCTACCCACGGGACACCAAGACTGCTGTCCCTGTCCTCAGGGGGGTGCGACATCACCATCCCCTGCAGGGCACTCTTCCCACCCCCGCCAGCGAGTGCCACCGTCCCACGGCACAGCGAGCCCCGGCGGAGGCGAGAGAGGCGGAGCAGCCAGCCGGGGCCTCCCGCAGCTCCCCTCCCTCCATCCCTGCCTCCCGGGCCGAGCCGAGCCGAGCCGTGCCATGGGACCCGCCTCTCCCCGCCCCGCGCAGCCATGCTGGGCTCCGAGAGCGGCCGCGATGATGCGCTCCGCTTCCCTCCGCAGAGCCCGGGCTCCCCGGCGGCGCCGCGGCGGCAGAGCAAGGAGAGCAGCCTGACGGTGAGAGCGGGGCCCGGGGCCGGGGGAATCCGTGAGGGCACCGGGGCTGCGGGACTCCGTGTGGGCACCGGGGCTGCGGGACTCCGTGTGGGCACCGGGGCCGGGGGATTCCGTGAGGGCGCCGGGGCTGCGGGATTCCATGTGGGCACCGGGGCTGCGGGACTCCGTGAGGGCACCGGGGCTGCGGGATTCCATGTGGGCACCGGGGCTAGGGGATTCCGTGTGGGCACCGGGGCTGGGGAACCACAGGGATTCCGTGCTGGGCACCGGGCAGTGAGCTGAGGAACCACGGGGATTCCTTGTGGGCACCGGGGCTGCGGGATTCCGTGCTGGGGACCGGGCAGTGAGCTGAGGAACCACGGGGATTCCTTGTGGGCACCGGGGCTGCGGGATTCCGTGATGGGCGCTGGGGCTGGGGGACCGCGGGGATTGCGAGCTGAGCACCGGCCAGTGAACTGGGTAACGTCGGGAATTCCATGCTGAGCACCGGGCACCGGGGCTGGGGAAGCACGGGGCTCCGGGCAGTGGGACTGGGGAACCGCGGGGGTTCCGTGCTGGGCACCGGGCATTGAGCTGGGTAACTGCGGGGATTCCATGCTGAGCACCGGGTACCGGGGCTTTGGGAGCGCGGGGGTTCCGTGCTGAGCACCGGGCAGTGAACTGGGGAACCGCGGGGATTGCGTGCTGAGCACCGGGTACCGGGGCTGGGGAACCGCGGGGGTTCCGTGCTGGGCACCGGGCATTGAGCTGGGTAACTGCGGGGATTCCATGCTGAGCACCGGGTACCGGGGCTTTGGGAGCGCGGGGATTCCGAGCTGAGCACCGGGCAGTGAACTGGGTAACTGCGGGAATTCCATGCTGAGCACCGGGTACCGGGGCTTTGGGAGCGCGGGGGTTCCGTGCTGAGCACCCCGTGCCGGAGCATCCTGCCCCCGCAGCGTTTTGGTGTTCAAACGCCGCTAAACCCACGGAGGGGTTGGGATCTCTGCCCTGCGCTGGAGCCCGGGCGCGGTTGTCCGTGGAATCATGGTGACTCCAGGATGAGGAGGAAGGAATGAGGTGCCTGGGACTGTGAACCAGGTGTCCTGAAAAAACTTCCTCCTCTGATCATCCCCCCTCCACAACAGCGTCTGTACTGGGAGAAGTACTGAAGAGTTAGAGGAAGACAGAGCAGGATCTTTTTTTTTCCCAGTCTGTATTTGAGGTGTCAAGGAGGTTTCTTGTGCCAGAGTGTCCAAGTAAAGATTTCTAGGTGGAAAGTGTAGGCAAAGATTTTATATTTCAGTGTCAAATTAATCTTACATTTACTTTAATTCTTTATAATTGAGTATAACTGGCTCAGTGATGAGACTTTTTACAAGAACATGTAGTGACAGGACAGGGAACAGTGGTTTAAAACTGAAAGAAAGAAGATTTTGATTAGCTAGTAGGAAGAAATTGTTCCCTGTGAGGGTGGGAGGCCCTGGTACAGGCTGTCTAGAGAAGCTGTGGCTGCCCCTGGATCCCTGGAAGTGTCCAAGGCCAGGCTGGAAGGGACTTGGAGCAATTTGGGATAGTGGAAGGTGTCCCTGCCCATGGCAGAGGGGTGGACAAGATGGGCTTTAATGTTCCTTCCAATCCAAACCATCCTATGATTCTGTGTTATGAATGGAAATGTTCTCAGTTGTGTGATGTATCTCAGTTTACAGACATTGATAACTTTAGTGTGCTTGGTGACCTCATCTGGAACACAATTAGCACTTATGGGCTCTTCAGTGCAGGACAGGTGATTAAAACCAGAAGGGAAATCAAAATAGATGAGTGAGAATTGCTAGTAATAGAAAGGTTTATTTAAATGGAAATCAGAAGAAATGAACAGATAAATTAATTTTCAGCAATAAAGGAGAGGCAATTGTTGCAGCTGCAAGTATTGGCAGGGTATCAAGTCTCTGAGAACAAAAGGAATAATTTAATATTATACATCCTTGTTAGTGTTACTATGAGGAGGAGATTGTTGTGTGCATTGTCACGTGCAACCTGCAGATTTATTCATTAGTGGGCTGGGTTGCTGGTGACAGGGTCAAAAGAAGCACACAGAAGTGCCTCTGACTGAGATGTGAGTCAGCCACTGCCATGCAGGTACAGTGTTCTGGGGCAGGAGGGGGAAATCTTCAACAGCTTTTGAAAAAAAAGCCACTTCAATCAGTGATTTTAGTTATAAAAATAGGTTGTTACCAATGTTAGTACTGGAAATTGGTTTACTGAGAGTGTGGTGTGCTTTGAAGCAAGTACAAATCTGTATGTTCAGACATTTTTGCAGATGTCTGGGAGAATCAGCTGTTCCAGGGCTGCTTTGGCTGGGGCAGGAGACATGTCCCAGCCCTTGAATGCAGCTCCTGACTGCTCAGATTGGGGGATTGGGGGAAATCATGGGCTGAGCATCATGTCCAGAGGGACTAGGCATGGTCACCCAGGGTGGGGTGCACTGAGCTGCCTGAGCACAGGAGGAGGAGAGCTTGTTTTCTGCAGTCCCTGCTGCTCACAGGGCTCAGGCTGTTCTCTCAGGGTGGCTTGCCATGTTTGCTGGCCCGTGTGCCATCAGGTAACATCTGCAGAGCAAACTGTGTGTTATGTCAGGGTCGCTGGGTGTGCGTTTCTCCAGCAGAAGCCCAAAGCTTTCAAGTAGGATGAATCAGATAGACAAAAACAAGCTAATTTTAACAGCTGTTTGCTCCAAGCCATTGCCTCCATCAAGGCAGCATTGTGAGAGATCTCATAAGGAGTGTAAAGTGTAAAACAGTGTGTTTTCACTGTTTCCTAGGAGGTTCTGTGTGCTCAGTGCCACTCAAGCTGACGTGGGGATGTTCTGCTTAGCAGAGCTGCGGGGCATGTCCTTAGCTTGCTGTCAGATGCTTTTTCTTGGTCTGTAGCTGTGCTCAGGCACAGCCTCTTCTTGCAGAGGGGAATTCTGTGATTTACTTCAAAGCTTTTGGTCCAGGAAACCTCCCTTCAAACCGAAATCCTGTGGCACACAAGCTGCAGACATCAGGTGATGTCCAGCCAAGCTGTTGCTGCGTCACTGCCTTCAGCAGAGGAGTGGGAGCATCTTCCTCAGGATGCATCTGCCTCCTCTGCATCCAAGTGGCATTTAGTAGCACAGCTTCTGGAAACCCTGAAGGCAGGGGGAGCTGGAATATTTCCCATCTGTGTGCAACCAACAAGAATAATCTGGTGTTTTTTCTTTGGTCAGTCAATGTTACTGACATGGTCTTCCATCTTTGGAAGAGAAACTCCAGCTGGTTGTATCAGAGGCTGTTATGAAACTGCAGCTGTGTGGTCTGTGCTAGTTTTACAATTAATTTCAAGGTGCACTTGCTGTTTTAAGGCTGGATGGTTTGCTGGCTGATTCCTGAAGTCTCTGGTCTGTGGAAGCTGGAGATATTTGCAATAGGTGAGGGAGAGTGCAATGGAGAATGTACAGGGGGATTTCACTTGAGGAACAGAGCTGTGTCTTACTTGGAAGAGCAGGAAAGCTGCCTGATTATAAGGTATTTCTGATTGTGGGTTTCTTTCTAAAATTCTAAAATTTTAAATTCTAAAAATTCTCTGGTGCCTTGTTAAGGATAGTGCAGGACCTTGAAAACGCTGGTGTTTGGATTGCATGTGCTGGCCACGTCAGTGAACACGTGCAGATGGGAAGATGGGCAGCCTGTGCACAGGAACCTGGGATTTCCTGCTGCTGTGCTCTGTGTCTGGCAAGTGTGACACACCCAGGTTTGTGATGAGCACAGCATGAGGCTGCACAGTCCCCCCCTCTGCCCTGGGCCTGACTTTGGTAGATTCTGTCAGAAAAGCCCTGGTTGGGCAGGGGCTGGAGTAATCTCTGAACCTTTCTGCAGATAGACCAAGTAAAGAGGGCTCCTCCACGCTTTTGGCAGAATCTCTCCTTTGAAATAGGAAGGAATCAATGGCTTTGTTAACAGTGAGCACTTGAATTGTCTGTTCTTCCCTTCTGTGGTACCACAGCTGCAGCATCACCCTACCAGAGCTAAAACCCAGGGCAAACTCATGGTGTTGACGCTGCCCAGACATAGCCCAGGCATTTCTGGGCTTCCCTGCCTGGGGAGAGTTCAGGCTGCCCAAGCTCTTCTAGATCTTCTCCAGCCTTTGCATTGGCTTTTTTTACCCAAATAGTTTCATTTGTCATATGAACTCAGTGGTGGATATTGTACTTTCTGGGTCTCAACTGAAATTGTAAAGAAGATACTGAAGTGTGGCAATCTGGCACATCTCTTCTGTGTTTAAGGTGCTGAGAATGTGTAGAAATACAAAAAAAATAATGTGCATTTTTAAGTTGAAGAGATAAGCAAAAATGTTGCCCTGCTTTAGTCACGTGAGTGTGGCACAGTAAGTTCTGCTCTCTGCTCATTTATTTATGTTGTATCTGATGTAATAAACATGTAGTTGATTATCTAAGCTTTGATCAAATTATTCTTGCTTTATTCCTGTTGCTTGGCAATGTCTCATTTACTGGTGAGTGACTTCAAAGTCTGTAGAGACTCTGAAATCCAGGAGATTAATGTGCCTGTCCAGCCCAACAAAGTTTGCTGTTCCTGTGCATTCACCTGGCTCCCTGGGTCTGCTCCTCTTCTGTCACCCTTTTGTGTCTCAGACATAATTAAGACTCTTCTACAACATAAACAGCTCATTTTGTCATTATTGCCAGTGTACTCGTGGGAAATAGGAGCTGGAATATTCAGCTGTTCAGAGAGTATAATTGCATTTGCTCATGATCAGTACACGGGCAAAAGTATTTTAATCCACTGAGTTTGGCACACAGCTTGTCAAGAGAAATGCATTTGTGCTGCTTCTCTGATGCCCAATGTGTGTGTGTCCTCCACCAAGCTTTGTTTGTCACCGTGTTTTCTTCTCCTTCTCTGACTCTGAATCTTCTGTCCTCTTTAATCCAGTGGCTCCCAGACAGGTTTTCTGGTGCCACTCCTGGCCAGTGGCAGCTGGAAATACAAGCTGCTGTCCTCTGGCAGGTTTGCTCAGCTCTTCCTTGGGGTTTTGCCCTGCTGCTGTCTTGTTATTAATTTTGCTTTGTTGCAAGCTGACAATAGCCATTATTTTGACAAAGAGGCTGCATAAGAACTTAATATCATGGTGAGGCTGATTATCACCTCAGCTGTCCCAGTGGAGCTTGTGGGAATGCAATGCAGGTCATCACACCTTGTTTTCTCTTCGTGTTCTGTGATTCCATCATTATCTGAGAGACATGTTTTAATTTGTTTTGTTTCTTCCTGGCAATTACAGCTGTAATAATCACCTTCTGCAAGCTTTTGTTAGGCCTTGCTGGCAAGTCAGCATTATTAAAATATCCACAGTGCCATAGGTCTGGATTTGGAGCTTGCATGGAGCCTAGACAGCTCCCAGGGATGTGAGCAAAGTGTGGTCTCTCGAAATTAGTGAGGGCAGTTCTCCTTGGCATGGAGGGAATGTCATTGTCCATGGGACTGATGGAGCTGTCAAACATGGGGACATCATCATGAGGTGCTTTGGCTGACCTTACATTACTCAGCTCATCAGTGGGACCAAGCTGGTGAAGAAGAGTGGGGTTTTTTTCAGCTCTCTTTGCTTTTAGAAGCAAGAAAAGGAGCATTTCAGAGGGAGGATTGGGAGGGAGGAATGCCACAGTCATGCCACACTGCTGCTCAGTGCCAGCCTGGCATTCCCCTCCTGCTGGGAAATCCTGAGAGGTTTTAGAAATACTGAGAAATACCAATCCAAGAGCTCTTGTTTAAGTATAAATAATCTGGGGTAATGAAAGGAAGAAAGATCACAGGATTACCTAGGTAGTCATATGGAATTTTTAGTAGTATTTATAGAGTTTAGAAAATTTTCATGCCCCCTGGTGGGACTTAGTGTAGAAAGATGTAAGTTCTGTTTACTATGACACTTTTTTGTTTTGTTTTTAAGATTGTAAAAGCTTCTGTATTTTTGATTTTTTCGTTCTGGCACCAATTCCATTTTAAAAGTGATACTAGACCCAAATGTCCTCATGACTCTTTCCAGACAATTCAGCATCATTTCCAGACAATTCAGTCTTTGGAGAAGTGAAGAATAATTTGATTTATTCCTAGAACTTTGAGAAACACTTGAACTAACCCTGCTTTCATCACGTGCTGATGTGCACACTCACTGTTCACTTCTGCTGCACTCCTGGAGTTCTGTCCACTGCAGTGAGACACTGTCACCAGTCCAGCCTTGGCATTTCCAGTGACTCTGTGGTTATTGCTTCAGGACACTGAGACTCACTGTCACATCTCTAATCAGCAGCTTCCAACTGACACAGATTCAGTTTTTGTGGAACAGGCACTGCCTTTAGCAGGGAGTGGGAATTTCCCATGCTGTTTCTCTTTGCAGATTTTTAAGCTGCAGGATACAATTCCTGTGCCCACCACTGCAGATCACCTCCCTGTCCTGGTGTGCAGTGCCACACGATACAATGATCCAACTCAGGATGTTCTGTGGTTCTGTGATGCCCAGACTTCTGTTAAAGGCTGCAGAACACACTTGGGAGGTGCAGTTGATTACAGCATGGCCATCCTGCTCTGAACTGAGCTGATGCATGACTCTTCTGCTGGGGAACACAAGGGAACAGGGAAGGTGTTTGCAGTGCTGTCTGTGCTTGGGACCCTGTGGCCAGTGGAGGCCAGCCCTGGTTGGAGGTGCTGGCTCTGGCTGGACATTCTTGCTCTGGCTGGAGGTGCTGGCTCTGACTGGACATCCTGCCTCTGGCTGGAGAGGCTGGTTGGAGGTGCAGGGTGACCAGTGCATGGCCACTGCCTGCAAAGCCCAGATTTCTGCCCTGCACGTCAGTTTGGAGCCTGGTGGGAGCTGGAAAGCAAAACACATGGTTTAGGATCTAGTTGAGGTGACAGCCAAAGACACCAGAGGTTCAGGGTCCTTAGCCTGCTCTGAGCAGGGTGATTTATGTGGAGCAAGCTCTTGCACTGTTACAGGGGAGCTGCTGAACCTCCAGCCTGGGCAGAGGCAGCAGAACCAGTGTTGGTTTGTAGGAGCAGCTTGTATCAGCTGAAGGTTTTGTCTGCTCTGCTCTGGCGTGGTGGGTTTGTGCTGTGTCAGCAGCCACATCCTTTGTGATCCTCTCTGAATAGCCCAAAGGCAGATTCATTGCGTGCCTTTGGGTCTGCCTGTGCAGCTGTGCTAACCCTACCCGCAGATTTGTGTGGATTTCCTGTGGGAGTTAACTGATCCAAAACAAACCCCCACCCCCATACAGTTACATCTGTGACATCCCATCCCCAATATCTCCTGATCCCTTGATTGGTACTCAAGTGCTCTTCGTGTTCCCATGACCCTGAGAGGGGCTGATTTTAGGGTACCTGCCCAGCAGGGATTTGGGGTGAGCATTACAAACTGGCAGCGAGCTCTGACTCTGCCTGGTGCTTGCTCTGGAAGGCTCAGCTGTGTCCAGGGTTGTTCTGCAGCATGTTCTGCAGTAGCTGTGGTGCTCATTGCCTTCACTGTGCTGTTAGCAGGCTGCAGTGTTCCACTGGGATAACTTAATGAGTGCTTGGGTTTTTTGAATGCTGTTGTTTAATGAGCGTGTGATGAGTCCTGTCTGACAGATCCCTGTGCGCACTGAAGGTTCACTGACTCCAGAGAGCCCCCTGCTCCTTTCCACACAGAGCATCACTTCCATCTGAAAAGGTCTCAGAGATAGATTGAAGGGCTGTGCACTGAAAAAATAATTGCTGGTTTTGTCGTCCTGTAGGAGACTGGCATAGCCAGGGGTGTTTTGCAGTGACAGTGCCTGCAGTGCTCTCTGGTGCTCACTGTGTTTGTGTGCCCAGGGTGTTTCACATCAGGTTTTTCACCACAGTTTTCAGGGATCTGGGAGATCTCCCTGCGTGGTGCTTTCCAAATCCAGTAGGTTTTCCTCATGTGAAATGGGTATTTTATTTCCCTCTGAGCCAGCACTCCTGTCTGCAGAGAGTAGCATTCTGGGAATACTTAGCTGCTGTTTCCATGCAACAACCAGTTTTTCTTCCCTGGCATGCATTCACTGCGGATTTTCTGATGGATATAACTTCTTATTTACGTATTTCTCATTAACAGCTAAATTTCATTACTGTCTAACTCTCCTTTTTTTTGGCTTTGTTTTATTTTTTTTTTTTAACAGATCAACTGTGTGACTTTCCCCCACCCTGACGTAATGCCAGAGCAGCAGTTGCTGAAACCTTCAGAGTGGAGCTACTGTGATTATTTCTGGGTAAGTGGGCAGCCAGCCACATGCCACATGCAGCTCCAGAGCTTCCAAGAAAGTGGAATAAACAGCTTGATTTGTGATACAAGGTAAAGGAGAATTTGGGCTGAGATACAATGTGTTCAGGGAGTACCAGGGAGACTGGGGATGCCAGGGAAGATCTCCTGGAAACATCTGACCAGTCTGAGATGTGGCTGATGATCAAAGAAAGAAAGGCAAGGGCAGTTCTCAGGAGATGGATTTGCTCAGGAAATAGGGAGGATGTAGGAGAAGCCACATGTTTCAAAATACCACAGGCAAAAGGGCAGTGCTGGAGGAAGGGAATAGAATCACAGAATTCCAGCCTGGTTTGGGTTGGAAGGGATCTTAAAGCCCACCCTGTCCCACCCCCTGCCATGGGCAGGGGCACTTTCCACTGTCCCAGGCTGCTCCCAGCCCCATCCAGCCTGGCCTTGGGCACTTCCAGGGATCCAGGGGCAGCCACAGCTGCTCTGAGGCCTCCCCACCCTCACAGGGAAAAATTTCTTCCCAGTATCCCACCCATCCCTCCCCTCGGGCAGTGGGAGCCATTCTGTGTGTCCTGTCCCTCCATCCCTTGTCCCCAGTCCCTCTCCATCTCTCCTGGAGCCCCTTTAAGCCCTGGAAGGGGCTCTGAGCTCTCCCCAGAGCTGAGCTGTTCTCCAGGCTGAGCAGCCCCAACTTTCTCAGCCGGTCTCCAGAGCAGATGTGTTCCAGCTTAGTGGCCTCCTCTGGACTCCCTCCAGCAGACCCCCAGGTCCATGGATAGCAAGGTGGCTGGCAGGGAATATGATTCCAGTGGTTTCCAGAGCATGAGAGCCAGGGATACACAAGGAAGCAGGGGGTGCCCCTTCTGAAGCAAGCAGATAGTTAAAAACTCCTTGTTAAATTGTACAGCTCCCTCCACAGGGTATTCCAGAGGTCAGATAATAAATGCTTTCTTTGTGGTGAGGTTTGTGAAGGACAGGCCAATTTATAGCTTGAGTAGTTTTAATGCAGCCTGGAGCATCCAGAGTCTGGTTCTGTGTGTGCCCCCTTGTGCTCAGGTCTGTTTTCAGGCTCCTGAATCACATGAAAATGATGCAGTAGTCCTTGGAGTGTGGAGCTGATAGAAAATGGTCTTCCAGTGGAAAACTTTTCCTTCCACCTGAATATTTTTCTGGGCAGTGAGAGGAAAACCACAGTGGAATCAACAAATAATACAAAAGGAATCAGCAATGAAGCTTTTAGGAATCTGATGTGTGTTTTCAGCTACTAGTGATTGAAGTGTTTCCCTTTTAAAAAAAAAAAAGTGTCAGTATTGGAGGTCCAGCAGCATGTCCATCCCTTGTGCTTGCTCAGGGCTGATGGCAGGGCATTGCTAAAATACACTGACATATTTCAAAATGGTCACGTTACCACAAAATTTCTTCAGTTTCTTCCAGTCTTCTGATCCCAGTGGGCCCTAAATCATTAATGGTGTACAGACTGATTTTTTTGCAGTGTCTCACAAAAGTTCCTGCCCTGTTTGTTCCTCCCTATTCAGGCTCAGCCAATGCTTGGTTCCATGGGTTGGTCATATCTTGATTTCAGTGAAACTACTTACAGCTCCATACTTGCAGACTTTTATCCTCCCATAACTCTGCTTGCAGGAATTTCCTCTTTGGCCTTGTCATGGTCTGCCCACAGCTCGTTCTCCTTCTTCCATCATCTCCACTTCTCCCACTGTCTCAGCCTGCTGGTGCCTGGCAGGGCATCCTGCCAGTCTCCTGCTTTGATTAGTGTGGCATTTCCCTCTGGCTGCTTGTGCAGCACGTGGGGGATCAGAGCAAAACCTGCAGCACTGAGGGAAATGTTCTCTGAAAATTCTCTGTTGGGAGAGGGTAAGAAATGAAACAGGGAAGCAGAGAGAAAAGAGGCAGCAGAGAGAACAGTGTTGGTTCTTGAAGCCAGTGGAGCAAGGGGCTGTGTGAGAAGCAGGCAGTGAGGAATGGGGTGTGTGGTGGCAATCTGTGGGACAAGTTTGCCTTGTTTGACAGCAGATCCCTGCAGGCTGGCTCTGTTTTCCTTAGTACAACTCACAGTTGAGCTTGGCAGGCTGCTAAAGGTGTTTTAGCTCTGTGTCCCTCTGGAAGGAGCAGCCCTGTCCTCCCCTCTGCCCCAGGAATGTTCCCTTGTTCCAGGGTTCCTGCTTTTGGCAGGCTGAGCCCTTGGGGCTGACACTTACCCAGTGTGAAGGGTGGTGGGCAGAAATGACAGCAGGGCTGCTGCTCTGCCCCCACAGCATCCTTTGCTGGCTAAAGATAATTGTAAAACTTCCCTTTTTAAATTAAAAAAAAAGGAGTAAGAGGAGCAGGAGAGTGTTGGGCTATTTCTTTGAGAGGGTCTGAGGTGCTGTAGCCACCAGCTGCTCTCAAGGGAGGGTTCCTCAGGCACCACTGCTGGGAGCCACATCTCTGTGGGTTTGGCCTCCAAAGCTTTTTGTTGAACTTCCTTTTATTTCTTTCAGGCAGATAAGAAGGACTCACAAGGGAACAACACAGTGTCGGGATTTGAAATTCTTCTTCAAAAGCAACTTAAAGGGAAACAAATGCAGAAAGAAATGGCAGAGTTTGTTCGAGAAAGGTAACTAGCACTTGGCTATCAAATTAAATATTTATTGCAATTGCTGTTTCCCAGTTTAGATATTCCTTAAATATGTTAAGGCTTAAACTGCATAAAAGATATGCTACAAGTTCTTAATGAACATTTAACGTTTCTTTAGTGTTCAGCCACACTTTCCAGGCTTCTCCAGCTCTCACTTGTCTGAGTTGGATTGCACAAAGGCTGTCTGTTCAGAGGGAACCAAGAAGGTTTTAAGCTGCAGATTCAAGGAAAAAGCATAAACGGGAAAGAAGCAAAGTGGAGGTGATGTTTAGAAGGGAAATAATTTTGTGTGAAAAGTACAGAAGCAATTTGTTCACATGGAGCATAGGCAGAGTTTCCTAGAGGATGTTTTAAAAAGACATCACTTTGGGCTTGAGCTAGCTTCGTTATAGAACCACAGGATGGTTTGGGATGGCAGGGACTTTGAAGATCCACCTTCCACTATCCCAGGTGGTTCCAAGCCCCATCCAGCCTGGCCTTGGGCACTGCCAGGGATCCAGGGGCAGCCACAGCTGCTCTGGGTACCTGTGCCAGGGCCTGCCTAGCCTCCCAGGGAACAATTCCTAATTCCCAATATCCCATCCGTCCCTGCCCTCTGGCAGTGGGAGCCATTCCCTGTGTCCTGTCCCTCCATCCCTTGTCCCAGGTCCCTCTCCAGCTCTCCTGGAGCCCCTTTAGGCCCTGGAAGGGGCTCTGAGCTCTCCCCAGAGCCTTCTCTTCTCAGGGTGCAGTTCAGTTGGGCAGAACTTGCAGATAGTTGCTTCATTTATTATTTGTTTTGTTTCTCCCTCTCACCTTTTTTTCTTGCTAGGGATGTGGGGAAATGCAAAGTGTCACAAGCAGTAATGGGGAGCAGATACATTCTCATGAGGTTTCAGCAGCCTTTGACATCAGGTAATCCAAGAGGCAGTTAGAATGTGACCAGAGGTAGAAGAAAGAACCACCTGGAACATTAAAAATGCAATTGAGAAATAGGAATGCTAAGGGAGAGGATGGGAAGGCAAGCAGAATTATGATAGCAAGGGAAAAGAGGGGGAAGCTGCTTCAAAGGAAGTAATATATAATGAAATTTGACAGAAATAATAGCAGGAGGCATTCAAGAAAAAGGGAAAGTTGGTGTGAAATTAGAGAGAGCAAGGAGAGCAGCTCTGACACTGTGGGGAGGCATGTCTGTCCTCAGCAGAGGAAGAAGGAGGCATGCTGGAGAGGAAGGAAAAGACCCACTGTGTGCTGGAAACAAAAAAAGGTTGGGAATTGAGTGTGAAGAGAGTCTGGATGTGAGTTACAGAAAGATTATTCCATTTTTCATCTGTTTGTAACAAAGGATCAGGATTGTTCTGTGTGGAAAAGGAGGAGGATGGTGTTGGGCTGGAGGGACTATTCATGGAAACAGCTCAGGCCATCAGGGGAACCTCTGTGTTCCCAGCTGAGAGGGCTCAAATACTGATGAGATCGTCATGATGACCATCAGGTACCTTAGGGAACACAGGACCACATTTAACTGGGAATTTTTGTGTCCAGAAAAATTCTCTTTGTACAATCAGCCTGCTGGAGGTGAGATTGAGGCAGCTGTTAAAAACAGCCCTTCAATAGGAAGCTGGTATAAAAACATGATAACCAGATTTCTCCATCAAATATCCAACAAGAGGGAAGCTAACTGAAATTTGGTTTATCAGGTAGATGATTTTACAGGAGCTTCTTTTATATAGTGATCTCAGACTGAGCACATACATGTTCAGGTGGGGTTTTAGAATTCAAATAGTCACAGACTTTGACTTTTAGGAAGACAGACCTCAGGAAGGGGAGGAAAATAATTAATAAATATACTGAACTGAAAAATCCAGGGTGTTGGTGTGAAAGAAGGTATTACTTTAAATCAAAAGTGAAAATAGTGTCCAGAATTTGCATTCAGGGAAGGCTGCAAAACAGCCAAAAAAATCTGCAGGCTGCCTTGAGAAGCACCAGATACAAGAAATAATCTTTCCATTAGCAAAGTGTTTCTATTATTCACTATTTAATTAAGCAGTGCTATGTAGAAAATGTAAGTTAAAAAGCAGATTATTTAGCTTCTGCCATGTTCACCAGGTCCATATATGCACCTACCACTGCTGGTGCAATTTATGGGAGACATCTGCAGTCTCTGCACTACAGGAAAAGTAATTTTGCTTCTGTTGTCTGATAATTTCATTGTTCCCTCCTAACAGTGTAAAAAGACTCAGTCACAGTCTTCCCACAGTGGGAATTATGGAGCTGTATGTCAGATATCCTCTACCACCTCTTCTCCCTGTTCCCCCTGTTGTCTTAATCTATTTAGTTTCTTCTTGCTTGGCAGTCACATCAGATCATCTTTGCCTCTCTTTGCAGCTGTCTAGTTTTTCTTCATCCACCATAATATGTCATGACTGAAATTATTGGAGTGTGGGCACAAAATGTACCTTTTTTTTCAAAAAAAAAAAAAAATTAAAGGGAAAAGGAAAGGAACATCCAAAAATCAACTAGAACAAGTAAAGTCAGTATGGGTCAAAATGTACTTAAAATCTGTAATGCTTCAGGCTATATAGGGAGTGAAATCCTGAAAGTTTTCAAACAAATGAGTGGAAACAAGAACTTGTAGCTTTTTTTGTTAGGAAGGTGGAATTAGTGCCAAACAGCCACGTGGTTGTCTGAAAATGGACTCAGGAGTCGTGGCATGTTTGTGTTTCACAGTCACCACAATCCAGAGTTTGCAGTGTGTTTATATCAGGCAGGGTCAAGAGGCAGATTTTTTCCCCTCTTTGAGGTTTAGCTTGGTTTTTAATCCTTTTTGGCTCCACATGGTGACAGAAAGCCAGGCTGGGGTAGAAAAATTTATTTCTTATATTTGCGGTTCTTCACTACAGACATTTCACCTTTTTATTTTTATCTTTTGTTGATGTTCCTCCTTGCCAGGCACTCTGCCCTTTTAGCACATTTGCAGTACAAGTAGCACTTCAAATCCCTGAAAATATCTTGGAGCCTAGGGCAGAGCTGGAGCCAGTGAGGAGCTCTTCCATCAGAACCAGTGGCTCTGCTTTTCTGGTGCCACATTTAGGACAGGCACTGGTGGCACCAGCCACAGCGTGTCTTGTGTGTGCTTGTGAAATCAGGAGAATCACAGAATGGTTTGGCTTGGAAAGGACCTTAAAGCTCATCCAGTGCCATGGTAGGAACACCTTCCTCTAGACCAGATTGATCCAAGCCCTGTCTGACTTGGCCTTGGACACTGGCAGGGATCCAGGGGCAGCCACAGCTTCTCTGGGCACCCTGTGCCAGGGCCTCTCACCCTCATAGGCAAGAATTTCTTCCTAATATTTCATCTAAACCTACTCTTTTTTTTTTGACGACATGAGGCTTACTCTATCCCAGTCCATTCAATAATTCCTCAGCTTCAGCAGCAGCAGGGAAGAATTTGGCAGGCTTTTATTCAATATTTTCAGTATTCAATATTTTCAAATTCAGTATTTTCACAGCAGACCTTTTTGATGGAAGATGGTCAGCTACTCCTCTGTTCACGAGACAAAGCAATGAGAGACACATTCTGTGAGGGTCTGCATGGGCAGCTCAGAACAGTCAGCAGACTGTTGCACCTTTGCCACAGAAAATGACTCAAAGGCATCCTAAAGACAAAATTCAGCAGGAATTAAGTTCATGATGAAAGCTGTGGACTAGAATTTTGGCTGGGAACTGAGCCCAAAGCAGTGAGCCTTGGCTCTGGGGAGAGACATTTGCACCTTTATTACTTTTGACCTGTTCTCTCTTTCCAGTCCACAGAAATTGTCACTTCTGAGACAAGGTTAGTCTCATCCTGAAGCAAGTCTTTAAAGTACCTTAGGTGAAATGTGCCTGGATAAACCCCTTTCATGGTGAGGTCCTGAGGCAGTGGAGCCTTTACTGCCTGTGTTTGTTGGTCTTGTTAGAGCAGGCTGGTTTTGGCCTCATGGCAGGGGGAATTAGAAGACCCCAGCTCCTGGGTGAGGTCTGCAGTACTGTGTCACACCAAGCTGGGTATCACCTTGAACTTCTGCTGCAGCCCAGTCAGCTGGATGGAGCATCCCAAGCAAAGGCTTTGCTGTGGAGCTGTCAGCTGTGGCACCCTGACCTGAGCTCCTGTGAGCATAACAGTGTGGCACTTCCCCTCCCAACCACCCACCAGGATATTTCAGCAGCCCAGAGCATCAGCTCCCTCTCAGCTGTCTCAGGGGACCCCTTTTAGCTCAGATGTGCCCCACTAAAGTGCATTTGCTCACCCAGCTCCTGCAAAGGGGCCTGCCAGGAATACCCCACCTTCTGAGGCTTTGTGGATGGACACTTCAGAGCAGGTTTTGCCCCTGCTCGTGCATAGTTGGCACAGAATCAGGAGTTTTTCTGCCTGGGGGCCACACAGCTCTCTCAGAAATGTTCTGTCGAGCGATCTGGGTTGAAAACCAGTGAACAGACAAGTGTTTGCTGTGCCTGGGAGCATGTGCACCTTGCAGTTGTTTCGCTGGCAGCAGCAGATGGTTTCAGGCAGGATGCCCATCACCTCTGCACCAGCAGCTGCTCATCCCTCCCTGCTGGGCTGTCAGCCCTGCCTTGTCCCCTCACTCCACAGCTCCTTGTCCTCCCTGCAGCCATTCCCACAGCAGCTGGGTGCCAACACCTTTCCTCCTCTGCTCCCTTGCAAGCTCAGCTCCTGTTCCTGGTGCTTCCACGTGGGTGAAGACCAGGACAGGGCAGTGAGTGGGGTGAGTGAGAGGAAGGGGTTGTACCAGTCATGTGCTGGTGACAGAAGCTCCTGCCACAACTCTGCTGTCATTGTCACCCATCACAGAGAGCAGGGAGCATTTGGTGTCCCTAAGAAAGGTGCACTTCTGTCACTGTGATACTTTCTGAAAAATCCCTTCGCCGGGATTTCTTCTCCTGGGAAGTTGAGAAGCCTCAGAGGAAAAGAAGAACAATATTATCTGATGCTTCTCCCTGTGTTTTGCTGCTCTGGAATGTGGCAAGTGCATCTTTGATTGGTTCCATGTGAATTGTTTTACTAAATGACCAATCCCAGTCCAGCTGTGTCAGACTCTCTGGTCTGTCACGGGTTTTTATTATTCATTCTTTTCTAGATTTCTGATGTATCCTTTCTCTCTATAGTTTAGCACAGTTTTAGCATAGCATTTTTAATATAAAAAATCAGCTTTCTAAGAAATATGGAGTCAGATTCATCTCTTCTCTCATCCTGGGACCCTTGCAAACATCACCAACACACTTCAGCCCCCCAAATCTCATTTGGGTTTTTCCTGGTTCGCTGCACTCCTTCATTTTTGCCTCAAGGATGTGCAGCCTCACATTTCATAGCAGACTGAACCACGTGCTCCTGGTTTTGCAGACAGCCCGTGCTGCACAGCAGAAACACTCTGTCCTTGTTACTTGCTCTCCAGAACTGTAGCTTCTTCAGCTAATTTTGTCTCACATGCCGTCCTGCATATAGCCCTGCTCTTGCCTCTGCATTTTTAGCATATGGGGGGAGAAGACGGCTCATCAAACCGGTGCTGCCAAGCCCTGGAGACTGAAAGGAAAATTCCTGTGGCAAAATCTGTTGAAATGCAGAGAATTTCTTCAAATTATGTGTGTGTGGGTTTCTGCCTTAAAGCTTACTTACTGCTGTCTTTTTATTTTCTCTCTGTGTGTATATGAGTGTAGGATAAAGATTGAGGAGGAATATGCTAAGAACCTGTCCAAACTGTCTCAGAATTCCTTGGCTGCTCAGGAAGAAGGGTAAGTGTGTCTCTGTGACTTTCGCAGAAGACGAATTTTAATATAAAAGGCATTTCTCCCACGCAGGTACAAGTAATTTTCCCCAGCTCTCTCCCTCTGAGCAGAGGTTTATTTAGATTAGCACCTTGGGCATGTTGGGGAAGATGGAATTGCTTCAGAGTTGTTTGTTTGGGAATTTTTTTTACGTTGTTAGTGAGAAGTTTTTTAGGAATATGTGTATAAAATGTTGCCTTTCCAAGCAGGTTTATGTGCTGTCCTTGTAGCCAGGACTGGTTCCTTCCAGGATTAGCATGTATGTGTACTAAACTACTTTGCAAATGGAAGAATATATAGAATATGTATATATATATACCACTGAGAGTAGCTGTGTAAGGTCATGCTGGTACAATCAGAGCAGCACAGACAAGAGGGAGGATAAAGCAGTCTCTTCTCATCAGGGTTCTGGCCCTTCACAAAAATCAGCAGACTGCTGCTTATTTCCAACATTTTCACACTTGGGAAGTTATTAAGAAGACATTAGGCAGTGCAGTTCAGCCTGAATTGCAGTTCAGTTAATGCAAAGGCACCACTCCTGAAGGACCAGAACTTGGTAGCTCTGTCTGTTTCACCACAAACCCTCTGAGCACTGAAGGCCAGAGCTGGAAATGACTGTCCTCACCTTTGGCACAGTGTTTTCCTGCCAGCACTGAAGCTGCACGAGGTGTTTTGCTCAGCTTCCAGGAGGCAAGGACAGAAATTGCAAGAGGATAACTGGGCTGTTAGTGCCCTGAGCACCTACAGTGGCAAAGTTTTTTGTCCTTCTCTCTCCCTGGGGCTGGATGCTCAGCTGATCCCAGCAAAGCTAAACCCGCTTTCTTCCACATCTTCCTTCCACTTGCTCCTACCCCCAATGGGAAAAGGAGGGAATGACTGAAGAAATGAAAGGGAAGGAAACAAAGTAGGTGAAAAGAGAGGGAATGAACCCTCAAGCCTGAGAAAAGTTGAAGTAGGGAGCTGGAAAGGACGTGGTGCAGTGCAAGGAGCTGAGAGCACTGGATCATCAGGTAACAGGGGTAGTGTCAGTGGCAGCTGGGCAGTGGGAAAGGACCTCAGGGAAGGAGGAATATTGGCAGCACTTTTGTAGGTGTATCTAAGTTATTTAGCTGATGAACACCGTATTTGAGGACTGGAGGCCTTGCAGCAGCATCAGAGGTGACAGATCATTAGTTTGAGATTGCAGGTGACAGGTGATTTTTCAGGCTATCAGGAAGAGTCAAATCTCATTATCCTTGAAAAGGGGATGGGGAAGAGACAGAAGGAGCCAGGAACTGTAAATCACTCAGCTTTATTCAGCCTTTGCAAAGTGGTGGAATAAACCATCAAACTTCCACTTAGGGGAAAAATAAGATGATGAGCAATTGTTGTATATGCATAGAGAACCATGCCAGGCCAACCTAAATTCCTTCAGTGATGGAGTAAGAGAGTAGGTCAAGCATCACAGCTCTTAATTTAGTATTGCTTTTTGTGATGGGAGATTCTCGTAGGCAGACAAGAGAAATGGTGGCCTAAATAAAGCTTTATGTGCACAAAACTAGGTAGGAAAAACCCACTGCTTACAGAAACTAAACTGCAGAAAGTAGCTGTGGAATGAGACCCCAAAGGGTTTGTCCTAAGTCCAGGGGGTTTTAAAATGTTTTTGTAATGAACAACCTATGGTAGAAGAAAGTATGGAATTACTGTATTCAGAGATGTGACAGAGCTAGGAGGGCTGCTATGTGTAATTTGAAGAAAAGGTTGCAATTCAGAATTCTTGTGTTAAAATTGAGAAATTAACTGACAAAAAAAATAAGATGCATTTTAATGAGGACAAAGCAGCGGGTTTTATACTTTCACAGGATGTGAGAGATACAGTTACATAACAGTTTGTGGGAGAAGGATCTGGCTATAGTGAATCACAAGCTTATTCATCAACAACTTCATGCTGTTGTCTAAAAAGGCAATCACATTGAAATATGTAGAAGAAAGAGTGTCTGATACAAAATAATCTGTTACCAGTTTAGCCCCTGGAGTTTTATTGTACTGGGGACAGTGTAGTTTTGGTTATGTGCTTTAAGAGGAGTCTGGGCTGTTGTAAAGGATCTGGAGGAGTCTGCCTCAGCTGCCACTGTCCTGGAAATAATCTGAAAGGAAAAGACAACGGAGAAATTTTCAAGTGCTGAAAAGCTTCTCTGAGGCTATTTACCTCTGAAGTAGGGTGTAAAATAGAAGAGGCAGGAAAACTGCATTGGTGGAAACCTTCTTGTGAGGATAAGATACTGAAGGGTCTGGCTTATGGAGGCTTTGATGCCTCTGTTAGTGGAGATTGTCATGAACTGGGTTTTCAAAGATCTGCAAACAATGCCAACATAATTCTGCCTTGGTCACAAAGGCTGGTTGTTTTCTCAGATTTCTATTACCCTTTTTCATGGTTTTGCTGATCAAGAGATGCTGCAAAGTGTTGTGCCAGATCTCCCTGACAGATCCCACAAGGAGAGGTGGGGAAGGGACTGATCATTGTCCTGCTCTTCCTTCAGCACACTGGGAGAAGCTTGGGCTCAGCTCAAGAAGAGTTTAGCTGATGAAGCAGAGGTTCATCTCAAATTTTCTTCTAAGGTAAATGGTTCTTTCTTTTCCAAAGATTTTTGCCCTGAATTGGTGGGCCTCTCCCTTCAGTGCATGTTAGTGGGGGAAATACACACGCATGTGATAAAAATTTAGAAGAATTAATAAGTTGGTGAACAAAATTACTGAAACTCTGTCCAAACTTCCTCCCAAAATCATTTTATTTAGTCTACTACTGAGTAAATTAAAACACACCTAGCTTTAATTTTTTGTAAAAAAGAAGTAAAACTAATTCTAGATGTTGTTCACCTGGGCTCTGTGTTCCGGCCAGTCAATTGAACTAGTGCTTGTACACTTCACTTCTAAAAGGAAGAAATGAAAAGCAATATTTGGCTTCTCAACAAGAATCTACTCCACCTGTCTGCAAGGAAGTGAACCAGAACTCTGGCTTTTTTTGTATTATTAGGCTTTCTCAAAAGTCTGCTGGGAACATCATGTTATTTTTGGGTTTATCTCAAGTGATGCCCAAGGAGATTTCTTTTACAAATTATGGTATTTATCTGGGTTTTTTCCACCACATGTGACATGCTGTTGAATCCTGTTGCATTCTGTTAACCTCTGTGGGTGTTCAAGTTCAATACAGTGGCAGGTATCTCAGCACAACAGCCATGTTCTGGGGGAAAATTATAGTTCTGCACCATTTGTAAGCATTTCAGCAGAGGTTACTCAGGCAACCAGCTGCTGCCTTGGTAACCCACTGCTCTGCCTTAAACTTCGACATCAGGGCTGTAATTAGTGAAATACTTTTTGCTCCCCATTGTCTTCCTGTATTGTTTTCCAAAAGGAAGAAATGCACCTTGGAATGATGTGTGTGTGTAGGCAGGCCAGGTTGAGAGGGGCTTTTCCATTATTTTACTTCTCCTTAAACTCTGCACAGAAGCTGCTGTACCATCCTCCAAATCTTTCCCACGGTTTGTGTGCAAATAACATGTGGATGTGGCACTTTAGGGGCAGGGTTTAGTGGTGGACCTGGCAGCCCTGGGTGTTGTATTTGCAGGGATGCCCCGTCGAGGGCAGGAATGATGAATCTGACTCCATGTTCTCAGAAGGCTAATTTATTACTTGATATTATATTAAAGATTACTATACTATTCTAAAGAATACAGAAAGGACACTTACAGAAGGCTAAAAAAATAATAATAATGAAAACTCGTGACTCCAGAGCCCTGACACAGCTTGGCCCTGACTGGCCAAAGAGCAGCTCACACCAGAACCCAATGAAACAATCTCCAAACACATTCCACAGGAGCAAAACAGAGGAGAAGCAAATGAGATAAGAATTGTTTTCCTTTTCTCTGAGACCTTTCAGCTTCCCAGGAGAAAAATCCTGGGTGAAGGCATTTTTTCAGAGAATGTGAATGCCACACCTGGGTTGACGATGGGACTTGATAATCTTGGAGGTTTTTTCCAGCTTAACGATTCTGTGGTTCTGTGAAGAGCCAGGAATTGCTGCCTGGCTCCTCATTTCTTCCTTTGTTTTCATTGCCAGCTCCAGAGCGAGGTGGAGAAACCCCTGCTGAACTTCAGAGAGAACTTCAAGAAGGACATGAAGAAGTGCGACCACCACATCGCGGACTTGCGGAAGCACCTGGCCAGCCGCTACACGGCCGTTGAAAAGGTGGGAGCAGGGAGCAGCCTGCAGGCTTTGGACACTGCTGCTTTGAGAAGAGCAGCTGCCCCATGCAGAGTTTCAGTTCTGTCACAGCTGTTCTTGCTGAGGGCTTTCACTGTTTATTGAAATTAGGGTGCTCCTGATCAGGGGGTGATTGGTATCTGACTCTGTTGAGTCAGAAGGCTGAACAATTGCTTTGTTAAACTGTATTATGTTACATTATACTATACTATATTAAAGAGATGCTATACTACAAAGAATACTAAAGAATACTAAAAGATACTAAAGAAAACTCATGCCTGTCGGAGACAGCCAGGACACAGCTTTGAGTGATTGGCCAGGGAAACAAAACAATCCTCAGCAGAATCCAATTGACAAATCACTTCAGGTAAACAATCTTCCTAACAAATTCTACATGTGCAAAACAACAGGAGCAGTAAGTAGAGATAAGAATTTTTTTCTCTTCTTCACTCTGTGCTTCTCCAGGAAAAAAATTCTGAGAGAGAGAATTATGTCTCTCTGTTCAGAGAATGTGAAGAAAAGCACAACTGTTAGCTGTGCTTTGCCCAGCCCCAGAAATAGTTTGGTGTTTAGCAGAGATCTGGGAAGTGGGGGGCAAACATCCTACTGCTGAAGTGGCTTTTTGGTTCATCCTCTCCTTGCCAGCTTGGGGCAATAAATTTGATGCAAATACTTCTTATTTGTGTGCATCTGTTGTCCTCAAAATGTAGAGCACCTTGCCTTAGAATGGCAGCAGGGTCAGGTCAGAGGCTCACCTGGCTCAGTGGCCAAAAGCAGCTGGACCCTGGCCTGGCAAATCACAAACCCCTCACAAGAAACATCCTCACTGAAAAAAACCCAAAGAGCAGCAGCAGCAGCCAGTAATGGGCTGATGTAACATAAACCAGGAGGTGGCTGAGGTTGTGGTGCAGGGAGTTAGACCCAAAAAATACGATCTCCCAGCAGCAGCTGGCAGAAATGGGGATGCTTATGCCTCAGCTGCCAAATTGTGTCCTCATGAGTTTGCTTTTGGGTGTAAATTGGAAAGGAAAATACCATTTCCAGTCATCCCCGAAGCTGTTTGTGCTTTCATTAAAGCTCAGCAGGAGTTCCCCAGGGACAGAACTATGGCAGGATACACGAGGTCGTTAGTCTGAGTGTCTGCAAGGAAGGCATTTTGCTGCAAAACACCAAGTTCTTCACACTCCTATCTGCAAAGCAACTCAGTAGCAATGTTGGGAAGAGTGAATTTAGAATAACCTTGGAAGAAGGGAAGAGCTGTGACTGCAGTGCCTGTGGAGCACTCAGCCCTCGCAGGTTGCTCTCCTGCAGCTCCCTCTCCAGACCTGCAGGACCCACCAGAGCCTCAGAGCTGCACGTGGAAAAAATTCCAGGAATGCTTCAGCAGAGCTGTAACATTTAGGCTGGTGTGACTGTAAAAAACTGCAAAGTTCTAAGAAAACTCAGTCATGCCAATTTAGTTTGAAACACTAGTACAGTATAAAGAACAAATGTGACATGTTTTATAACAAATCCCTGCAAAACAAGTGATTTTTATGTATTTGTCAGCCTGCATGTAGCAATGTTTATTTGTTAAGGTGCTCTACTAATTTACCTGTATAATATATATTTGTACTGATAAATCAGGTTTTAACAGCTTGAAGAACTTCTAAGTAAGGTAGTTCAAATCATCAGTTGTAAGCAGACCTCATGTTCTTGATTTCTACTGTTGGCATGAACCTGAATACGTTTTCCTGAATCAAGTTCCTATTGTTAGTGTGTGATAGTTGTACACTGAGTGCAGAACTTACTTAAAGAGAATTTTTTTAAGATACTTGAAATTATTTCAATGATCCAGATCCTAAGAAAAGTGAATGGAAGAGGTGTCTTGGTAATGATGTTGTTTAATACGTTTGAAAGAGGCTTTAGCTCTCTTTTCTTCCAGAAACAATGAGAAAGCTATTAAAAAACAGGAGAGCCTGGTGATGCCATTACTCCTTTGCCTTTCTAAGACTCTCTGAAGAGTTCAGATGCATTTGTGATTTGTTGGTGGTGACCCCTTTGTGGTCACAGGACACTTTTGTGAGCTCCACATGGTGTTGTAAGGACCTGAATCCCTGTTAGGACCCAGTTCCATGCAAAGTTGCTCCCTCCCTGCTGAAAACACTTGTGTGAAGGAGTCTGAGATGGCTGAAAGCAGCTCCCAGATCTTCTCTGTAACTTCTGACTCTTCCTCATTGCTCCAAGGCCCGGAAAGCCTTGACAGAGAGGCAGAAGGATCTGGAAATGAAAACACAGCAGCTAGAGGTGAAACTCAGCAACAAGACAGAAGAGGAAATCAAGAAGGCCAGACGGAAGTCCACCCAGGCAGGTGAGTGCCTGTGCTGTCAGCACCCAGCAAGAGCCAGGGGGAGTGCACCGTCCATGTGGTGCTTGGTTTTAATGTTGTAAAAACAAAGTCAAAGTGAGCCATGCTACAAATCTGTGTGATGTTAAATCCTCAGAAGAAACAAGGCTTGTTTTTCCAACCCAGATGTCACAAATCATTGATAATTGAGGTGAGAACAGCAAAAGTAGGGTGAGTTGTCTGTTTCTTGAAGGTGTCCTTAGATTGCTAAATGTTTGTGAACTTCCAAAGTCAGATTCAGACAAGCTTAGCTGAGGGTGTTTCTTCCATAAATCACAGTTCCTTCCTTGGTTCTTTCCTAAATCACACTCACCCACAACTTGGTGAGTGCCTATTACACTTACTGTCTTTTTCCTTGAAAGTGATGGTTTTTGGGTTTTTTCCCTCTGCTACTCTGTGACTAAAATAATTTCTCTTCTAGGAATACTGAGGATATAGTAGTGTGTGCTGTCCTGTACTGAGGATACAGCCAGTTGCTGTGACCTGTGCATGTTTTACAGAGGCTCAAGCCACATCTGCAGGATCCATCAGGAACTTTTTTGAGATCTGCAAAGCTGATACATGCAACTCAGTACCTTGGCTGAAAATAAGTTTTAGCTAGGCCTTCCATGTGTCATCTCTTCAGTGAGGGCTATTCCTTGGCAGAGTGGTCCTTCAGAGTTCTGAGGTTTTTAGAACTTCAGAATAGATGTCTGGGTTTTAAGGAGTCTGGGAAGAGTCCCTGGCAGTGTGACCATGTGTACAGGCAATCTTTGAGGAGAAAGAAAAGTTATGATTTAACAACAGGAGACTCTGTAAGAGATGTTCTTTATTCACCTGAAAATTCACAATTTCTCTTTGTTCCTTGGGTCCTTAGAAATTGTTTAAAATCAATTTTTACTGAACAAGCAAGGAAGAGCTGAAGATCAGAGAGTGAAAGAGAAATTGAGTCTCATTTAATGAACAAAGAGAATTTCCTAGCTGCCAAGCAGCAATTTTTGAGAATTTTGTTCCAAACTTGCCACCCACATTTCCCCCTCTGTCAGTGCAGAGTCCTGCAACAAAGAAAAAATGGAAAGAGCTGCAGCTTCTTGTGTTACTGCCCTGATCACAGGAGCTGGAGCCCAGCTGGAATTGGGCATCTCCAGAGGCTGGAGAATGCATGAGGGTGCAAATCAGCATCCTTCATCCAGCAGCTGGGGCCTGATGAATCCCTGCCCTTTGGGACAGAGACCCCTTCGACTGCAGTCTCACCTGCAGAGTGCTGCTCTGCAGTTCATAACTCACCATTGTTGATTTCCCATTTTAATTACTTCAGTTTTCAAATACAATTTCCCGTCTATTGCTTTTTTTTTTAATAGAATTACCTTGCCTTTTTTTATATTTCTGGACACTTTGTAAAATACTACTCTTAATGCTTATATTTTTCTTTCAAAATCTATTCCTTCTCACCCCAGTCACCTGCTTTTTTGCCATACTTCAAGTGCATGCATTTAGTTGAAATGTTGGTCTATGCAGCACAACTCCTCTGAGCTCCACCAGCATTCATCTTCAAATCCTTGGGGTCTACAAAACCTGACCTGCACTTTCTTTCTAAGCTCTGGCTGGGCAAGACTGATGTGTTGCTGTCTTTTCTCTTTCAGGGGATGACCTGATGCGCTGTGTGGATCTTTACAATCAAGCCCAGTCCAAGTGGTTTGAGGAGATGGTGACCACCACTCTGGTATGTAACATCTGAAACTGCCCTTGCAGGATTGTCATAGCCTACAGTATCCATCACTCACAGCTAGTTCAGTGCAAAGCAGTGGGGAAAATTGGGTGAGAAATCTCACATTGTTCATCCCATTCTCAGTCCTAAGGAAAACTCATCAGTAGGGGAAAGAAGAAATAATAGTTCCTTTGCAGAAAGCATTAAACCAGTTCAGGGCTGCTTAGGGGCCGGAACACTCAAATTGTCCTTAGGAAGGATGAAGAATGCACAAGAAAAACACGTGATAAATCACCGAATCCATTTATACATTCATGAATTTTTCTATTCCACAATTTCACAATTTTCTTTGAAGTCTCTCCAGAGCCATCTCTTCTGCAGACTTAACAGCTCCAGTTGTCTCAGCTTGGCTTGCTACAAGCTGCCTTGGAGCAACTCCATGGCCTCCTCTGGACTTAACCCAGAAGCTGCACATCCTTCTTGTGCTGCCAAGCCCAGAGCTGCCTGCAGTGTTCCAGGTGGGATCTCACCAGAGTCTCCCCTCAGGCCCCTCCAGACCCTTTTTTGTCTTTGTGGCCCTGCTTTGGACACTGTTAACAGCTTAATGCCTTTTTTTTTTATATTGTGATGCCCAAAACTGCACACAGTGCTCAGTGCATTCAGTCCAGAAGGACTAAATGCAGATTTTGGGGTATAATATCAGAATTCAGAAGAGGAGGGAGGCAGAAAATACCAGGAAGACAGACAGAAATCACCTGCCTTTCCAACTATAGTGTTGCTGGGTTCTGCTTACTGCTAGCTGAGCAAGGTGGGAGCTTGTCCCAGCTCATCATCTGGTGAACTGTGCTCTGACAGGTATCTGGTTGGAATGGGGGTGGTCTGAGCCATCCCCCCCAGTGTGATTTCTGCTGCCCCAGGGAATCACCATAACTTTCCTAGCTAGCAGTAAAGCACACAGAGCTTCTTGCAGGAAACAGATTCCCTCTTGCTTGCAGCATCTCTGAAGGCAGTAGCTCCACTCTCTGCCTTGGTTGTCTCAGTTTTGGAGCCTTTTGGAAAGGTTTGACCTTCTTTTCTGTTGCTAGGCTGAGATGACTGCTGTTGCTTGCTGTTTCTTATTCTTTGCAGAGCAGAGGAATGTGCAACCACAGAGCCCAGCTCCAAAGCATGACCCTGGGGCAGTATCGCACCTACTGGCAGCCTTTTGTCTATCCTCCTTTCTCTGGGCCTCCAAGCTAGGTTCCAGTAAAAATATGGACTTGTTTTTCTTCATGTCCAGGAGCTTGAGAGACTAGAAGTTGAAAGGGTGGAGATGATTCGGCAGCATCTGTGCCAGTACACACAGCTGCGGCACGAGACAGACATGTTCAACCAAAGTGTAAGTGTGCTTCTTGTTTGCTCTCTGTGCCCTTCACTGCCCTCCAGCTGAGCAGAATGCTCCCTCCTGACCTGCTCTGACTGGCTTTGGTCAAAGGATGTGGGGGAAGTGTCTGCAGGGAGCTTGTTAGTCTGCAGCAGTGCTGTGCTGCCTCCCTGCAGTCCAGGACTCTCTGATCGCCTTTCACACAGCTCTCTCCTGAGGGAGACACAACCATTTGGCCAGCATGAGCCATCATTAGCTCTCCCAGCATGATGCACTACTCCATGAGGTCTTTTGTGCAGGGAAGATGCTAAATTGTTTCACTGTTGGAAAAGGGAGTGTGTATATATTTTCCTTATTAAAAACTGGCAGTTTATCAAATATTAAAGCATGGGGGATGCACGCTGACTCAGTACAGTTGTGTTTGGTGTGAGGTGCAGGTTGCAGGACAGGAGTCAGAGGCTGCCTGGCTGCTGCCTGGCACAGGAAACCTGTCTCTGCTTCTTCATATTAAGTCTCCCTCTTCTCTGCTCAGCACAAGGCTGCACGTTCAGCCCTGTCTTGTCCATCCAGTCTCATGTACGTGCAGCTCTCACTTGTCTGCAGATGCAGTGTAGGCATGCCCACAGCTGCTCTGCATGTCAGAGCAATGACTCTCTGCTTGAAGTGTGCCCTTGACATTTGGATTCTTGTTTTCTTCATTTCAGACAGTAGAACTTGTGGATCAGTTGCTTCGGAAAGTGGATCCTGCCAAAGACAGGGAACTGTGGGTAAAAGAACACAAAACTGGAGATATCCGACCTGTGGACATGGAAATATAGACTGATCTGTGCTTGGATGTGATGAGTCCACTGAATTAAGCAGGCTAACGTTTGTTTTTAAGGGTCAGAAGAGCATAGGGAAAAGGTTGTTTCACTACCAGACAGACACCTTGTAATTTATGCCTGTATGGGCTATCTCTGTTCCATTTAGTCATTACAATGGTCCTCGTTGTGCTAAGCCTTAAGCACCAGACATTCCAGGGTGAAAAAAACAGATGTGTGCTTCCCACCTGAGGTTCCCAATTGCACGCAGCTTCCAGGAGAAATCTGCTTCCTGGCACAGAAAGTGCCCTGTTCTTCAGTGACTTTGTGCTCCACCCCTTGCATGACTATCTCTATACAGTATGTTAGAACAACCAGGCAGAGAGCCTCTGGCCAGCAAGGAGATAACTGAATATGATGCAGGAGGCAAGGAAGTCCTGATCATGAATCCCAGCTCTGTCACTGACTGCTCTCACAGCCATAGGCAAGTCAATTAACTTTCCTGGCTCCCCCATTTATAAAATCTGTGTATCCTGCAGCAATGTTGTGTGGATGCATTGCTTTCATATAACACTGTCTTTCACCATGGCAGTGAAGTGATGGCCCTTCTCCCAAAATCTATGGAGAAGATTCCTGTTCTTCCTGTTTTATACTCCCTCTCAGGGATACATAAACCCATTTTCATGATTTCTGTTGTCGGCCAGTCTTAGGTAAGTTTGAAAGTGTTACCATCACAATTTTTTATCAGGAAAGACTTGGTTGTACTATACCTACCTCATTAGCTGTCAGAGTGCCCTCAATGACAGAAGGAGGTCGTATCCCAAGGAATAAATTAGATGTTTAAAATCTTTCCTGCTCATGCAAGGTGTTTTTCCACAGAATCTCCTTAAAGACAGTCCTCTAATAGTTTACTTGGGATTCAGGTTTAAATTTCCTCTGTTGGTTTCTTCAGGTGAATATCACAGACTTTAGGTATTTTTAATTACTGGGTTTGTCCCATTAAATTTTGGCTTTTATCTTTTTGGAGCCTGATTTTCAAAGGTGCCATGAATATATGATGCTAGATTGCATTCAGTGTAGATGTAGGTGCCCAGCACTTCTGTACCATCTTGAGTTTTTTTCTGTTGCCCTTACTGCAAACCACCAAAAATTCAACACAGCTCTTGGCAAATAGTGTTACGTAGTTTGGAGACTGGTTTTGAAAAGGTATTTATTTTCTTCTGCTGTTATTTCTGATGGAATATTCAATGTTGCTGTTAATATATTTCTTTCAGCATTTCATACAATGCAAAGATTCTTCAGATTCTTGCTTTAGATCCAGGAGAAATCTTGATTCTCACCACTGTGGCCTTTATCAGTGTTTACTGTGGTCTTAGCTACAATATCCCAAACCACACTATTTCATTTGCTCCCCACTTCTGCTTCATTTTATCTCACTGCTACTGTCTTTTTCTCCCCAGCCTCAGAGCTGCATCCTTCTTTTGTTTACTGTTCCAGGTTTTTGTTCACCATCCTCCAAATGCTGGGACTAGATCATTGGGAGTCAATATTCCTCCTTACAAATACAAACTGAGACACAGAAAAGTCTTACCTGAAGCATGTTTGTAACATTGCTGCAGTGGTTATTTTTCTGGTTTATTATTTCTAAATTATTATTGCATTTTTCTGCTGGTTCCTTTTTTTCCAACCATCTCTTTACTAGTCCAGGTTCCTTCCTACTTTGCAAATGCCTTCACAGCCCACTCCTCTGCTGCTTCATTAACCTTGACAAACCTTCAGCATCCTTTGCACGCTGGCAGTTGGAGTGCCATGACTGCTGCATGCTCAGGATCACTGCTCCTGCTGGGGCACTTGGGAATTTGGACTCCAGTTTTATTCTTGGTGTAGGCAGAGCACGCTGTGGTGTGAGCCTCTCCCAAGTTCCTGCACAGAGCATTGCAGCACCAGCTGAAGTGTTTGGTTTGCCTGAGTGTCCTGAGCTTGGTGAGAGGCTCCCTGGGATCCTCTTCTCCTTCCTTCTGCCCTCAGGCAGGGCAGTTGGTGATCTCTCCTTTTCAGTTTCTGCTGATTCACTCTCTGTCTTACTCATTTTTGGCCATATCAGTGTGCACTTCTAACTCCTGCCTTGCACTTCAGAGGACAGGCACTTTTTTATTTTTTTAAGCCACAAGTGCAGGTTGAACTTTGAAAACTTCAGTGGCCAAAATAATGTGAACACATGAAAGCTCCATTTCAGGCTGCCCCCTGTTCTTGCCTGTAATTGTAATTTCAATTGTAAATTGAAATGAACAATCTTGACAATGCCTCAACACATTCTTGTTTTGTTTGCAAAACAAAGCTAGTTGTGCACTTTATACAGTATTCTCTTAATAAATACCTGAAATTAATTGTTAGAAATTACACTTTACTTTTCCTCTTTCTTTAAAGATGTTTTTTACTCTTTTGGACTGGAAACACTGTCCATTAGCACAGGTTTTTCTGGGAACTGTAATGTGTTGTGGTTCCTCTGCTAAGGTGTATTTATGCTGCTCTAAATTCTTAGTTGGGGGTTTGATGTTTTTGTTTATTTGGGGGGGTTTTGTGGTTATGTTTGTTTTGGGTTTTTTCTTACTTTTGGGTTTTTTTTCCAGACATATTTCCTGCTTCTAGTTCTTGGTCCATTTGAAGTGTTTCAGGGATGTGAGCTGCCCAGAACAGTGATTCTCTTGGTGGAGCCTGTGTCTCTTTTTCGCTTCAGTGACCAGAGGAGAGCACAGGTACCTGGCTGTTGATCATTCCCAGCCCCAGGAGACTCTGGGTTGTGCTCCACCACAGGTGAGATGCTTCACCCACAACACTTCCATCTGTGTTCAGTGCAAGTTTTGCTGTTGCCTGTAAAGAGTTTTCAGCTCATTTCTTTCAAAAGATGATATTCCCTCTTGCTGTGACCCTGCAGATCAGTGTTACCTTCTCATTCATTTCTCTTTCTGATGAATTTTGGACAGTGATGCCTTACAGGTCAGGGCTTGCTGGAGTTCCCTTGCTTCTAACAGCACCTTCAAAGAGGGTAGTGGCACATTTAAAGGAGAGCATGGGTTCCTGCTCTCACAGGTAACTTTGGTGGTTTCAGCATTGCTCTGTTTGTCTTCCACTGAGTTCCAAAAATGCAGTTGAGCCCAGTCTGTCTTCATGCTCATCTTAAGCAGCTGCTTCTCCAGAGCAAACTCAGTGTTTTAATAAAACTCCAGCATGTGTGGATGCTGCATGATGCTGCTGACTAATGGAATACCAAAGGAAGTCTCTCACTTCCAGGGCTGAGCTTAGGCATCACCTCACTTCAGCTGGCACCTCTCGTGCCTGGTGTGAGCTTTTGCTGGTTTAGGCACTGTGGGGATCAGATTGGCAGGGTTATCTGACATCTCTGCATGCTCTGAGGTCACAGAGAGGTCAGCTCTCAGCTAGCACTGTTTGCTTTCACTGCCAGAGGTGGAACAAGGGGGAATTTCCCTCTGGTCCTTAGCAGGTAGCTCTGCTTGCCCAGATCTGTTAAGCCAGCTATGTTTTGGGAGTGCTGCCACACCTGTGAGCTCCCTCTTGGTCCGAGCGATGCTGTCACACTCTTGTCCTGGGCTGGAGGGCTCTCTGGCATTTTCCCTTTCAGCCAGAGCCTTTTGGCCCTTCTCTGGCCTTCCTGAACTCCATGGCTTCAGATCAGTGCCAGAGCTGCTGAGGTGCTTTGCCAGCTGTGCCCTCAGCTGCCACACAGAATGAGAACTTTTTATTCACCATCCAGACCTTCCTGCCTGTGTCTTCAAGCACAGTTGAACATCTTTCTCTCTAAGGTATTCTTTCAGCTCATTTCCTGCCAGAACTCATTCTGGATCCAGTGCTGTTGGCTGATTCCTGTTGAAGTTTATGAGCTGAAAGCAGTGAGTATTTTTCCACATGGGCCAAATGCACTCTTCTCCCATTAGCAGCAAGATTCCAGTTTTTCTTGGAGCAGTATCCCAAAAAGGCCTAATTCTCAGTTTGCCAACCTGCTCCAGGTTCAGTCATGTCTGCCACTCACACTTGTTCATCACTTCTATGGGTTGGACATCTTTTGAAAGACTTTGGTTGCTCCCTTACAGGGACATTAGTTCATTATTGGACACTGGAATTGTAGAAGATACCTTTAATTTTTATTTTTTAAAATTTTAAAATACTGTAACAGCAGTGAAAATCATACAGAAATCTCTGTAATGTTTCTAGACTCCCTTTCTCCCTGTGCAGTCACTTCTGAGCTGCTGGGGGCAGCTGTGCTCCCCCTTATTGCACAGATAAACACTGAAATCACACTTCCTTGAGTGCCTGACAGGCAGCATGCAACCTTGTGCACTACTTCTTTTTCCCTTTATGCAGCTTTTTTTTTCTTTTAATTTTGCTTGGGTTAGGGTTTTTTTTTCTTTTGCCCTAACAGGAATTTTCTGTGAGGCATCCACAAGAAGCTTCTTTATGCTTGTAGCAGTTGTTGTTTCTCAGGCTTTGTTAGAACTTCCTAGAATTGTCCTTGTTTTTAATGTCAGTATTTAAATATTGGCTGCAATATAGAAATGGGCATTCTTCACCTATTCTTTGGAAGTGCTCAGCACTCAGAGATTTCTTGGAATACAGCAGGGAGCTAAGAGATAAGACTCTTTGAAAATCAGGCTAACAAACAGAAATGCACAAGCCTCTTTTTTCCTTACTTGTACTCAAGTACATGGATAAAGTAAATAATAAGAAATGAGAAATAATTAATGTGTAGCTGCTCTCTGTGCAGCTCCTGTAGTGTTTTTGTGTGGGGCTGCAGTCAGAACACACCTCTGGAGTCTGGACCCACAGGTCACCTACTGATGGAGCTGTAAAAGCCCAAATCCATAATTCAGTGACAAAGGGGCTCTGCCCATCCATTTCTTCATCACACACAGGGAGAGAAAGGGCACTGCTTACCCAGGTGGGTCCTTCACTACCAAGCACCTTAAGAAATCCAGACAAGCACTTTGAAGGTCCCCCTGGAATGAGTAGATGTGGCTTCTTGATGCGATTATTGGATGTTTCCTTCTGAACTGAAAGCAGATTTACTGTTTCACAGTATCTCCTGTGCTCTTGTCCTCTGGTGCAGCCTGCTCTGTCCGGTCCCAGCAGTGTCCTGAGGGCAGTCCTGCTCACCCTGACATTCCTCTCATTGGCAATTACATCTTCAAAAGGCAGTGTCAAAAAGGCAGTTTTCAAAATAATGAGCTTTTTCAGTTCACAGACCTCTCTGGAAAGCCTGCAGGCTTTTTGCTCCCCAGTGTGTGTTGAAATAGCAGAGTGGTGTGGCAGAGGTTGCTGAAGCACTGGCTCTGAGGAGTTGCTGCTGTGTGGACATTCCTGCCATCCTCTCCCAGGGATGGGGAACAGCCCACAGGCATCCTGTGTGCACCAGAGGAGCCTGCTGGTCTGATCTATCTTAACCAGGTGGGCAAGAATCACAGATAAATTCGGATTAAAGCAGACACACGGGGCAGGAGGATGGTTACCTCAGTGGCATCTCTCTCACACCCTGATGGGGACTGAGTAATGATGAGTAAGGAGCCCATCATTGTCCCAGTCCTGCTCAGCACCTGGAAATCAGTGCTGGGATGTGTCTGTTGCTGCTCCAGAGCTGTCCAGCTCACACCTGGTTGCACCCATGGGAGGCCAGCAGGTGCCAGTGCTGCCCTGGGGACCACAAGGGGCTCTGGCATTTGGCTGCCCCAGCTCAGGTGTGCTGAGCCTGCTGTGCTTCAGGAGCCTGGAGCACACAGCCCTGCTGAGGCACGGTGGGAATGAAGTCTTTCCTGGCAGCAAATCCTTGTCTTTTTCCTGAGAACACTGTTGTGGGAATAACACCCACTGCTTTGTCTTAAAATAGGTTTTATTCATACGAGTGGTGCATCTTTCAACTCTTTATTTTCCCCCTCTCTGTTGTTACTGTAGCCAGCCCTTCATCAGTGAAGTATAACAATTTTCAGGACCTTTAATTGTGAAATTTCATAGAAAATACCTGTTCTTTCAATGTCCTAACCAAACTTCATGCTTTTGAGAGTTTTAAGAGCTTTTTTGGACAGGTTATTTTGGGTTTTATTTTGGATTTTTTTAATCAGCCACCAGGTTTGGAAGTGTAATAACTTTTTTTTGTGCTAGCTGCAGTTTCTTTTTCCTTCCTGGATGTTTTTTTTCTGAAGGGACCAACACATAGCACAATGCAGCTTAAATTTCTAATCCCATGCATTCCTCAAGGCAGAAACCTTTGGTGCCTAATGATGCATCTGAGTCTAAGAACTGTATGTGGATAAAATCTTTCATAGACCAATAAAAAAAAAAATCTTAGATTAACCACATAATAATCACAGGAAAAAAAAACCACGTATAGATTTGAGACATTCAAATTTAATTCCCTCAACTTACATTAAGTTGAACTATTTCAGGTGTGTCATAAGAGACAAACTCAGTGGATATTCAGAACAAAAGCTGCTCTCTCCAGGTTCAGTGAGTGGACAGGACTATAATTTTGAATATATGCAGTCTTTTAGGGCTACTGATTTAACAAGTAACTGATTAATGGCTTGTGTCACAACCCTATTAAAATTCTGCTAGTAAATCCCCTTGAAGTGCCTCTTTAAATAGTATCTGCTACAATCATGTGAAAAATACAGAATTACCCTACAAATTGTCAAATCTCAGGAGCAGCCACTGTGCACAGATCTGTGCAGGATTCTCAGCCCCTTCCTTGCTCTGAACTGTGCACCCTTTTAGGACAGCCACATCTCCAGGAGTCCTGCCTTTGGCTCTGAGAATTTGCTGTCCAGCTCAGGCATTGTAAGTTCTCAATGCTGACAATGGAATAGAAAAAAATTAGACTTAAAAGCAACTGCATTGAAACTAATCTTTGGACCCATGCTTGGTCTCAGTAGAATAAGCAGGGAATTTTGCATAAAATTAGTATGCAGTGATAATTTTACATAAAAGAGTTGTTACACTTTATTGCATAAAATTAATAAATAATAATAATAAAGCCCACAAATTTATTTTTTACACAGCAGTTGCAGAGAAGAAATGTTCTGGTCCTGGAACTCAAAAGCTGAATGTGATTTCAGGGATCTCACATCTGGTAACAAAATAATCAAAGTCATGTTAATCCCAGAATTTGGCAATGGCTGACCTGAAATCCCTTTTTCCTTTGGAGTTTTTTGATTAAATGGCTGAGATTATCAGAATAGCCTAAGGAATTTGGATGTCCATACTCCTTTAGGTCAAAAACACTCTTTAGGGACAGCAGCCTCTATCCATTAGGAAAACAGCAGGTACTAGTGTTGGACAAAAATTCTTTCTTCTCCTTAGATGCTTCCCTTGTTTTCTGCAGCACAAGGCAGTGTGAGAATTCCTGGGAAGTTCTGCAGAAACTGTAGCAGCAGGGATTCACAGGCAGGCCAGATACCAGGCATACACTAAACCAGAGTTTTCTATCAAAATTAAGTTGCTTATTTGGTCCTTTTTGTGTAAGTTTTCCTAAATACTTCTAAATTTCTAGGAAAGTTGTCTTTTGCCAGTACTAATGACTTGTTTTTACAGATGCTTAACCAAAATTTTATAACTTCCCATAAATTTTGGCTGACTAGACCCTTTAAATAGTTTATTTATCACACAGCCTCTGTCTGGGTTACTAGTAAATCTTGGATCATTGTGGAAATTCTAGGATGGCTTTTGTTCCCTAAGGATAGATGAAGGAATCACTTACTGAACTTAAGTTGAATGAAGAAAAGATTTAAGGGGCAGATCTTCAGCTCAAATAAACTGGCAGGGTTCAGTGGAAGCTACTTGATGTCAGCTGTGGATCTTGTCCTTCAGTGTTGAAGGCATTTCCTATATGTAATTTTTCTGTCTTACTGTAAAACAATTTCATATGGTTAAACTGTATTTTCCTATATTGTTCTGCAAGTTTATATACACCATAGTGCTCATCTCATCTCCTGTAAAATAAACTGTACAGAGACACATTGAGCATGGAATTGTCTTTACCCAGTTGCTTTTTCTTCTCCCACTGCCCCAAATCTTGTGAGTGCAGTTTGATCAAAGACCCTGTGGGGTGCCACATGGACTTTATGATATTTATTCATTACTATTATATTTATTTATTACTATTATATTATGTTAAAGCAGCTTGAATTTGCAGCCACATCACTGGGGGTAATCTTTTTGTGCCTACCTTTTTGAGATCTTCACGTGCTATTCAGACACGTTTGGTTCCTACAGTTCTATTTTCAATTTTTATTTTTTTTTTTCTGGAAATCAGTTTAAGAAACACGTGTGGTTAAGTGGTTCTTGAAGCAGGCAAGCTGACCATGAGCAGCCTGAGAGCAGCTGCTATGGAATGGGTGTGTATTTTGTGTTTTAAGTGATCTGGAGCTCTTCCCCACCCAGTCAATCCTTTAGTTTCAAGCTTCACGTGCAGCTGGAAGCTCACTTGAAAACACTGCTGTGCCTTGTTAGTAATTTTTCTCCTTTTGATATTTCAGTTAATATGCATGCTGACAGGTTTTCTGACAAAGTCAAAATCAGGCCTGCCAAAATCCTGCCTAACCCAACAGCTGCCTATGAAAGGGGGCTCAGAGCAGCCAGGGGTCAAAGCTCTGCCCCCTTCCAGCAGGGTGTGACATCCATACAGCTCAGAAACCTCTGTGGAGATTCTTTCTGGGAATTTTTATGATTTTGAACTGATGTGAAACTGGTTTCTGCAACCCCCTGTGCTTGTGCATGGAGGTGGGAAGCGGTGGCAGAGGTGTGCACACTCCTCTCAGAAAGGAGAAGACACTGAAGGTTAAACATTGAAAAAGTTCCAGGTGGAAGCTCAGTTTTCACAGCAGTGCCTTTGCACCTTGTGCAGAGTTGCCTGAATCTGTTAAAATTCTCTCAGATTCTGGTGCATGGTGTAGAGCAGCTGATGAGTACCCTGCACACGCTGTGGCACATTCAGCTGCACCCTGACAGCAAAAAGCACTTCCTTGTGGAGGACTTTGACATGACCTGGAAACCCAAACTGGGGAGATGCTGAACAAGCCATTTGCTGTGCTGGTGTAGAGCCAGTGCCCAGCAAACCACCCCAGTTAGAGGACCAGAGCAGGTACTGGCAGTGGCAGGGTGTCAGCCTTGCAGTCTGCAATATTTCCATGCAGAGACCACAAGGTTCAGCACCATTCTGCACAGGAATGTCTGTGCTAGGCTTCTGCAGCCATAATAATTAAAAAATCAGCTTGGCTTCCACAATGTAATCAAGCCTTTGACTTGTCCATCCAAGAGGAGAAGCAGGAGATGACTGCACCTACAGATGTGTCAGGCCTGAACTTAAAGCAGTGCTCCTGGACCCACGGGCCAGCCCTAAGGCAGGTAAGTCCTGCTGGTGCTCCTGGGGACCTGGCAATGATCTGTTGGATCTGTCTTCATCTGTGTTGGCCGCTGGGCACACAGAGAGACAACTCTGCCTTGCAGGGCTTGGGATGGACAGACGGACAGCCTGCAGAAGGTCACAGATGTTCAAGGTATTTGCAGTGTTCATGGAAGGATTCACATATGGCCATTGCAATAGGAGTAGACATGGGTACAGTAGACATGGGTGAGTCAAAAAAGTTAAACTGACTCTGCGAGGTGGATGAGCTGAATATGTTTTTGAGCCTTCAGAAGTCAGTGTGAGCTGTGTTCTGCATGAGGCCCGTAGAAGTAAAGCTATGTGTAAAGTAGAAGTAAAGCTATGTGTAAAGTTAAAGCAGTTGGTTTAACTCAGATCTTGTAATCTTTCCTGGTCTGCTGCATTACCACCATTTCTGTCACATGGTTTCAAGGAATACAATGGCAATTTCTGAATTGATGGTCAGATGGCCCAGGGAATTCTATTTGCACAGCTTTGAACTAACCTCACACACAAGGGAAGTTTGAGCAGTCACAATCCTCTAGCTTGACTGGAACCACAAAAATACTCGTGTCATATTTCTTCCTTGGGGAAGTTACTGTCTCAGTCCTTATACAAATGAAAAAAATTACAAACATGCACTGGTGAAGTATTTATTGTAGGGACAAACAGTCCAACCTCAGTGGTCTGTGCTGCAGGCTGTTTGCACGTTGTTTTCACAAGTCCCTGAAAGCAGAGGATGAAAACCTTCAGCTCAGATTTGATTTTGACTTCCTGTTTTATCAAGTAGAAAACCAAACACTCAAGTCCCCAAAGCTACAGCTGAAGTTACAGTCTTTTTATTTACAGAGCAATGATTTTTTTTTTAATTTTTTTTAGACTTAGCAAATGTTTTAAGACTGTCATTTGTCTCTGGTTCTTTGCTCAAAGAGACTGGGGCTGTATTTTGTGTCAGCTGCTTGGATGTCTTTAAGCTGACTTCCACAGCTCTGCTCTCAGGCTTCAGGGGCTCTTCCCACTGCCTTTCCACTTTCTGCAAGTTTTGTAAAAGGGAGGAACCGTGGTGGAATGTGGAAATGTGGGGGGTTAAGTCCAGACACCCTTCTAGCACTGTTCACAGCTCTCAGGGATCTTCAGTTGGCTCACACCCTCATGAGAGTGGCTGCAAATCGTGTGCAGCTGTGCACAGTTAACAGCCTGGCTGCTGTGGTGCTTACAGACACCACGGGCAGATGTGTGCTCAGGGCCTCTCTGACCTTTGTTGCTTTGTGCTTTTCCTCTCTTGTTGAAACCAATTCATTTCTTACCTCTCAAGTCTGTGAGAAGTAAAACTCTGGATTAGTCCATGTAGCACCAGATCAGTCTGTTGTATTTGCAGGGATCCCCATGGCAGGAAGGAATGATGAATCTGACTCCATATTCTCAGAAGGCTAATTTATTATTTTAAGATACTATATTATATTAAAGAATACTAAACTAAACTGTACTAAAGAATACAGAAAGGATACTTACAGAATGCTAAAAAGATAATAATGAAAACTCATGACTCTCTCCAGAGCCCTGACACAGCTTGGCCCTGATTGGCCAAAGAGTGAAAACAATTCACACCAGAATCCAATGAAACAATCACCTGTGGATAAACAATCTCCAAACACATTCCAAAGAAGCACAACACAGGAGAAGCAAATCAGATAATTGTTTTCCTTTTTCTCTGAGGCTTCTCAGCTTCCTAGGAGAAAAATCCTGGGCAAAGGGATTTTTCCAGAAAATATGAATGTGACATTAGTCCATAAGCACCAGTTTCATAGGGAAGGGTGGGAGAAGAAAGCTTGGTCATGAATTTCATGGAATACATTGTGATTCAGCCCTAGATGATGCTTTGATCCTCTGCTCAGGATCTTCCCCAGCAGTATCAGTGCAGGAGTTAAACAGCACTTGGCAGATTTTTTGCCTCCCTACAGATAAACAGATGGACAGTTCAGTCAGTGATTGATAATTGATCTTCTGTGATACCTTTCTCAAATAAAGTCCAGTAAATCCACCCCTTCCCTTCCATGAAAGGCAAAGGAGAAAGGAAAAAGCTGAAGAATTCTTCCTAGTGCATTTTTGTTGGTTGTGTTCCTTTCCTTAGATCTTCTAGGTGGTGTTTTGCATCCTCTTTGCTGAGCCAATGTGATGCACAAGGAATCAGCCTTGGAGGGCTGGTATGTGGCAGCTGAACTTTAATTTCCTGGAGCTAATTGCAGTGATGAAGCTCACAAGCAGCTGCTTCTCACTGTAGATGTGTGTGGCTCCAGGAATGACTGCAGAGATAGCTAAACACGAGATGACATTTAGCACAGCAGAGAGTTTGTGAGATTTGAAATGGCAGGTGGAAAAAAACAGTTAAAAATCCAGAAGGGTGGTTGCTATGGAAGTTGGGAAGATGATGTTAGCAAAATAACATCATGAAGAATTTTAAACACTTTTCCTTACAGAATCACAGAATTTTCCTTAATGGGAGCTCAGACTGATGGGAAAAGGGAAGAAAATTCCAGAATCAAATGAAAAGAAGTGAAAGGAAGAACCAGTATTATCAATTCCAAGGCATAACTGACAGAGCTTTCCAGAATGGAATGTTTGTGCTTTACTGTTTGAGCCTTTGAGGCACAGACTCTGACGTGCAGAAGCAATATATCTAACAAAGAATGTAAGTACACATGAATAATTAGCATACAGTTGACATCTCTGGCTGTAGGAGGAGCCACTGTGTCTGGAAAGTTGTGTTCTAGGTGTAGTAAAATATCACAGATTGATAGCCTGTCTCAAACAGATTACTGAGATCTAATAAATCTTGTACATATCAGATCAGTTATCACACATCTCATGGCAAAGCTCTTCTGACCCCCACAGGCTATTCTGGGCTTGGAATGTGATTTTTCTTTTTTATTTGTCATGCAAGTTTTGACAGAAAGCAAAATCCTTGGCAAAGACAACTGCAAAGCTGTGGCAGTCAGGTTTGGGCAGGGGTAGCCTCTGATGTCCTGAGGATTAACAGACCAATATTCAGTAAGACAATAATCATTGTCTCACTGAATGGATTGACTCAGCAGAGTCCAGGCTCCCAGGGCTGTGGGAAACCTTTATCTCCCACCAGGCTTTCTCCAAAGGCAGTGGAAATCTGGGGAGTAAAGGTGAGAAACCAATGGATAAAATAACCCCTGGGGGAATGTTAAACTTTCTGTTGCCTGATAATTAGGGTGCAAATTAAATACATAATTTCCATAAAATACCACTTGTAAACAAACACCAGTTTAGGTCAGGCTGTCTCCTCCACTCTTGTTTTGTCAGAACAAGATCCTATTTCTTGTCCTTCCAATGGGAACTGGAAAAACAGAAACTTCTCCAGACAGTGAAGAGTTGGATCTGCAGCTTTAAAAGACACTGAGATTGATGTAAAAATAGAATACCCAGACATTAAGCAGAAAAACATAATCTTATGTTTCTATAGTTGTAAGAATATGCCTTAAGTAAGTGAGAAACTACATGAGGATAGTGAAAAGTTTATAAAGTAGGGGTGTGGTTGTATGGAATAAGCCAAGAGTTTAGAAGTTAAAACAGAAGCATATGTGTGCAAGTGAGTTAGAACCTCATTAGATAAAAGTATCCACAGTACAGCAGAAGTAAGTAAAAGTGATAAGTTAGAAAAGTAAAATAAACCCTGTAGCAACTATTAGTTGCTTATAGAAGAAAGCAATATATCTTATTAATAATATTTCTAAGATTATTTCTAATATTTCTAATATATTATCTGAAAGTTATATATTACCTTATAACAAAAAAACCTTGTAACTACTCTTAAGCTAGAGCCAGATGCTTACTCCTCTGAAATCTCACTGATTGATGTTTAACTAACCAATAAACTGTTCTTAACTTAAAAATAGTCCCATCCCTTCATTTCTAGCAGTGACAGTGATACCTTCCCACTGGTTCTGTGCCCAGCCTGTGCACTGGCAGCATCCCTGGCTGCTGCAGGTGGTTTTATCAGCTCACCAGGCTCCAGTGTGCCTCCAGGGGCTCCACAAAGGGTGGAAAGAAAATCCCAGGAGGATTCCAGACCTTCAAATTCCCAGGAGGACAGTCAGCTATTCCTGACTCTGACTAACATATGTGAATTGTGAAGTTCGCTGCTGTCATCTAGAAATATTGAGAAATGAGGAGCTTGTAATAATTCTGTAAAATAAATAATGCTGTATTCTTGCTGTTATTTGCTTTCTGAAGGAATCCATGTGATGGTTGTTTTTGTCTGGATCAGTCCTCAGGCCAGCAGGGCCTGCTTATATAACAAGAGTTGATTTTTATAAACTGAAAGAGGCAAAAAGCCCAAACACATAATAGAGAGGAGAAAATGCAGCTAGAGGGACTGCTGTTGAAAACACAGAAAACTGGTTTCTTGACCATATGAAAATCTTTAAAAGGCAGTTGAAAAGTAAACTACTTCACTGAGATGCCGTAAAATCTTACCATTTCAATGTTTTTAACACCTAAGTAAAACATTCTAATTCACTTCAATCTCTTTAATGTCTTAAACAATGGCTCTAGAAGAAATCAGTCTGTTTTAAACTGAGGAAGACACAAAGTGTGTGTGTGGTGTCTGGTGTTTCCAGTGGCTGCTGAAGAAATCCATTGCAGTAAAATTCTATATAAACAGAATTCACATTCTAGTAAAAAACCCCTTTAAAAACTGCAGATAAATTATTTTAAAATAAATCAAACATTTACAGTTTATTAATATATATCACTGAAATATACAACTTGGTATTGATTAAATAGGTTAACACGGATAGAACTGTAAAAGAAATACTTTTTTAAAGTGCCAGAAATAGGTTCTTGAACTAGTGCTAGTCAATGAATTTATCTGTTCTTTGCAATAAAAGAGTATTAATGCCACAGGTTGCATGGGTAAACTTTTGTAGCCTGATAAATAATCATAAAAGCACTGGTAAGTTATATGAGTGGAATCATAGAATATTAACAAACTTGATTGCATTTCACAGGTCTCTGGTTGAGTTTGGATGTGAGAAATGAAACTTCACCATGGCTCTTGTTAAATGGAAGAAGAATGATTTCACAATACTCTTGGTGCTGTCACAATCCCGTGTCTTTGTCCATTTTGGGTCCCCTGGGAGGAAGGTGGAGGCAGCACTTACACTGTTTTGTCATTAAGGACACATGTAGGGCAAACCAGAAGTCACAGTGGCTTGTGTCCAAAAAAAAAGTAACAAAAATTGTATCAGAACATTTCATTTGGGCACATTCTGTGGAAGTATTTTGGCTTTTCATCTCATAGTGACATTTCCAGCACTAAACTTTAAGTGAAGATGCTCAAAAATGTAAGCAAAAGCTTGGTTCTTCCCAAGTTTGTCTTTTGGGTTATATACATACATATATATGTATGTATGTATATATATATATATATATACACACACACATATATATAAGATATTGGGGTCTCCTTGAGCTAGGTCTTATGAGCTCTTGGAGATCTATATTACACCTTAGATAGCTCATTTACCTCAGATGGCATAAAATCAGCAGGATGGCTTCTGTGGCAGTGTTGGAAACAGAAAAGTTTTAATAAAAAGGCAAAATAACAAAGCTCTTACAGAGAAAAGCCGAGCCAGGGCAAGAGGTTCTTGCTCCTGGTAAAACATCTCACAAAAGGAATTATTTCCTTTGTTCTCTTCTTTTTCTAGTGAATTGCTCAGGTGGGACTTGTTGGCTCCTCTCCGATTAGCTATCCTTAAGTTTGAGGTGAAGTCCCAAAGGTCCTATGAGGTGTCTTTTTGCCAAATTGAGGAGAGAAACTTCTGGGCTTTTTTCCTTTTTAAGGGGACAAAGGATAATTTGGTCACTCTGTCAACAAGGGGGCACATTCCTACAAATATATATATGTTTGGTCTGGTTTGTTCTAAAATGGGGGTGGATTTCTTGAGATGGGGTATGATTTCAGTCTGTGAAGGAGTCTTCCACACGTCTCTCTGTTTAAGAACCACTCATGAAAAACAAAAACTGTCTTCTCATGACGTGACTCAAAGCCAGTCACATATGGATGAAGCTCACCAAACTTCAGTGTCTCCAGAGCCTGCTTATTTCCAGAGTTCATCCTGCTTCCTTGTGGATGCTACAGAAATGCCAGCTCAAAGCAAAAACGCTCCATCCAGAAGACCTCTTCTCCCTGGACACACAGCTTAGCAACCTCCAGATAAATAACATTTTTCTCAGCCCAAGACAATCGGAACACCTGGGCCATCAACTGCTTCGTCCTCGCGCTGCCCAGAGCCCTGAGCAGCCTGCAGCTGAGAGATGAACACTTGTTTTTTCTGAGCCCTGCTGCTGGCAGGTGCTGTCCCAGGGGACGGCTGCCTAAATTTCACTTTCCTCAAAGACCTCCTCGGTGGTCTCTCCGGTGGTGACCTCTCCCTCGCTGCTGTCGGACATGCTCATCTGGGGAGGGCCTGCCCGGGCCTCTGCGCCCGGCCTGCCCAGCACCTTGTGCAGCTGCAGCTCCCAGGGCCTGCTCGCCTCCAGGCCCAAGTGGTGCCTGCTGCTCGGGTGCTGCTTTTTCCTTTTCTGGGAACATTTCCTGAGGTATTTGATGTTTTCCCCTAGAAAGCAGAGCTTGCAGCCCAAGGGATCTGCCAGCAGGAAACGGGACCACTGCTTCTGCAGCTCTGCTTTCACCTGAGGGGAGGAGAAAAGAGTCATTGGTAATGGCGTGTGAGCGCCCTGGAGTTCACTGACACAAAGGCCAGGTGGAAAATGAGAGGAACTGTCAAGTGCTGAGCTTCCTGCCCCTCTGGGGTTTACCTTGGTGCTTGTAGGGTAGGAACAGATTTGTTTGTTAAATCAATCTGAAGAGTCCAGCCTCTTCACCCTGACTTGGGAAAGTTTTTCCTCTGCAAATGTGATGTGTGCGCTTGGGAAAGTTTTTCCTCTGCAAATGTGATGTGTATGTGAAGTAGTGGCAGCCTGCACCTGGGCCAAGTGTCAGGGAGAACAGGCAGATTCAGCTTAAAAACATTTAAAAATTAACTGAGATAGCATCATTTTCCAAGGTAGCTTGTAGCAAGTCAGCCTGAGAGAGCTGGGGTTGTTCAGCCTGGAGAAGAGAAGGCTCTGGGGAAACCTTAGTCCCCCTTCCAGGGCCTAAAGGGAACATATAAAAAAGCTGAGAGACACTTTTATGTGGAAATAGCGATAGGACAAGGAGGGGGCATGGGTTTAAACTACGAGAAGACAGATTTGGATGAGATGTTAGGAGGATATTCTTCCCTGGGAGAGCCCTGGCACAGGGTGCCCAGAGCAGCTGTGGCTGCCCCTGGATCCCTGGAATGCTCAAAGCCAAGGTGGACAGGGCTGGGAGCAGCCTGGGACAGTGGGAGGTGTCCCTGCCATGGCAGGGGTGGAATGAGAAGGGCTCTAAGATCCCTTCCAAACCAACCCGTTCTCTGATTTTATGAAATTATTTTTTCAACAGGTTGCTGGCTGAGATAATGAACTCTGAATGTGATCACTTACATGGAGCTCAGGGGTAAACCCAGAGAGGGTTCAGCCTGGCTGAGCACGAAGTCTGGGGTTCAGCTGGTTAAAGGAGGGGATTTCTGGTGACCATAAACCTCTAATGGCATTTCAGACACCTCAGCTGTCCAAACCTCCACAGTGCTATCCCCACTCAGCCTTCCCTGGAAATATTTTGCATTTGAGTCCAAACCTGTGGTAGTTCTTGCTGTTCCCTTCACTCAAAACAATTTTACCAGCTCAAAAGAATGCATACATGCTCTCAAAAAGCAGAGCTGCTCAGGATGTTCATCCTTCTTGGTGTCATTAATACACTTTGCTAATGAATTAAGAGCTTCTCTCACAGCATTGGGTCTTACCTCTCCGTTAGCAAAGCAATAGAGAACTGCTACCAAAAAACCCTGTAAGAGAAAGGAGTGAGAGGAAAAAGTCAGTGTGCAGGAAATACCTGAAGCTCTAATGTAAATGTGACATTAGTGTTAAAACCATAAATATAAACAGTGCTCCTTAATGTTCAAAAGGAAAGTAGTTTATTTATTTATTAATTAATGAAGTACCCAGTCCCTTGTTTTTGGGCAGTTCCTTAGCAAGTGCAGGGCACATTTTGTGTAGATGCTGAAGAATAGAAATTATATACATCAAAATATATTTTTAAATTAGAGATAAATTATGTATATCTAATTTAAATATATATAAATTATATATATATATATTTACAGATTATAAAACCCATTTATAATTTTGCTTCCACATAATGGGGTTTTTTGCTACCACATAATGGTTTTTTTCCAAATTATTGTGTTATACTGTGACTGCTGCTATTTCCACATGAGGTAAAATATAAAAAAAATGCAGCTTGGTTTCTCATATTATATATATGCTTGTTTGGGTTTGTGAATGATTCTTCTGAGAGCTCATTTGGGCTCTTTTTACAAATTATTTCTATATTAAGTGATTAGTGTTAGTTCAAAGCTCAGCTGTATTCAGTGTTATGGACATTTGGAATTGCTGTTTTTCCTTTGAAACCGATTCAGATAAACACCTTAAAAAACCCTACAGCTACAACTTGTTTTAAACCAACCCCAAAATCATAATTTCCATTTGCCTCTCTGTGTCTGGGTTTGATCTCAGGCTAGAGCAGGCTGCATCTCAGCCCCACAGACATGCAGATTGATTCCCACTGCTTCAGGAAATGCCCTTTTTCTGTGTGTCTAAAGGCATCTGTGCCACAATTCTGATGAAGAGAATAAATACTCTGAGTCCCAAGGCAATATTTATATCACAGCTGCAAAGGTGCAATCCAGCTGACAGCATTTGCTTGTTCCCACACTCATATTTTTCCAGAAATATTTCTGCTTTGCTCAGACAGAATTTTAAAAATAAATCCCCATACACAGAAGCTTCAACATTTTTCATTACACCTACAATTAACCAATAGCATTCTGAGCCTGCTGTTAATTTGCTAGCAGTCCTGAATTATTTAGAGTCATTAATTCCTTCAGCATATGTGCAGTTTATCTGCCACCCCAGAGGAAATGGGGACAGGAGAAACAGCAAACAGAATTGCTTTCTCCATATATTTTATTTCCATCATTTTTCATGCTTCACCTGGGTTATGGTAGGAAGATGTAGTTAATTAGAGATAATAAGAGGTGATATTAATAGGTGATATAATAGGTGTTAATAATAGGTGATATTAGTTAATAATAGGTGATATTAATGATAATAGGTGATTATAGAGTTAATAAGAGGTGATATTAATAGGTGATGTTAATAGGTGTTAATAATAGGTGATATTAGTTAATAATAGGTGATATTAATGATAATAGGTGATTATAGAGTTAATAATAGCTGATATTAATAGGTGATATTTATGTGACATATATATCACATAAATATATGTCATCTCATCTAATATTTAAAATATTTAAATATATTAAATAAGATATGAATTTACTAGCTTTATGCAGAACTCCTCCTGCTCCTGGAGGCAGTTCTCTTTTTTGGGGGGTAGAAAGTTCCTAACTCTGCTGGGTGGTTTGGGGGTTTCCTGTTATGGGTATGAGCTCTAAATTTGGCCTCCCAGGCACCACAAGCAGAAAGAGGATTTAAATTTCACTCCCGAGCCTGGTGAAAGGCACTGTGAGAAGGGCAGAGACCAGGAGCTGCCTGTGAGGCTCCCTGGGCTGATCTCACTTTGGAAAATACCTCTGGGAATCTCCTTCACTGCTGCTGCAGGGCCAGGGCAGGAGTGACAAATGCTGTAAAATCCCACCAGAAGGTGGAAGACTTCACTGATTATTTATATTTAATAAATATTTCACTTCACATCCTGGTTTCTTTAATGCTTACTCAGTTTTCTCCCAGTAAATTGATTTTCACAGTTAGAAAGCTTCCCAGTTTGTTGTGACTTCTCAGACACACAGAATTATCCCAGTGTGAGTGAAAATGGAGAATCAGAAATTCAGAATAAATGCTCATTAGCAGAAACACCAACAGGAAAGGACAGATACGCACCTCAAAGCTGCTCTTCAGTTCTAATGACAATTGCAATGTGATAAATTACTCAAATAACTGGGATTTTCCACCAGAAACCAGTGTTTTTTCCTGAGGGTAACAATTTCCATGCACAAGGGAGCCAAGATGTTTAGATTGCCCCATTTCCTAAAGCAAAGCAGCATCCTACCTACAACAGAACTCCTATTTAGAATTTAATTTTGTGCTCCTTGAAAATGTTTGAGTTAAACCTTCAGCTGAGATCCCAGGGATAATTGTTTTTCTTTAACAAAACAGTTTAACTGCCTTTTTAAACTACTGAGAAGATTTACAGACTAAACAAATGTAATTGGGTACAGTTTATGTGCTTTTTGGCTAATCCCTTCATAAATAATGCTGCAGCTAAAAAAGAGAATCTGCAATAAACATTGGCTGAGATCTCTGGGTATTTTTTAATGGAGCTTTGCTTCTAAAGCATGACATGCTGCCAAGCTCATGCATGTTTCTCTAAAAGGAATGAAGTTTGTGTTCTTTAGCAAGGATGAGTAAGCTGGTTTATATATCAGATTTCTTTGTACAAGCCAGTAAATAAAATCTTCACTTAAAATGATTCTGCACTTTTAAAATAACATCTAGGCACTGCAACCTCTCCAAGTAAGGATATTTCTAACCAAGGAACTTATACTCCAACATTAATGTCCCTTCCAACCCAAATAGTTCTGGGATTTTGTGAACACCATGTCAGCAGGCTCCTCGGGGTTGTGGCTCTCCAGGAATTCTCTGCTTTCACTGGCACATTTTCCCCCTCAAGCTGTGGTGGAAATGTTGAAGTCTAGCCTCAATACCAGTGTCAGGACACTGATGCATACATGCACCAGGGCACAGGTGCATATATGCAAAGGTAAAAACCCAGGATTATGATATATTGTGGGAAAAGTGCAGCAATGCTCAGATGGCCTCAGGCTGCAGAAGAGGGCAGCAGTGTCAGAGAGCGAATTACTGAGGAGCAGCCACTTGGAGCCAGAGAGATCACTGGGCTCTGCAGCAAATGAAGGTCTGGAAATTGCTGTCCTGGCCCCCAGGAAGAGCAAGGCAGGGAGGTGTGGGAAAAGGACAACTCTGCTGCACGGGGTCATTAGTGGTCTCTCAAAAATTCATTTCTTAGCAGTGCTGCAGCACTCCAGACAGGCAGACAGAGATGCTTTGTGCCCGTGTCCATCTGGGAATCACCCCTGGGCTCCAGCACCAGCTCAGCCTGGAATCTGGGCTCCTTGGAAGTGGCTGTTTGATTGGAGCGTGGCTCCTTTAGCCTCAGTCCTGCAGCTGAGTTCCACAGCCCTCCCTCAACTCAGCTTTTTCCTGCTCACACCAAACCAAGGCAGGGGGAAGGAAGAGGAGCCAAGTGCCTGAATGCTGTAAAACACTCCTGACTCTGTGGGTGAGAAACTTCTTTTCCACCTGCAGATGCTGGTCCATTTTTCTGTTCCATCACGTGAGGGCTCTGACAAATTTTCTCCTAAAACTAACTAAAAACGGATGCAGGTGTAGAGCACTTTTGTGAGCGTGCAGCTGGGATTGTCACTTTGCAGGTAAGGTGAACAAACATCCTTTAGGAAAATAAGCCCAAGCCTTGGATGAGGCAGACATTCTCATGGTTATGATTTTGGCTGGGAGTGTTTGAAATGGACCATTTTTATCCTGTTGGCAGGGATCTATGATGAGCTGTTACCTATTATTTTTTTTCTGAAAATGTCAGGCTCCTTTTTTTTTTTTTTTTGGTGTTTGGGACTATAATATTTATTTATGAGTGTTTTATCTTGTTACTGCAACAGTGTATTTAGAGACATTGTAGGTTGGGATACAATATTAAATCAGAATTCACTATAACTGTGGTGAGCAGCAAATGCACATGGATTTATGAGCCCTAAAAACAATATTTGCAAAACACAAAAACCAATATTTTCAGAACTTACATGAAATGAGCTCATTGTCAGCTGAATGAAAAGTCTTATATGTCTTGAAAGTCCTTCCACCTGTTCATCAGTGATGAAGGTAAACACAAATTCATGGATCCCCAACAATGGAATCAGCACAAGTGTAGATCTTGCCAATCTCAAAAAGAAAATGTTTGATTATTGTATTTTTTAAACGTCCTTGGGGACAAAAATCAAAAGCTCAGAGACAAAGAAATTATTCTTAAAAACATGCTCTCAATATTCTGACTGTGGAATGGTAGCAGCAGTTTTGTGATTTTGAGAATAATGTATGCACAAATCTGCGGAAAGTCTAGTTAAAAGGCATGAGTAAATGAAATGTTTTCCATGGCACATCCTGGCCAGAATAAAGAATTCTGATTCTCCATCAGGCCACAAACATAGTGCTAGAGGGTTTTTCTTTTTCTTCCCGAGTTTTGGTGGCAAAGGGAAAGATGTGTCCCAGCAGCAGAGGCCACAGGTGTGAGAGGAGCTCCCTGAGAGCAGAGATCTGCATGCACTGAGAAGCCTTTGTGAAAATGCCCCCAAAATTCAGCACAGCTGCTGTCCCAGACATGGAAATGTCTGTGGAGCCTTCATTCCTATTCTGAGTATCTATTCAGAATATTCAGAATATGGCTGTTTCCCATATTCTGAATATCTGTTACTCCTGGTGGTGGTGGGTACATCTTTAGGGGAAACTGACACAATTTTGATGTGACAAATTGTTTAAAAAGGGGCCAGGACTTTGGGGGAATGTACCCTCTGTTAACAGTGACCAAATTATTCTTAGTCTACCTAAAAAAAACAAAAATCCCAAAAGTTTCTCTCCTCAATTTAGTAAAAAGACACCTCATAAGACCTTTAAAACTTCACCTCAGACCTAGAGCTACCCAAGTGGACAGAGGCCAAAAAGTCCCACCTAAGTAATTCACCAGAAAAAACAGAGCACAAAAGAAATAATCGCTTTTGTAGAGTGTTGCAACCAAAACAAAAACCTCTTACCCCTAGCTCAGTTTTTCTTTAAAAAAGCTTTGTTATTTTGCCTTTTATTAAACTTTTTGTGTTCCCCACACTACCTCAAAAACCATCCTACTAATTTTATATCATTCAAAGTAGCTAAGCTCTCTCAAGTGTGATAAATTCAATAAGAGCTCATAAGACCTAACTCAAGAAAAAGCTGTCAGGAATTCTGAGTCAGTTGTTACATACCTGTATTTGTAGTCATGGAAGGTCATTTGCTGAGCTTTCAGTTTGGAAATCAGCATTCTGAGAATTTTTAAGAAGATGCCAAAGTTAACCTCGAAGGAAAACACATATGGTTTATTTACAGCAAATGTTTTTACAGTCATCAGTTAACAACTAAATAAATGTATCGTTGATATTAAACACTTGCAAAACTTGCCACCAAATAACTGGAATGCATCTGGGCTGAAGTTTGAATACAAGCAGGTTATTGTCCCATAATAAATATGCAAAACTGAGTAACAGCATTGCCTTATTCAGCCTGACATATAATTTGATACAGGATCTTCCAAAATTACAGAATTACATTTCATTTTTTTAGCACAGAACCCTCCTTCCTCATTTTTTGAATAAAACTTTATCCCTTCTGTCACTTTATGTGAAAATTGAAGCATTATTACATTATTGAACATGAAATATTATGAATTATTGAAATATGAAATATTATTTTGATATTGCTGTAGTAGGAGACTGTATCTTATTTGTTCCAGAACTTTGGAGGACAAAAATGGCACTAATTACAAAGACCAAGGAGGGAAAAATAATCCAGGTTATATAATTCTTACTGCAATGGAAAACAACATTGGTCCTCGGATGATCCACCAGATCCCCATGTGTTCATTTGTTCCCCAGCACCTGAGAATAATTTCAAGTATAATTATTTTCACATGCAAAAAAAAAAAAAAAGTTAGAATGCTCACATAACTTGTCTGTTTATTTCAAAAGGAACTTGGTGAAGTTCAACTTTTTTCTGAGAATTCCCAGATGGTTTTTTGGTTTGGTTTTTTTTAAGGTTTTTTTTTTTAATGTAAAAGTACTAAAGGGAACCTTGAAAATGTAACAAGTATCCATAGGTGCTGCACAATCTGATAATTTGCTAGTCAAGTACAGCCAAGGGCTTTCAGCCAAGCAAAAAAAATCAGGATTCCAAAGAACATTTTCTTTCATAACCTACCCAGTGTTCTCCAGTTTGGATCTGCTTATTCCCCATGGGCCCACAAACAGGATTGGAACAACTGCAAAGAAAAGAAGAATCTATTCCAGCCAAGCCTGTAGAAATAGACTTTCTATTTCCTTTACAAAATATCCTCCACTGACTCAGCAAAGCAAAACAAAATCAGGGCTTGGAAACAGTTCTGGACTTACCCCATCCTATCACAATGTATGTCTGCAGCAGCCTTCTTTCAGAGAGCACCACAGTTATCAATAATGTGTGCAGATAAATTCCTTCCACCAACAGCCAGAAGTAATTTGCCCCAACAAAGTAATGCATGAAAAACTGGGCAGTCCTGCAAATGATTACAATCTGTAGGAAGGAGAGACCAGGAGTAAATATGGAGTCAGGATCTGCAGGTGAGAGTTTTTACTGATGAGCTGGTAAAAATAATAATTGTCATTATTTATCTTGTAGATAATTTTCCTTGTTGATGTGGGTAAGCTCTATTCCTACAAAAACATACAAGAATAATAAATATTTATCATATTTATAAATATATATAATATCTCTAAAATTATATTAGGTATATATATTATACATATAATTATTGTGTAACTATTAGAACTATATATAATAGTTATAATATATAGTTATATTCTATTATATAATAGATATAATAGAATTATAAATATATTATATCATATATATAATTATATCATACATAAAAATATATTATATTTTATATATATAATACATATTATATATGTTATATGTAAATAGATTAGATATAGCTATAGATGATATAGATATAGATAATCTGTGCCAAATAAACACAGACATTTCCTTCTAAAGGCTACAAGGTGTGAGATGCTTTGCTTAAGTGGCTGTTTCTAAATATTACAATCAATTAATTTGTTCTTCCTATTTATTTAAAAGAAATTCCTTACAATCAGGATTTCATCTTGATTACCCCAGCTTTTACCAACACAATTTCAGCATCCAAAACTCAATTTACAAACACCTCAACAACAGATACTGTAGGGCAAACTCCCAAAACTGTAACTGTTATGACCACTAGAAGCACACATTTATTATCAGCTATGAATTAACACATTACCTCTGGACTGAGGTACAATATCCATCCACTTTCATCATTTGGTCTTTTTGAGTAAATATTGTTGTACACAGAGTCTTTAATAAGAACTGCTGCAGCACGCAAGATAAAGGATGCAAATAAATTCATATGGATGTAGTTTCTTGTGCAGTGAAGTTTTCTGGGGGAGAAAAAATAATGTATGAATCCTCCAGTATATGTGTAATTTGCAGAAATACAATTTTTAAAAACCAACAAAAACCCAGCAAAACAACTGTTTTATTCATATTGCTGCTCAATGGATTCTGCTTAGAAATTGCATTTTTATTGCTCCTTAGGAAAATACAAGTTATTTACATGGGACCAAGAGAATGGTTTGTGTTAGAAAGGATCTTAAGCCCCTTCTCATTCCATCCCCCTGCCATGGGCAAGGACACCTTCTACTAGATCAGGTTGCTCCAAGGCCTTAAAATCCGGATGAACTCAAAATAAAGAATTTCTACCTGACACCTAATTTCAATCTACCATCTTCAGCTTAAAGCCATTTTCCAAAGCTCATCCCCAGCTTTTTTTTTTTTGTAGCCCCTTCAGGTACTGGAACACTGGAAACTAAATGATAACTTCAATTTCATAAGAAGAATGTAAATACAGGGCTCTGTACATTTAAAATGCATGTAAATTTTTACTAACCTGAGTAAAGAAAGTATAAGCAGAGCTAACACCAGTGAGATGAGAGAAAGGTAATATCCTATGGTGTATAAGAGCTGTAATGTGGTGAGCAGCTTATGTTCTTCTTCCTGGGAACAAAGAAGAAAAATGTGTTAGGTAGGCAGGAGGACAGGGCAGAAGCAAAGCTCAGGAACTTTGGGGATCACGTTTTTGAGTTTCCAGGAGCCAGGGCAGGATTCTGATCCCTGCTCTCTGCACTGCCTTTGGAAATCAGTGTGTGACAATGCTTTGAAATCAGTGTGTGACAATGCTTTGAAATCAGTGTGTGACAATGCTTTGAAATCAGTGTGTGACAATGCTTGCACCCTGAGTTTCTTTTGAAATCCAAAGGCTCTCCCAGACTATTCCCAGATTTCTCCTGCCCAAACACCATTTGTAGCCCAAACCACAGCTGCTCCTGCCATGGATTCATGGATCCTGGTGGGTTAGCAGCTGCAGGGATAGCTGACTGAACCTGCACACAGTGTGTGTGTGTGGCCTGGACACACAGCACTGACCAGCTGTGTCTGCACAGTTCTGGGAGCCAGCTCTGCCTACAGCTACTGAAACAGACTGAGTTCACAGGAAAAAATATAATTATTTAATTAGAGCTGTCTCGAATGTCTTTGAGTGACAAATATGACCTCAGAGGAGGAAGGGAACTACTCACACTTTGATAGATTATCATCGAACATCCAGAGCTGAAAGGTACCCACAAAGATTTCTGAAGTCCAGCTCCTGGCCCTGCACAAATTTCCTCTCAATTTGCCTAATTTAGCATTTATTCTTCCTATTTTTTGTTCTATTTTAGCTGCTTATGTCTGCCTCTCAACTCTTCAAACTTCTAGCACAAGAAAAGCATCTCTGAAGAGGCAATGAGATACAGGACGTGTGGCTTTCATAATCCACATTTGGCCTGCAAAGCTTTTCTTGGAACCTGTGTCTTTTCCTCACTGATTTTGCTGGTTTTCTTCTTCTACTCAGCACCAGGACTTTAGCACTGCCTTTGCCAGCAGTTTTCTCTCATAATTCCATGCCAGTGAGCCATGCCTCTCTGGAAGGGGTGGAAGAGCCCAGGGAAAGCAGAGTGGGTGCAGGAGATTCCCAGCTGTTGGTCACTCTGCTCCATGGAAACATTCCAGCAGGGAAAAACCTCGCAAAAATCCCAAGTTATCATCTTGGCTATTTCGATTTTGCAACAGCAAAGCACGTGAAACCAAGCTGATTCCTCTGATGTGTGAAGATACTGCCTCTGGGTTATTTCCAATAGCTTGGGGGGTTTCAATTAAATAAAACAAACAAATTGCAAATATTATGCAATTAAATTAAAACAAAACAAATGGAATAATATTTATTCAATTAAATAAAACAAAACAAGCCCACATTTAGTGTTGGTAGGAAAGCTGGTTAAAGCTTTCAGAGACATTGTCTGCTGTCACACAAGATGAAATAATATCAAATATGCTGATCCAGAATGGTCAACAAACCTTGGAAAACACTCAGAACTTATGAATATATTTATTATATTTGCATAAATAAACTGAAAGTTTGGAAATTCGTGTATTTACCATATAAAGAGCTTAGTAAAAATGTAGTAATACACAGAGCTACTAAACTAAGAATGTTTCATAACCAATCAGTAAAGCAGTGTTACTTGATAAAGTAAGAAACAGCACTCAGTCAGTATTAAAAAGTAAAAAATAGTGGTGATAGTGCTTACCTAAGAGGCCTAATTCTGAATTCCATGGCAAAAGAAGTTTGGCTGACAAAGTCCAGCCTGATGCAATATGAGAAATACAGGAAGGATGGCATTGGGTAAGGGTGGATCCTCCACCTCTGAGCAGCTAACTTTGAAATAATCAATTAACAGCTCAGGAAATGCTGAAGGCTCAGAAGGGAACCTGTCTGGCTTTCACACACCAGTGTGATTTGGGGAGTTACTTGCTTGACAAGTTGCAGTTTTTCTATTTTATTAGGACAAAATCAGCAGATGTGAACTCTGGACTCTGAACAGAAAATAACTCGTGGCATCTAAAGCAGGAATCCCCTTCTTTAATATTTTCTTTTCTGCTTCTTATGAATAAAACAACAGCTTTCTGTTTGGTAATTTAAATGAAATCTGAAGATGCTTTGCAGGTATTAAATGGAAATGTTTTGTCAGTTACTCAAGAAAGGATTAAGAAGATTAAAGTTTTCATCTGTAATATAAAACACACTTACATTTTTCTGGAAATGATTTTTCTCAGAACATTCTGAGCTATCCCGCCAAATGTCTGTGGAATTTTCCTTTGTTTGCCAAATCCCTTCATCCAAGCAGACTCTGTATACATGTCCTACACTTCCTGAAAGTAAACAGAGTTTTAGTTTGAAAGGTCAAAATAGAGATTTCATTTTTCATACATGTTTGAAAGATTTCTACCTCCCCAATAGCCTCTACACCCACCACCCATACTCAAAAAAAAGAATAAAACCCACTTTTTTTTTTGTCTTTGTCAATGTATTTTTTTATAGTTACATAGGACAAAGTAGGAATGTAGTCCAGCAGAAATAAATTCCCAGAATGTACCTGTTTTTTTACAAAACCCACACAGAACATCCAAAAGAGAAGCCTTCATCTCCCTTTATTCATTTTTCCTCATTAAGCTCGTGAATGGGTAATTCATCGACCAGGCTGGCCAGTCAAAACTGCACAGGGATTTGATCAGGGAATGATCTTTCCCTGTAACACTGATGTTGCAGGCTGATATTTCATTTCTGTGCCCCTTCAGCAAGTGGGGTGAACTTACGAAGTTTTTTTGGTTTTCACTGCACTGTCCCAATTAACCTAATTAGGAATTTGCCCACAGCGTCAGAGGAACAGTGTGGGGACCCTGGTTGATGTTTGTTTGATGTTGTCCTTAACATCTGCCATCCATTTATTTCCGATCACACCTGACCTTTTTCAATCATTTCTGAGTTGAAATTGTTCAAGGGTGGTAGCAACAAGCAGAATATCTTGTTTTGCTCAGCTCAGAACTCAGGGAATTCTTTGGGAGCACAGTTTGTTGTGATGGAGCAGGAGCTCTAGACACTGGAAAAAACCTTAAACCATCCATGAAATGTGATCAGAGATCTTGCTTTTGTAGCTGAATGGGTAATTCATCGACCAGGCTGGCCAGTCAAAACTGCACAGGGATTTGATCAGGGAATGATCTTTCCCTGTAACACTGATGTTGCAGGCTGATATTTCATTTCTGTGCCCCTTCAGCAAGTGGGGTGAACTTACGAAGTTTTTTTGGTTTTCACTGCACTGTCCCAATTAACCTAATTAGGAATTTGCCCACAGCATCAGAGGAACAGTGTGGGGACCCTGGTTGATGTTTGTTTGATGTTGTCCTTAACATCTGCCATCCATTTATTTCCGATCACACCTGACCTTTTTCAATCATTTCTGAGTTGAAATTGTTCAAGGGTGGTAGCAACAAGCAGAATATCTTGTTTTGCTCAGCTCAGAACTCAGGGAATTCTTTGGGAGCACAGTTTGTTGTGATGGAGCAGGAGCTCTAGACACTGGAAAAAAACTTTAAACAATCCATGAAATGTGATCAGAGATCTTGATTTTGTAGGAATTCAGACAGGAAAAAAATCTCCATTCCATGGAGGCAAGAGGCTTTTGTTTATTATGAAGAGCTGGATTTGTCCTAAGTGGTTGGCAGAAGCAGTTTGGGAGATGAGATAGGAACTTGGTGTCTTAATGCTTATTAGCATAAAAAAGGAGATTATTATTTATGGTAAATATATTATTATAGAAAGTATTTAATAGATATAACATATTAAATATGTATTAAATATTCTATATTATATCTAATATAGAATATACAAGATATATTGTATATTATCTGTAATAATGCTAGTAAATATATAATAATCCATTTTCAATCACCACTTTGACATCACCACTTTGCCATCACCGTTTTCAATCACCACTTTGCCATCACCACTTTGACATTACCATTTTCCAGCCATGGCAAATATGAAGGACAAGGAACAGAGACATTTCCAGGGGGTGAGTAAGGCCAGCAAACAAACTGATCAAACGTCCCATTGCAATGCACTCCTGGGGAGAGAAGCAAATAAAAGTTTTACAAAAAGTTGTGCAGACAAAGGGCAGTCATGGAAACCACTCTGTACTGTTCCAGGGAACCTGCAAGCCACTCCAGAATAATGAGATATTGCAGATAAATGTTGTGTGTTAGAAAATTATTGCTTAAAATCACAAGGAAGCAAGGTCAGACCTCACCAGGGGCTGCAGATTCCTCCTGAGGGACAGCTCCAAACTGCTCTGTGACAGTGACAGAACCCAGGGAATGGTTGGATCTCAGGAAAGGTTTTTCCCAGAGGGTGCTGGCACTGCCCAGGCTCCCCAGGGATGCCCAGGGTGGGGTCGTTGGGGGGTCTGGGCAGGGCCAGGGGCTGCACTGGGTGATCCCTGTGGGTCCTTCCAGCTCAGGGTGCTCTGTGATTCTGTGATTGTGTGACCACAGAGAAAGGAAAATAAACAAGGGGGCTCCAGGCTCATATTTGTGTCAGGTGAATTGTTCTACATTTAGAACTTGGGAACAGACAAACAGCAAGACAATATTTGCATATTTGTCAGTGTTAATAAATGTCTTCATTGCTTAATTCCTTACCACTATCTACAGACGATTCCTGCAGCATTTTCAAGCATTCCTGTTTGTATTTGTTCCATCCAGTAGTGGTTTTTTCCAGCAGAGAACCTTTGGCCTGGGAGTGAAAATACTCAAGAAAATATGCAAGAAAAATCAGTTAGAACCTTTTAGTGCTTAATGAAAAGTTGCTTTCCATTACAAGAAATTCTGGTCTGAGCACAGAAATTAGGAGAATGGAGGAAAAAATGGTAGGTGAAAAAAAGTCTAAAGGGCTTTTTGGTTTTAGAATATTTATAAAGGTAATCAAGCATATCTGGTTGAGCAGTACAGCAAAAAGAAAGCTGAATAAACCAGTAATAAATAAGCAATGTTATTTAACTACTAACACCTTCCCTCTGGTGCATTCTGTCCTCCTGCCCAGCATTTCACAGAGCATTTATTTTACCAGCAGCTGCAACTGTGCCATAGACATCTTCCTATTCCTCTTTTTCCCTTTTTCTTTTTTTAAGCAACACTTCTGTGAATTTTAGTTTTACTTGCCCATTTACACCAGACTGCCCTTTTTGCCTCAACAGGGCACTGTTTTGCTCTCTTCTGGTGTCCGTAGGTGAGAAGAGTCACAATAAAACGACAGACATCCTTATCTGACTGCAGAGGTCTTTAAGAGAGCCACAGATGATAACTGCTGTTTAAGAAAGCATTGGCTAAAACCAGAAGAATTAAATTCAAAAAAAGCTACGTGATTTGGGTGAAGAAATGCCCTATTGGGAGCAGAGCAGTTCAGGAAGGATAATGGGAGATGCTGCTCACAGCTCAGTGTTAGCATGGTGACTTGAGCATTATTTAATGGAAAAGAACACAACCCTAATTTCACACCTCTGTGAAATTAACCCCTGCTCTCCTGACACCAGGGCTTTCAGAGGCCAGAGCAGCCAAAGATTACAGCTACTACAAGTCACCAAAAATGAAAAATCCGTTACTGCTTGAAAATGTTACCGATTCTAATGAGTAAATTTTGGAGAGCAAACAAAATATTTAAGTTTTCTAAACAGTTTTTTATTAAAGATGCCTTTCAGTTCTCCAGGAAAAGTCAATTTCTTTTTGTCTGGACTACACCTTTTCTTTGAAGGTGTGTGTTTGTCCTGATGTTTCCTGACCATGGGCTGAGATATATAAACAGCACATTATATGGCTGTGAACTTCACCTTTTTCCTTTCAACCTATGATTTGCTTTTATTTTAATGAAGAAAAACATATTTATTTACTTTTAAAACAGGAACAGTGTTCTGGTGACTAGCTCTTAGGCAGGATCACTATTTCATGCATTTTTTTACCATGTAAAATGTTGCCTGCTCAATACTCTGCTTTTTTCCAGACACCCACTTTAAGCTTGAGGGAGCAGAAAAACTATAATCATTCTTCCGTGGATGGGCTTGAAAGATAAGGAGAGAATATTTACAGCAGCCATGAGAAAGGAATGCATGTTTCCAAAATTAAAAAAAAAAAAAAAGTATCTTGACATTTCCCTCATGCAGGCCTCAAAATCCTGGGAGCCAGGGGAGCCTCCTCAGACACTGGTGGGTCAGTGAACCCCATCTGAAGAGGCAGAGCCTTGGAGATGACGCATTTGTGACAGAACTGCTTGGCTGGGGGAAGAACACTCCATCTCTGATAAACAAATGTGTTCAACAGCCAAGGGAATGCAAAGGAAACCTCGCCGGGGCTACCTGGCAGCTGGTTTGGTTCCAGTGCTGGAGAGGAGGAATGTTCCTGGAACTGGGGAACCCAGGGATGCACAGGCGTGGGGAAGTTCACCCAACAAGAGAGAGGAGCAGGATAGGTCAAAACGACAGCTCCACATCACTCCTGATGGAACTGTCCATCTCCTCAAATCTGCAGGCTCGGTCACAGCCAATACCTGGTCACTGTTGGTGTAAATATCTGTGAGATAAATTTGTTTTGGTGGTCACACACCCAATACCTGATCCCTATTGATGTAAATATCCGTGAGATAAATTTGTTTTGGTGGTCACACACCCAATACCTGATCCCTATTGATGTAAATATCCGTGAGATAAATTTGTTTTGGTGGTCACACACCCAATACCTGATCCCTATTGATGTAAATATCCGTGAGATAAATTTGTTTTGGTGGTCACACACCCAATACCTGATCCCTATTGATGTAAATATCCGTGAGATAAATTTGTTTTGGTGGTCACACACCCAATACCTGGTCACTGTTGATGTAAATATTTGTGAGATATATTTGTTTTGGTCACACACCCAATACCTGGTCACTATTGATGTAAATATTTGTGAGATAAATTTGTTTTAGTGGTCACACAACTAGTACCTGATCACTATTGATGTAAATACTTGTGAAATAAATTTGTTTTGGTCATACAGCAAATGCCTGCTCACTATTAATATAAATACTTGTGAGATAAATTTGTTTTGGTCACATAGCCAATGCCTGGTCACTATTGGTGTAAAGATTGGTGAGATAAATTTGTTTGTGTCACGTAGCCAATGCCTGGTCACTATTGATGTAAATACTTGTGAGATAAATTTGTTTTCTACTTTCTGATGAAAAAAACCAACTCTACAGAGAATCACAGCTGCAGCTGGGGAGGCTTCTTCTGCTTTTGTCACGTTGGCCAAGTCACAGCACAACAGAACTGGAGAAAGGGTTGGGTTGGAAGGGACCTCAGAGACAAGAAAGATCTTATTCCACTCCCTGCCACGGCAAGGACACCTTCCACTGTCCCAGGGAGCTCCAAGCCCTGTCCAGCCTGGCCTGGGACCCTGCCAGGGATGGGGTGGGAGCCTTTGGCTGCATTCTGACAGACCCAGCTATTGTTGGTGGGGTGCCCCATGGCAGGAGGAATGATGAATCTGACTCCATGTCCTCAGAAGGCTAATTTATTATTTTAAGATACTACGTTTTATTAAAGAATACTAAACGAAACTATACTAAAGAATACAGCAAGGATACTCACAGAAGGCTAAAAAGATAATAATGAAAACTCGTGACTCTCTCCAGAGCCCTGACACAGCTTGGCACTGATTGGCCAATGAGTGAAAATAATTCACATGAAACCAATGAAACAATCACCTGTGGGTAAACAATCTCCAAACACATTGCAAAGGAGCAAAACCCAGGAGAAGCAAATGAGAGAAGAATTGTTTCCCATTTTCTCTGAGGCTTCTCAGCTTCACAGGAGAAAAATCCTGGGTGAAGGGATTTTTCTAGAGAATGTGAATGGCACACCCAACAAATACCTCAAATACCACAACACAGGTTGTGATTACAAATCCCAGGAAAGTTCTGTGATGATCCAAGCTTTGGGTTGGGTACAGTGCAAGTTCCATGGCAGAAATACAAACTTCCAGGGCAATTTCCCGTGATCTCAACCAGGGGAAACACACAGCCTTTGGTCTGTGGTGCATTTCAGTTGCCATTTGGCCACTGCTTTCAAACAGGATTTCTGGCTGGGGAAAATGAAACTCCCATATCTAAGGCAGAAGCTCAGAAAGTCCATGGTGCTTTGCCCTACACTGGACATCATTTCAGGTTGTCTGAAGATTTTTTGGTGAAAAAGGAACTGCCTCAGCCTGCCAGCCTGGCCTCTGCTTGCACTGAAGTTCACCCATGAGGAAATTTAATCAAAACTCCCTGGAAGTGTCTGGCTATTTATTGAGATTGCACCACGAAGACCCTGCTCTTTAGACATTTGTTGGATGAAAAAGAAAATGCTGCCTGAAACTTTCATTTAGGAAATGGATTCTATCCGGTTGCAGACCAGTTTAAATTTAAGTTTTTCATAACTGACCACAGTCAGAATTTCACCCTTTTAATTTTTATACTAAGCTGACAGTAAAATAAAATGTTTCTGTTTATTCAGGCTATGCTCTTATGGACAGTAAAAAAGCCCCTTCAATTCAGGCATAAACTAAAAATAAAAGCTGAAAAATATTTATTCATTCTTTCAGCCCTGATCCAGGTTTAGTCTGATGGATATTTTTCCTGTCTATAGAGGTTTTGCTAGAAAATACAGATATAGTGATTTATGGCTGTTATTCCTTTAAATGTTTCTTTCTTATGAAATAAAATATAATGAAATACAGCACATATTTCTTTAAACAAGTTGCAAGAGCCACTATGACAAATTAATTCACTGTGATTAGTCTAGCAAAGTTTTGATTTCACAGAAGTTTTTGGGAGTTTTTCTGTCAGCATTGATGGAATCAATGCTTTGGCTGAGGTGTCTCACAAATCTGAGAGTTGTTTCAGTTCTATAAACAGAAGCTCTATGCAGAGAAACTCTAGATTTTAATTATATAAAATATTAGGAGTATTTTCTTTATTTTTTTTTTCCTCCTGGTAATTTTTTCTTTATAAAAATGTTAGAAACACAAATATTGGCTCCACAGCACAAACAGCTGCAAACCCACTTTCTTAGAAACCAAATAAAATTAAGTGGACAGAAATACCTTTTTACTTTCAGTTTATTGTCCTGATGCCCATCCACATCAAAAAATGTACCCTAAATATATCTGTGAATTTTATTCAGTTCAATTGATATTTACCAAATGTCAGTAATTGTTTAAAAAATTTATTCAAATCAAGATTGATATCAATAAATGAACAAGCATTACTAAAAACCTACGTGAAAATTTCCTTGAAGTGAAATACACTGAGACATTTTCTCATTAATTACCTAAACCCCTTCCAATTTACAAGGTAAGTAAGAAGTGGAATTCCGTAAAGATTTAGGGAAAAAAAAGAAAATAAAAATAAAACGGTTTAGTGGATCTGTACAGGAAATAAAGGCAAACATCTCCTACAGATTTATTTGCTTTCTGCATGAAGGTGAGGTGCAGAACAAAACCATCCAGACTTCACAAACTGGAGATTCAGAGCTCACAAGTCAGTGCCAGAAACAAATCAAAGCTGGGTTTAGGACAGAGGAAAAACAGCAGAAAATAAACGTGGTTCAGAACAGCATTTTTATCTGGGAGGAAAACGGAAAACCAAACATAATTCAGTGCTGATCAATACTGGTATGAAAAGTGATTGAGCAAATCAAAATCATTTATTCACTGCATGAATTAATAGAATAAATCGGTAATGAATGAATTAGTCAGAGAGAGTTTAATATAAAACTCTGCAGCTTTGCAGCCATTGTTTCTCATAGCTAATTAGCAATAAAAATTAATTGTGGTGTCGGAAGGATCTTTGGTACAAACACTTTTTTTGTTTGTGACAGTTAAAATGCTGCGTGCTAGGAACTCACTTTTATAGAGTCCATTATTAATTATGGAATTAGCTTACCTGTTTCACAAGAAACAATAGCAGGATAGAGCTGGCAGATGTTGGAGCTATCCTGGACCAGAGTCCCATGCTGGAACACAGAGCAAAAAGTGTCACCATGCCCATTCCAATAGATGTGTCCCCAATATGCTATTTCACTCTAAAAATCAATTATATTAATTTAAAAAAATAATAGAAATAAAAGTGTCTTCTTTTATGAATGTCACTGTTCCATGATCCTCTTTCCAAAGAAGTGAGGAAGTCTCCTGAAGTGTTTAGCTTTGCTAGGCTCCAACTATGTTTTGGTTTTTCTGATTAAAGGCAGAGAGAGCTCAGTCTAAACTTCACAGCAACTCTGCCTGCTGCAGCTGCTCCACGGGCCAATAGGGAGGCAGAAAAGTATTAAAACATGAAAGGGCTGATCCTGTCACTTGAAGCTCCACAGGAATTTTGCCAGTGATTTTTTCCAGAATGCAGCTGGAAAAAATCCAGCTCCACAAAACACATATATCTATTTATACATACATACATACATATATATATATTTAATATTTATTTATTTATTTTTATATTCATATTTATATCTATCTATATCGATATCATATATATCTATATCAATATTTCTATTTATATTTGTATATGCATATGTATTTATACATATATATTTATACACATATATATTTATACATACATACAATGTATATTTTTAAAATATCAATTTACATTTATATAAATAAATAGAGTAGGTAGAGAGTTGTCTTGAAAATCCAAATTATTTTCATAAGAAGGTGCATATGTGACTTCAGTGTCTGCCCTGAGGAACCATTCATGTTTTGACTTCACAGTTGTAAAATGAAGCAGTAAATTACTCTAACACCCCATTTTCTTTTGGTTCTTTGCATATCTTACTTGCACCACCAAACAGGCAGAAAAAACCAATATCTATAACATGCCAAGGTGGGAAATGTTTCCTAGATGGAGGAAAAAGAAATGCTGTTTCACAGAGTGAGAAGATGCACATATCAAATAAGGATAATTCAACATTTTCTCTAATGTTTCACCTCCTTTGGGCAGAACTTTTGTTGTGTGGTCATGGGGGCAGACTGGGCAGTGCCCAGGAAACCAGCAAGAGCAAAGTCAGGTAATTTCTGACTTTTATTTGTCACTGCTGGAGCTGTGAACATGGGCAGTCCCCTTTCTAGTGCTGCACGCTGTGAAATGCTGCAGCTGACCAACCAGTTTTAGCTCCTTACAAGTTTTTTTTTTTAATAGCAAGAGTCACAACTGTATTAAATTCAAAGTGTTCAGTGTCACAGGAGCATTTGGAACTGTGAGATTTTGTTTATTCCTCAGCTAAGAAATAGAGGCTCCATCAGTGTGCCTCCAATCAAGGTAAATAGGCATGTTTTGTTTGTATAAATAAAACTTTAGTGATTGCACACCGGGGTGCTTCCAATGTTTCTGTGTTCTGTGTATGATTCATGGGGCAAATGATCATTTATTGCTACACTTCCTCATATTCCTTCCACAATACATTGCTGCCAAGCAACACTGTCCTTTATTCTTAATCTCCCCTGCCACATGATTTCTGGTCATGCCCAGATCTCTGCTCTCTGTCTTAAACTCCTAAGCTAGCACAATTTTCTGGGAGGGATGAGGAATGGGATGGTGAAGGCAGGCAGGTGTTTCATCAGGCAGATGCAGAAATCTGCAGAAGGGAATTTCTGGAATAATCGCTGGCGCAGCTCTGGAAGATGCCATCCTCCACCCCCGACTCAGACAGGAGGCACAGAGCCTCAGCAGCATTTTCTCTGAGTTTCCTCTCTTTGATCTTCTCCATCACGGCTTTCAGCAGCAGTTACTGGTGTGAAGGGACCAGAAAAGTTGCCAAACCCTTCTGCAAAGGGGACGGCAAAGGGGACCTGTGCATCCGCTTCAACAGCGCCGACGGCAACAGCAGCCAGGCTGTGCAGTACATCTGGGAGACAGGGGATGACAAGTTCGTGGAGAAGAAGTTCCACGCTGGCATCTGGTACTCCTGTGAAGAAATGATAAATGAAGAAGGTGAGTAAACCCGTGGAAATTTATTTCATGAGGTTTTTTTTCCTGCTCGTTCGGCGCGTTCTTCCCTTCTGCTTCGTTGTTGGTTTTGTGGTTTGTGGTGTTTGTGGCCTGAATGAGTTGCTCTTCTTTGGGAAAGGGGATCTTAGAGGGTGGTGTCTAGTCAATCCTAAAGAATTCCTAATAAATTCTGCAAAGAACATTAGTGACAGGTTGTGGTTTTGATTTAGCTGACAGGTTGTGGTGCAGATGAAATTATTTGGTTTTTATTCTGCTCACCATGACAGCAAGTTAAATGGCTTGAACAGGAAAGTGTTTCATTTTTCCAGTGGATTTTATTCCATTAGTCAAAAATTAACATACTTGCTTTAAAAACTCCTTCTGATCCCCTATGGCAACGTAAAACATGCAAACTTATTTATTTTTATTGTTTAAATCATTTGCACTAATAAATCTGTGGGATCTAAATTAGTTCCTGGATTTCCTCTTGAACACAAGTATTTCTGCTTTCTTGCTGTGGTCTCACCTTGCATAATCAAAGCAGAAAAGGATTATTTTCATCCTGCTAAAACATTATATGGAGACTTACTAGTGGTGGCATTTAATTGAGACTCACTCTGCATATGTAAATATTATTAGAATGAAATTAGCTTGCCATTACAGAAACTTTCTAGTAAAATTTGTATTTTTGTATAAGGGAATATATTTCTGGTTCAAGAATTCAAGGATTTATTGTAAAAAACAGATCAACATTCAGTTTTTCCCTTTATTGCCCTGATCAGTTTAAAAGCAACAGCTAGAACAGAACTTCAGAAAAATCAAAGCAGCTGTCACCTATGCCATAAAATGCAAATATTTTCACAGCCACCTGTCCTGAAGGTCCAGTTCTACCAGAACTTCTTGTAAGTTTTAAGAGCAAAATAAAATCAGAGCAAACTATGTGTCCAAAAGACACCTTTTATCCACACCATGGGTTCCAGGGTTGTGTAATTTGAGCATCTGCTATGGAAGCTCAAGTTTGGAAGCTGATGTTTTCTGACTTGGGGCAGTTAGGAGCTGGGAAAAAAAACCAAAAAAACAAACCACCCAGCATGTCCAGATCAGAGAATTAATTCCGAGAGCTTTGTTCACAGCATCTGTGTGGGGGGCAGGGGGGTCATGTGGGTTTGAGAATCAAAGCTTACAGGAAGAAATTGGAATGAAGCTTAGAGGGAATTTGTGTGAGCAGCAGCCTTGCTGCTGTGAGGAGAGCAGCTCTGCCCTACACGAGCATTGGGAATTTTCCTCTCCTGGCTTGCACAGCCACCACCCCATGGAAATCAATTCACAGCCTTTCTCTAGGTCTTCCAGGCTCTGGTTCTACCTTGAAATAATCTGTGAGGACTCTCTGGTTAAAGCCCAGGAGAAGGTTGATGTACCAGGGTCTGTGTACACTAAAAACAGCTTCTCCTGATCTCCTCCCTTTCTGCTTCTATGATAGATTTTACATTTTCTTCTTTCTATTAATCTCTTTCTTTAGATCATTACAGAGTACAAAATAATCCTGAATTTGATTTTGTTTTTTGCTTTTTTAGGTGAGAAATGTAGAAGCTTCATCAGTCTGACTCCAGCTTCTGATCGAGGTAGATGTGCATATTTTTTTGTCTGTAGCCAAAACTTTCCTGATCACACTTACCAATACAAGTATTCTCTATTAAATTAAATTAATCCATTTCAAAAATGCTTGCTTTAATCACAAAGAGTATTTTTTGTCCTTTATTTAGTTTTCTAACTTCAAGATGAAGGTAATATGGCTTAGAATATCAATGTATGTCTTTCTGAAGACACACCACTTGAATATGAATGGCTTTTAAATTGGAGTATGGGTACTGGAAGTCAAAATTTGTGTATTTTTGCCCTCTGTCTCCTCACAGAGGAGCACCTTTGCAGCCAGGAATTCTGTGCCAGGTTTGTGTGCTGAGGGGATTGAGGGAGATGTGCTGTGCCCCCAGCCAGCCTTGGTGGAATCTGAATCCCCTCCCTGTGCCTTACTCAGAGCTGTGAAGGCACATTTCCATTCTCTTCTTTCAAAGAATAGTCAATAATTCTTAATAAAGAATAATTAATTCTTAATAAAGAATTATAATTCTTAATATAGAATATTTCCAATATTCTTACAAAACCTTCCTACAGATGCTGCTTTGTGCCTTCCTCTTGCACCCCAGTGTGAAAATATCAGTCCATCACTGATCTGATTAGACCAATCACTTTACAAGTGGCTGATCCTGAAAAAAACCCAGAACTTGTTCTTCCCAGCATTTGGGACTGGAATATTTGCCTGGATATGCAATTTCAGACCCCTGAGAAGGAGAAATACTCATTTTCTGAAGGCCAGTCTTCCTTCCACCTGCTGCAGCTCATCACAGTGCTTTAACAGAACAATAGAATTTTGTAGCATGAGAAATAAAAATATAAATGAGATGTGGGTGTAGTCACACAGAAGTGAGGGGTGTTTTTGAGAGTTCCTCACAAGGAAAACTGCTGGTGGACACAGAGCTGAAAGTGACTCTGAACAGCATCAGCAAATGTCACAGGCACTGGCAGGCCAGGTGAGACAGCCAAGAAGCATCTAGGGACCTAAAAACCAGAAATCTCCCCCCAGGGAGGGAAATCCTGTGTGGAAATCCTGCCCAGAAGGGGTTTGTGTTCTGCACATGGCTGTGGGAGCTGTGTGATCCAAACCCAGGCTGCAGCAGGCTCAGCCTCCCCGAATTCCTCAGCCCTGGTCCCACACACAGGGCTGGTCACCGTTGTCCAGGGCATTTCTTACAGTGGCTCACTGCCCAAAAGTGTTGAGATGCAAACTCTCACAGCTGGAGCAGCCAGAACTGTTGGGCAATGCAACATCTGGAGCTCCTGATGAAAATCGCAATTTTTTACCGAGACAGATTTTCTGGAGAAACAAACCACGTCCAAGAACACCCACACATGGGCTGGCCCAAGAATTTAATGTCCATGAATCACAAAAGTCCCACAGACATTGTCCAAGCCAGCACTGGGAGCCACACACCACACAAACCTTGTCTCCTGCCCTAGGTGGTGTCTGGTAACCAAGGATGTGTCTCAGCAGCATTTCAATTCTTAAATTATGATTGTTTGTTTACATCTTCACGTGAAATCACTGCTTGAATCTACAGCCAGGTGTCTCAGGGCACATTTGGGTTTTAAAAGTTTGGGGAAGACCATTTTCCAGATCTTGCTATGGCAAATTTGGACACAAATTTGGACTCCTGCTCCTGGCTGTGGGACGTTAGCATGCTAAAGGTCAGACAGCAGGCTGAGAGACTTTCACGGGAGGATTAACTTCTTGCATAAGATGTAATTACCAGATCTCCAAAAAGAGAGGAATTAGCAGATAACCAGGGAACGAATCTCAGCGAAACCTGGAGGCTGTCTGGCCTCATGAAGGCTTCTCTGTCCAAAAAATTCCAGATCCTGTGGGGATGAAAGTTAAGCCTGTGGGGAAGATTTTAGTGATTGACTGGAGCCACAGGCAGTGCAGGTGAGTGCCTGGCCCCCAGGCTGTCAGCTGGGCCTGCTGCTCCTCTCTGCACTCAGAACCATGAGACCAACAGTTCTTTTTATATCAACTTTGGTTCTTTTTATATTACCTTTGGTTCTTTTCATATCAACTTTGGTTCACGGTGATTTTAGGGTAGCTACTGAGTATAAAACCACACTGTCCCACCTTGCACTCAGTGTGTAGCAGGAACAGGCAACTGCTTTTCCAATAATTATAATTTGAAATTTTAATGATTTCATTACCTAATTAAAATTAAGATTATTTTTTAAAATAATTAAAATTGTTTTCCAATAATTAATTTGAAATTTTAATGATTTCATTACTTAATTAAAATTATTTTTTAAAATAATTAAAATTGTTTTCCAATAATTATAATTTGAAATTTTAATGATTTCATTACTTAATTAAAATTATTTTTTAAAATAATTAAAATTGTTTTCCAATAATTATAATCAATTTGTCATTGAAGTCCTCCATAGATGTTCTGATTATCAGAGCATCCTCACAGCCTTTGTGCTTCTGTTTAACTTTGTGTGAACGCTACGAATGAAGAAGGAAATGGTGAAAATAAACATGCAACTGCTTTCCCAGTAATTGTAATTTGGGGTGTCCATTGACCCTGAAGTCCTCCAGAGATGTTCCCATTATCACAGCACCCTCACAACCCTTGTGCTTCTCTTTAACTTTGCGTGAACAATACGAATGAAGAAGGAAACGGTGAAAATGTGAAATATTGCTGATAATATCAGTGCTGTTGCTCTGGTTTGCAGGGGTTTTATGGCTGTCTATTGTAGCAGAGCTTCTCTACGTGGTTTTGCTCCTGACTGGGAACATTCTCATGTCAGTGGAAATATGCTACTACAGCTCTGTCATTGATGGGCTGAAGATCAACGCCTTCTCTGCAGTGGTCACCGTGCTAGCAGGTACAGTTAGGCATCTCCATTGCACAAAGTGAAGAAAAATGTTATGGGAAAATATTATTTTCAATTCATTATTTCTTAATATGGTCTACTTCGAATTTTAGTTTTGTGGATTTTGCTATCTTTAACTTAATTTTTTAAATTTTATTGGTTTTCATTTAGTTGTCAGGTTGGTTGCCAAGGACTAAATAACTAATGTTATCACAACATTGTATTTTTTAGGTCTTCTGGGCATGGTTGCTCACATGATGTACACCACTGTATTTCAAATGACTGTAAATCTTGGTCCTGAAGACTGGAGACCTCACACGTGGGATTATGGCTGGTCCTATGGGTACTAACTGCTTCATGTTGGGTTCTTCCATTACATTTTGGTCACTGCACCCCGTGTTCACGGAATTATACTTAATTTACAAGCAATGGCTTTACCTTATTTCACTTCTGAGGGCGCAGTTTAGTAACCAGGTGTCGTTCTTGTCAATCAGTTGTCTTCAATTATTGCCCAGAATGTGTAAGTTTGCAAGGTTTGTGTTTGACATCACTCAGAGATTACAGAGAGGTCCAACTGCCCTGCATGAAGCAGAGGTTCTTCTCCAGACACACCAAAACCAGGTTTGATGAAGCAGGGGTTCTTCTCACACACACCAAACCCAGGTTTGATGGAGAGGTTCCTCTCCACCATCACTCAGAGATTACAGAGAGGTCCAACTGCCCTGCATGAAGCAGGGGTTCTTCTCCAGACACACCAAACCCAGGTTTGACGAAGCAGAAGTTCTCCAGACACATCACACCCAGGTTTGATGAAGCAGAAGTTCTCCAGACACATCATACCCAGGTTTGATGAAGCACAGGTTCTTCTCCAGACACATCACACCCAGGTCTGATGAAGCACAGGTTCTTCTCCAGACACATCACACCCAGGTTTAGCATTCTCACCTCCCAGGACAATTGTCTTCCCTAAGTTGTTTAAAACTCTTCCAAGCTTCAGTCATTTAGGTTGACATTTTCCTATCACACGGATGCTTCAGATTGTTGTATCTGGAACGTTTCACAGAATTAACCAGGTTGGAAAAGACTTTTGGGATCATCAAATCCCACCTGTGACCTAGCATTACCTTATCAGCTAAACCATGGCACTGAGTGCCACATCCAGGCTTTCCTTAAACACCTCCAGGGATGGTGACTTCACCTCCCTGGGCAGCCCATTCCAATGCCAAACCACTCTTTTTGTGAACAATTTTTTTTTCTAATTTCTAGCCTAAACTTCTCCTGGTGCAGCTTGAGGCTGTGTCCTCCTGTCCTGTCCTGTTCCCTGGGAGAAGAACCTGACCCCACCTGGCTGCACCCTCCAATCCATGTTCATGTGGCCATATTTTTACATGCTACTTTTAAATTCACACATTTTTTAACAAATTATATTTCAATATAATTTTTTTAGTTCTGTCTCCTTAGGGGTTTACTTTTAACATTTCAAAGTTGATGTCCTTTTCTCTCATTTACTCAGGCCATGCATTTTCTCAGGAATACATTTCAATGCTCTGAACCTGCTTTACCCAGATATTTCATAGATCTTTTTAACACTTTTGGGTAACTCACATCTTTCTCAGTGCACCCTGTGAGATTTATACCCTTAATAACAGCACCTTTTAACTTTTTATACACTCCTTTTTTTTTCTTTTTTTATAAAACCCTTTTCTGTTATTAAGCTCTACGCTTAATAGAGAAGAAAAGCTTAAATAGAGCTTAAATTGAGAAACTGGAGGCAGGGTTTCATGAAACAGGTATGTTAAATGTAGATATTGCAATAAATATGTAGAGGTCTGTAAATGGCCATTGACCAAGAGTATTTCTTCCTCTCCAAGCCTACTCATCTTTCCCTAATACACACCAACACAATCACACATAAGCAGTGGTTTCAGAAATAAAATTGAAGGACTTGGATATGAAAATGCCCTGCTAATTTCTGATAATTTTTGCTTTTTTGTTCACAGCCTTGCATGGACCTCCTTCGCTTGCTGTATGGCTGCAGCTGTCACCACTATTAACAAATATACAAAAACTATCTTGGAGTTCAAGCACAAGAGAAAAAAGCTGGAAAGGAGCTTTAGGATTCAGTACAAGTTTCCCGAGCACACAGCTCCAGAGAAGGTTTGCAATGTGTATGTGAACTCTTTCCAAAACACCACAGATGACCCCACACATGCATTAAGAAGTCTGCGTCACCTGGCCACTATTTCAGTCCTGTAGAGCTGAGCCAGATCTCAGAGCATTCTGTAAATTATAATCCTAGATCCAAACAAAACAGTGTTAATGAATAAAACCCATCAGTGTGTAGTATCATTTATTTTTCTTAATAAAGAAGTTCTATTTCCGTGGATGTTTCAAGGAAGTCTTGGGGTTGGAACAGAAGATTCAGGTGGCTCAGTTCAGATAAAAACAGTGACACAGGTTCCCCCCAGGTCCAGTTTTTAAGCAGTTTCTACCAGTGAGTTTGTCAGAATTTTAGAGCATCACTCCACCTGATTCTTTATTAAAAAGGCTGTAAAAAAATCCCATCTTGAAACCAAAACCCATGAGAAGCAGGGCAGCAAATAAGGCATGTGGTGCAAGGCTTGGATAATTTTTGGTGGTGAAAGGTTCAATCTCTCCAAGAAAATCTGTGGACCTGAGCTTATGGTTCAAGAGTTTCACCATACACATGGTGGATTTGCTGTGAAAGGAAAGCTGATAGAGGGAACAGGTTTCAGTGTAAACCCTTACATAAAATGAGAAGGCAAATAAAATTTGGAAGATTCATAAGGAGGCAAACTGAAATCTAAAAAATACCTGGTTGTGGACAGCACAGAACTCACCTATGGAATTCTCCAGGAATCATTCTGGCAACAGAGTCAGAAAGAAGCAAAATTTGATTTATACATTTCTACATAAAGAATCTATAATCACATTAGAGATGGGGAGGTGGAAATGATTGCAGTCGTCACAGACCAGGAACATGGAGCTGTTCCACTCTGAGGATCATCATGGAGCTTCCTCATGGAACTGAGCCACGTGCCTGCCTGGCTGGACACCAGAATATTCCTGTTCTTGATCCCCTTGGGAAACACACGTGAGAACTCTGGGTGGCAGAGGTCCTGCACAGTCTACTGAGCAGCTCTGGCCTTTGGAAAAATTCCTACATATCTTTACCCAGGCAATAAATACAGTTTGAGCTTGTTCTGCCAGCAGGACCTGTAACAGGTCAGGTTATGGCCAGTGATAAGGTGGAGCTGATAACAGAGAGGCTTCATTAAATCAGAAGAAAAACATTAGTGGTAAGAGAGGAGAGTTTTTGTCTATGTATGGAATATGCTTTAAAAAATGAGATTTCCTCATTGGCAACAGGTCCCAAAGCTTCACTGCTGCAATTGTAGAAATTCAATGCTGCAATTGTAGAAATTCAATGCTGCAATTGTAGAAATTCACTGATGCAATTGTAGAAAAACAATGTCCTGTATCAAATCAGCAGGTCATGTGTTCCAGTTTGTGTCCATTACCTTTTTTATTTCTACTCTGCATATTTGAGAAGAATCTGCCTCCATATTCCCTACACCATCCTACTAGGGGGCTGCAACAGCAATAAGGTTTCCTCTTTAATCTTTAGAAAAGTCTGGTTTTATCCTTTCAGTGCTCTGAAAGTGCCACCTTCAGTCCAGCAGGGGAAGGAAGCAGGAGAGTTTGGTGCCCACTCTGTCAGAAGCAGTCTCAATCCCTTGACCAAAACACAATTTCTTCCTTTCTTCCCCTTGGTTCACCCATTTCTTTGTGATGGGTATGTTTCTAACACCTTCACCAACAGAGGAATTATTTCTGATTCCATCTGACTTTCTGCTTTTTGTCAACCCTAACTCTTTTTTAAATAGATTTTTACCCATCTCATGCTGTTCCTGGGTGGCATAGAAGAATTTCCAGCTCATCCAGGAACATACTTGGATAATGCCTACAAGTTCTTTGAAAAATCCAATTTATGCAAGTGCCTCATTTTATTTTTCTTAGCCTGCAGGTCACTAACAGCCTGACAGTCTCTGCCATTTCCTCAGGACTGTTTCTTACACTGGTTTGCAAGGATCTAAAGTGCTGTAGGCGGGCAAGGGCTATTTAAATAATTGTGCAGTAAGAATCCATCCAGATCCATTCTTAAATCTCAAGCTGTCTGTTTTTTCTCATGCTAACCATTCCAGAAGCTGTATGTCTTCTGCTGGATATCTGGTAAATAAATTCACCTGACGAAATGCAAGATTTCTTATCCCTATTTGTAAGCCACAGTTTCATATTCTGCCTCTTATTTTAACTTTTGACACCCAGTAAGTCCTGGAACCACATTATTTGAAAGCAGAGGAAAAGCACCAGCAGCATTTTTATTCTGATTCATTAAATCTAATCACTTTTGATGAATATGGCATCTCAGTAAATTTCAGACACAGATCTACAGCAGTCCTGGTTACCACTGGGAGCTAATGAGACAAATAGGCACCTCTGGGATGCAATTCCTGTTATCCTGAACTTGTCTTAACATTTCTTTTTCTTATCATAATATTTTTATGTGCAACATCTATCCACAGGTAAGACAGCAAAACAGAGATCAACAAATGAAATAGAAAACTTCAGATTAAATAATAGATTTCCCCAGAGGGGGGAAAAAAAAATATTGTGCCTGAAATACCAGTGGAGAAACCTCATCTTCAAGATGAGAAAAAGCCACTGAATTAGAGAAAAGTGTGACCCATTTAAAAGGTCATCTAATCCTTCTTTTCTTTTAGGCAGGATAAACTAAAGCTACATTGCTTTTTTTACAGATGTTTCATTAATCTCTTCTTTAAAGCTTCTGAAGACAGGCATTTGAAAATTTCTGTGGCAATTTATCCTTTGTGCTTAACTATTCTTAGCAGAAAATGCTGTCCCTGTAAATCTCCTTGGCAGCAATTTTAGCACATTGTCCCACTCCAGCAGACATGGAGAACAGCTCAGTCCTGCCTTCTCTGCAGAACATTTCAGGAATTTGAAAATCATTCAGACTCAACTTTCTAGGTAAAAATACATCTGTTTTTTTAAACTTTCTTGGTGGGACACTGGTATTATTTTACCTCTTTCACTGCCTCCTGCTGTGGCTCCTTGAACTGCTTGAAGTTTGGAAGTGAAATTGTGTGAGGAATTTCTGCTGATCTCTAGAATGTGCAAAATGGATTATTCAGCTTATTTTAACATGTAATCCACTTGTTTTTACAACAAAGAAGGACAATAATAGAGACCATAGAAATCACAGAATGGTTTGGGTTGGAAGGGACCTCCAAGAGCATCTATCATGGCAGGGACAACTTCCACCACCCCAAGTTGCTCCAAGCTCTGTCCAACCTGGCCTTGGACACTTCCAGGGATGGGGCAGCCACAAACAATGTTGGTTAGCTGGGATGTCCTGTGGTGCCTGATCCTTTTCTGATGAAATTCTGCTTATTCTGCATCTTGCTCTTATGGAAATGTGGAGGACTTGGCTGCTGCTGAGGCACAGAAACAAACAGAACTGAGATCACAGCAAATGCCCACTGGTTTGAAGGAGCAGAGTTCTGCTGAGGACCAAGAAAATTGTGAACAAATGAGTGTTTGACCTCCCAGTGAAGGCATAGCCACTCACAGTACAACAAAACCCCAGTGCTACACCAGAAAATAGATGACCAGAAAATAGATGGAGCTCCAGCAGGTGCTGCAGGAACTGAGCCCTCCATCCCAGAGGTGAAACCTCCCTGAGCCAGGTTTCTTGAAACCAGAGCAACTCAATCAGAGCAAAGGTTCATGTCCCTGCAAGATGACAGATATTCCTTTGCCCTCAGAACTCTGTCATGTTTGGTGATTGCATCATGAATGAGGTGTGTAAGTAAGCTGGTGCTGGAAATTATGTGAGCAGTGGGACTCGTAGCAGCAACAGCAGTTTGGTTCCAATGGCACAGTGTCATAATCCCTAAAACCAATTTATAGACGATTTAAATTTAAATTTAGGAGCTAGTCCAGCTGACCCTTCAATGGTCTGAAGTTCCTAAATTTGTAGATAATTGTGTGTGTCAATGATAGTGGAATTATTCTACTCATAGCAAGCAACACAAGTCACTGACATTCAAAACAAAAAACTTTTTTTTTTCAGGAAAAGCAAGGAAATAACTGAACAAAATCAATTTTCCTCTTCTGTCTTCAGCTTTTCCCTAATCCCTGAGGCAACAATGGCAAAGAACAGCTCAGGGAAGAATGTTCTGATGTAAACTGCTGCTCTGGGGATGGGGTTGGCCATAAGCACCTCCTGCTTCTTCCTGCTCACCGTGGCAAGGACCTCCTCTGCCACCTCCACGGGGTGCACACCATAGGACACCTTCCTAAAAAAGACTGGAAATGAGACAGGAGTGAGAGCTACACACAGACAGATACCCTGAGGGAATGGTGTTGGAAGGTACACAGCTAGTGAATCAGTCAAATCAGCTTGATTTCTATGCACTTCCAATCCCTACTCCATTCTCCTCATCAATGTGTGGCCAAGATCTTTCCATAACTGAGGTAAAGTCCTTACAGTCCCTAAGGGAAGGAACAATCTGAGTGCAGTGGGATTGTCCCTCTGGACCTTTTGTGCTCTCCTCTCCCTCCATTCCTGATGCCCTGATATATTTATTTTCTCACAAAACACTGTCTCATTCCACATTCCTTCTCTTTTCACCAGGCTAACATTCCCTCTCCAACATCTCTTTCCTTTTGCTCCTCATACCTGTTCATCCTTTCTGCCATTTCCATCATTTTTCCTTTTGTTTTCCCCCTGGAAAAGCCTCTCTCCTGCTTTATGTGCCTCATCTTCACCAACCCAAACTTACATTTCCAAATAGAGGCCTCCCAGTTGCCTGGTGCTGTCTGGCGATGGTAGGAACAGATGAAGGTTGGATTCACAGTGCTGACAGAAATATCGAATTCCTCCATTTCAGCTCTAAGGCAATCAAAAAAGCCTACAGCAGCATGCTTGGAAGCAGCATCTAAAAGTAAAAAAGCACAAATTTGCATGTTTAGATTTATGATTGCATGGAAGCAGGGGTATAATAAAGCATCAATGTTTGGGAAAATGAGCAGGGAATGATTAACCAAAGTACAAAAGAATTGTTTCACCCAGTGAAATTATTGCATGACATATTTAAAACAAGCAACAAGAAATTATCTGTACAGGACAACAGTGCATGCAGTGTCTTGGAGGTGTCAAACAGCACATGTCTGCATTTCCCAGTCTGAAATACCTAAATTGTTATTTCTGGGTTAGGAAATAACAATTCTGTTATCCCTACAGCTCAGAAATGTCTTTGGTGGATGGAATTGTCCCTGAGATGAGTCCTCACACCTTCTGTTTCTGCAGTTTGTAACACATCCATGAAATGCAGTGACATCTTCCACTGCTGGAATGCAGCGCTCCTCATGCTTTGTAATCTGATCAGGACTTTGCCCTGCAGCAGCTTTTAATGCTAAAGTGAATTTTAAAGTAACTGAATGTCAAGACTTTTCCACCTGCTTTTAGAGCCTTTTTATTGAGAACAGGATGAGCAAGATGATAGTGAGTGAAACGTGACCAACAAACAGAACTGTGTGCTCAGTGCAGAGCTGCAAGTGCTCAGTCACCTCAATCACCCCAATTTGCCTCAGTTTACAGGGAAAATCAACCTGTGCATATCCAGGTGGGCTCTGGGAATAGAGAGATGCTTCTCCATGCATTCATTCTGACATCCCTTCTTCTGGCAGCTTCATTTCGTGCTATTTCTATTTCATCTATTTCTATTATTTCTATTTCTTTATGCAAATAAATATTGGTAGGGGCTTTGTAAAAACTCACTTTATTGGCTCTTCTGCTTCTTATGGTTTTACATATATACAAACTATCTTGACACAACTGTCTGTATCCTAGATGGGGAGGATTCCAGATGTCACATCAATGTCTTGTTTCTTTTTTGAGCCTTTTTTGTAGTTCTTACATTTCTTTTGAGATGGGAGACCAGAACAGCACACCATGCTCAAGATGTGGGCTCTTGCCACATCTTATTTTTAACTAAATTTATTTGCCACAATTTATTTGTAAATAAATTTACAAAGATATAAATATATGTTCTAATTTATTTTTTTCTGCTGCTTTACTTACAGATTATGTCACTGTGGTTTGCTTTCATGGGACTATAAGTCACAATTCTGAGGTCTCACAGAATTTTTAATTCAGAGCCCATCACTCACTCTGACTTTCTGTCCAGATAAAAATGTCTGTTTACATCTGTGCCAAGCTGAAAATGTCTCTTTCCAGCTCTCCTATATTTTCTGTCCACTAATTTTGTATTTTATTAACGCAAAGACTTTCCATCACAATTCAGAACAGCCTTGATTCCTCAGGAGTTTTGGATGAAAACTCAAAAATTTTCTGGAAAGCCAAGCAGAGAGCAATTCCTACATCTCCTTTTAAACTCCTACACCCAAATACATTATTGCTTCCCAAAGCAGTAGCTCTTATCTACTCATATTTTATATTTACACACTATTCTTCATGAAGGTTTCAACAAAAAAAAGAACAAAATACTCATTTCAATATGCACAAGTATAGATCTGATATAGATTTAAACTATACAATATATAATTTTTTTTTAATATGCTGTCACATTTTTATCATCCTATTCTCAAGTCCCCTAGGCAGCAGTTACATTTCTAAGGTAGCATTTTAACTATTTCCAACTGAGCTCCAATTGGAAAAAAAAAAAAAAATCAGCCAAATACTGTAATAATGCAAAATTTGGATGCAAATTAGCACTTCTAATAACCTATGATGAGTGTCAGGGACTCCTCACAACTTATGCATTAGAATTTTATTTTTTGCAATGTATAACTTACAAGCTGCACGAAATGGAATTCCTATTTTCCCTTGGATGCTATTAATTAGAACAATTTGGCCAGTTCTTCTTGAGATCATGTTAGGAAGAATGGCTGCAAAAAGAGAAATGCAAGAAAGAGCCACGTAAGTAAAAGTGTATTTAGTGAAAAGGAGCAACAGCTGAAGTGTAAATAGCACAAATTTAGTGAAGGTTGTCTCAATCCTGCAAGAAAAAGTATCACAAAATCCAATTCTACATGCAGAGTTGGCTGCAGTATTAATTAACACATTTAATTGCCAATGTACTTTGGGTGGTAACAGCATAAAAAAAGGAGGAAAAAATTACCTTTGGTTAATGTTATAGGTCCAAAATAGTTGGCATCCATTATCTTTTTATCAAGTTCCAGTGAAATGCTCTGCACTGCTCCTTTCACCTTCATGCTTGCATTGTTGATCAGGACATCCACACAGCCATAGCAGTTCAGGATTTCCTTAGCTACATCTCTGATGCAGCTGATGTCTGTGATATCCAGAAGAATCAGCTTTGGTGCATATGTCTGGTGAGCAAAAGACTCATTTCAGTGCCACTTGTTATGTACAAACTCTATTTCTATTTCCATCTATCTATTTCTATTTCTATGTCTATTTCTATTTTTCTATTTCTATTTCCTTGTCTTGTACATTAATTTACCTTGATACTCAAAGTGTTTTTGTCATTCTCACATAAATGTAAGATTTGAAAATTGCCTCACTCTAGAAAGAAGGTAGTTCAGCAATGAGAGCTGGGGTTGTTCAGCCTGGAGAAGGCTCTGGGGGGTTTTTAATGCTCTTTCCAGTGCCTGAAAAGGCTCCAGGAGAGCTGGAGAGAGACTTAGGACAAAGGGATGGAGTGACAGGACACAGGGAATGGATTCCCACTGAGACAGGGCAGGGAAAATATTGAGATATTGGGGGAAATTGTTCCCTGTGAGGGTGGCAGACCCTGGCACAGGGTGCCCAGAGCAGCTGTGGCTGCCCCTGGATCCCTGGCAGTGCCCAAGGACAGGGCTTGGAGCACTCAAGGACAGTGGAAGGTGTCCCTGCCATGGCAGGGGTGGCCTTGGAGGGTGTTTAGGATCCCTTCCAATCCAATCCTGTGATTCTGTGACAATGGGTGCTCACAGCACTGAATTTCAGATGAAGCAGATCACCACGGAAGGCTCAGCTGCACTAGCTCCTGCTGAGTTTTGTCTCTTGTTGTCAGTGGAAACAGAAAATAGACACCAGGGTGACTCCCAGCAGTTCAAGATTCCTACAGTTCAAGGGTCTTTGTGGGAAAAACCCTTTTCTTTGACAAGAGATGGGGTTTAGTGCTCTGACAGATGAGCTACACACACACAGGGACAGATGGAAGGTAGGAAGGGTTTGTTTTGCTCTAGGTTACACAAATGGAGTTTACTTTTGTATGGTTTCTGCAAAATCAGATTTTATCAGCTGTGGGACAGAGGAATGAACTTGAAGCTTTTTTTCCCTTTACTGTATTAATTAGAGAATGTAATGCAGAACTTTTAGTCATACTGAATATTTTTCCCTAGCTGAATCTGTGCAGGCCAGCATGAACACACTGCTTTTGTGGTTATTTATGCAGACAAATAAAGCCCACTGGGAAAAAAAAACCAAAAAAACAACAGAGAAACAGAGATTTTTGTAGGTCTGATGAGCAACTGCTGCAAAATTTATGTGATGCCTTCAGGAACACCTGTGCCCTGGAACAGTCAGCTGAATGTTGGCCACAGAAGGGAAGCTTTGCCAGGAGCCTCAAGAAACACCTGCCAAAGAGCTGGAGTCCTGCATCTCCACTGGCAGTGGCCATGAGGAAAAGAGAGTTTTCTTCTTTTACCCCAAATCCCTTCTGTCTGGGGGGGTTTGTTTCCCCCAAACAGTGGAGAAGCTCAAAATGAATTTGATCTTTAGCCCTATCTCCCACTCCTTGAGCACACGAATGAGATGAAAAACTGACAGCGTTTCCTGCCATTAAATGAAGATTTGGATCCCTTCCATCCAAATTATCAGGCAAATTGCTCTGAGGAGGATTTCTAGCTGGGTGGCTTGTTCAGAACACAGGGGCACCCAGATGCTCCACAGGAATCCTCAGGAGAGCAGGATTTTGGCACCGTGCCTCTCTGGACTGTGTTTGCTGTTATTACCTGGGTGAACAAAGCCATCAGTGATAACAAATCACATTTCTTGCACATTTTTTTGCTGGATCTAAAATTGCATTCTGTCCCTGAGCAAGGTTTATCCCAGGCTATGAATACCTACCGTGCTGGGGTCTGTCACACTAATTAAGGCATCATACAAGGCTTCTAACTTTTCCCATGTCCTGCCACACAACACAAGCCTTGCTCCTCCTGCATGAAACACACGAGAGCATTCTAGGAGAGAAATACATTTAAAAAAATAATAATTACAACGGTGGCAAATTGATTTTGTTTATTTTGCTTGAAATGGGATGCTGGTTTTGCTAAGGGTGGTGAATCCATGCTTTAAAAATTCATTAATTTTAAAATAATATGAGAAAAAAGAAAGCATTGATTTGTGATAGTACATAGGTGAGAAATAAATTAAATTTAATGTAATGGGATAATGCCTGTATTGAATGGGCCACAGAACAACTCCAGTGCTTGCTGTCCTCCAGGAAACATTTCCTCCAGATTTCAATACCCACAGGAAATCCAGTTATGCTAACCTACCCATTTTAGATTTCTTACATGATCATGTCAGACTCTTAATATTGTTATGGAAGTATTTATGGATCCACCCTTGTAGTTTTGCAAAGCTGTGCAGCTGGAAGCTTTTATTTAAGCAATCTTTTTCATTATTTACAACAGTAATTTTATGAACGCCTTCCATTTTCTTTTTTTTTTCTTTTTCTAGCATAGAAGGATTTTTAATTTAATGCCCAAAAGAGTATTTGCCAGAACAATTATAGCAGTACTTTCACTAAACAGTTGAGGCAATATTGTGAAAGAAAAAAAAAATGAGAGACTTCTATGTGAACAGCAATAAAGATGAAAAGGGAAACCAATAATGTTCTCCTCTAGAACTTCCCTGAACTTTTCTGAGTTGCAGCACTCAGAAGAAACAGGAACTAGGTTTCAATAACAATCACAAACCATTGGAAACATCTTCAATCATCATAGATTTGTTTCTCCTTTCTTTAACTTTGATGAATGTCACCTTTAGTCCAGAAATTCTGGCACGCAGGGAAAGAACGTGGCTGTTTCCTTAGAGCCCACATCCACAGCTGGCCTGTCACACCAGGCCTTGCCCAAAATCCCTCTCTGTGGGATTCACGTTCTCCGAACCTGGGAGAAGCAGTGAGAGAAGCAGAGAAAAGAATGACCAAAGCAATTCTTGTCTCATTTGCTGCTCCTGTGTTGTGGCAAAGCAGAATGCAATGTGGAGATTGTTTACCCAGAGCGAGCGGTTTGGTTTCCTTGGCCTGTCAGGCCCAAGGGTGTGCAGGCTGTGGGTCAGCAGGCAGTCACGAGATTTTGTGCAGTTCCAGTTTAGATGTAGTGTAATACAGTGTAATATAGTATAATAAATTCATTAATTTCCTCCCAGACGTGGCGTCACCTCGATATCCCATCCCTCTCCAGCTCTCCCGGAGCCCCTTCAGGCCCTGGAAGTGGCTCGAAGGTTTGCTGTCACCATGACATATTTTATGAAAATCCTTTCGATAGGATTTTCTCCTGAGAAGCTGAGGAGCCTCAGGAAAGAAACATAAACAATAACTATCTGCTGTGGGATGCAGCGGGTGCATCTTTGATTGGGGCATGTTGGTTGTTCCTAATTAATGGCCAATCACAGTCAGCTGGCTCGGATTCTCTGGGAATCATGAGCTTTTGCTATCATTCCTTTCTATTCTTTTTCAGCTTTCTGATGCATCCTTTCTCCCTATTCTTTTTTTATGAAAATCCTTTCGATAGGATTTTCTCCTGAGAAGCTGAGGAGCCTCAGGAAAGAAACATAAACAATAACTATCTGCTGTGGGATGCAGCGGGTGCATCTTTGATTGGGGCATGTTGGTTGTTCCTAATTAATGGCCAATCACAGTCAGCTGGCTCGGACTCTCTGAGAGTCGTGAGGTTTTGTTATCATTCCTTTCTATTCTTTTTCAGCTTTCTGATGCATCCTTTCTCCCTATTCTTTTTAGTATAGGTTTAGTATAGCATTATGATATGATATAATATAATATAATATGATATGATATGATATGATATAATAATATAATTAATATAATATGGATGAGCACTCACTCTGCCAGCCTGGCTCCAGAGCAGAGCCCTCTGGGCATCTTTGTGACCTCCTCTGGAGCAGAGATGCTTCGTGGCTGGCCACCCAGATTAGCTGTTTAAATAAATTATTGCACACTCTTGATGTCTTCAGTTTTAGTCTTTGTATTTTTGAGATCCATTAGTGCAAAACTCTGAACTCCATGTAAATTGTCAGCTACTGCCTTCACATTTTGGTCAGACAGAACAATTCCTCTGGGTCTGAGATCCAAGGATACCCTACAGCCTCAGGGCCCAAAAAGTCTAAAAAAATAAAAAATTTAAATTTTTAAAAGAAAAAAAAATTAATTTTTAATTAAACAAAATTTAAAAATTTAATTTTTAAAAGAAAATTGCAGGGAGAAGCAAAGTGGGGGAGTAGTCCTTCATTACCTGAAGATGTAATTGGACAATTAACCCCTGATATGCAAATAGACCAAACCTACATCTGTATAAAAAACTTGTGATCATTGTCCATCTTGGCTGTAGCCTCTGGGAGGTTCTTGCACTGCCCAAGGTGTATTTATTGAGGGCCTTTAAAAAATACCCACTTTATTCTCTTAACCTTTTCCAATATATATAATATATATATATATAATATATATATTATATATATATATAAAATAATAAAATAGGTGGGAAATAGGAAGCCTTCTAATAAATCCCTGCTTTATTCTCTAACTCTGTCCAGCCTCTGTTCTAGGCAGCCTCTTCTTCTTTGTCCTCTGAAGCCACCCACACTGCACAGAGCCAGGCAGCCCAGCTGGCAGCACTGGAGGAGTAATTCAGGTGATATTTAAAATATATATAGAGGCTGAAGAGATAAAAATAGGGACAAAGGGGTGAGCATTGCTGTTCACAAGAAGCAGGAACTGTTGAAGTGTCTAAGGGCTGAAAAGGAACATGTAAAAAGTAAGGTGACACCTGTTTATGCAGCCACCCTGCACTGACAGCCTGTGAAATGAGATCTTACAGTAGCAACAGCTAAAAATAGCACTCAGTGTTCTTCCAAAACCTCTCCTTCTATTGAATTAAATAAATGGAAAGCTCTGCAGCTCCTACTCGTTTATCAATATAATAATTATATAATATAAATATATATAATAAAGATAATATATTTATATTATACATATAAATATAACAATGCACTTATTATACATTATATAAAATATATTTATGATTACAAATATAAACATATTTATTTTTATTATTAACTTCTGCTTCATCCAGCCAGTTCTGAATACACCCAAGGCAATGTGTGCATGTTTATCACCCAGAGGGGCTCTCTGGCTGCTTCTGTTCTCTGCCACTGAGAAGAAACAAGACAACTCACTCACAACTCACCCTTGCCCAGCCCAGAGATGGCATCTGTGATCACCACCACCTTGTTCTGCACGGCTGACTTGGACAGCAGCCACCTGACTGACTGGTAAATGTAAATAATTCCACTGATCCCCAAGAGCAGCAATGGCAGAGCAAGGACAGAAAGGATACCCATGGCTGTGGGAAGCAAAAGACCACATGAGAGTACAGCAATCACAATATTCAGTCATTGTTTTTCATTCACATTCATTATTTTTCAATTATCCCAGTGTTTTCTGAGATAGAAAATCTAGTGATCAGCATGCCAAAGCAGCAACTTGAAACAGTAGGAAGGTAATTTTCCAATCAATGGTGTAATATTGTTTTTTAATAAGCAGGGCAATGTTGTTTCTTTGTTTTCCTCATCTTTGTATGATCTGGGTTCCTTTTAGGCAAAATTTCTCTTTTTTAGCTTTGATGAATGTGGCCTTTAGTCCAGAAATTCTGGCATGTAGGAAAAGAATGTGGCTGTTTCCTTAGAGCCCACATCCACAGGATGTGGCAAGACCATAATAAAAAAAAATATATATGTATAAATGTATGGATATTCTATTATGCCTTGAGGCAAAACATGAAATAAACGCTGAACTTTTAATTACATTGCTATTATTAGAAAACAGGGAAAAAGCTTTTAATCCGAATTTCAGCTAAAACTCACAACAGAAGTCATTTCTGTTCCAAAAGACTGAGAAAATGCAATCACTTACCATGGCTATGAAGACTCCAGACACAGACAGAGCATTCTATTGTATTTTGGAAACTTTTGCATTACAGATTTAATGAAGGTCCTTGAGGGTTTCTCAGAGCACTGATCTGTTGGGGCTGCTTGCCCTGAGTGAGAGTGGCTATGTATGGCTGCTGACAGAGGCACTCCAGGGTAAATATAGCCTGCCCAGAGTGATCTGCATGCCTGACCTTCCCACCCCCAAAATCCCCTGGGACAGAATCAATTCACCTGTACAGATTGTGAAAAACACCAATCACTTGGTGTTTAAAAGTTTAAAAGTTTAATAGTATAAAATGGTTATAAAAAGAGTAATAAAAATCGGGACAATTAGGATTGGGACAACATGAGACAATAAAAACAAAGAGTTAGGGACAATCTGGGTACCTTTTCTGGGCAAAATAAGCCTGAAAAAGGATCCACATTAACAGAGGATTAACCCTTAAAAGCAATTTATTGCCCCATTATCAGCAGAAACGAACTTCTTCCCACCTCACTCAGCCCTGAAGAGCTGTCAGCATTCAGAGGAAGAAGCTGACAGTGACCAGACAGAATCCTGCGTTGGAATGGAATTTATGCATCATGTGTGAGGTGTATGAATATGCAACAGGCTGTGGCTTTTAAGGGTTAATCCTCTGTTAATGTGGGTCCCTTTATTGGCTTGTTTTGCCCAGAAAAGGTACCCAGACCGTCCCTAACTCTTTGTGTTTATTGCCTCGTATTGTCCTAAATCCTAATTGTCCCAATTTTTATTACTCTAATTATATTGCTATTTTTATAACCATTTCATTACTATTAAACATTTAAAATTTTAAAAACAAGTGATTGGCGTTTTTCACACAGCTAAAAAAGCCATGAATGACAGATAGAAATAAATACATTTTTCAATGCAAAATGGTCACAGTGTGCTGTAATTTACATCACTTTCTGCAAGCAAATCTAAAAACATTGAGTCGTGCCAGGCCACCTGCAGCAACAGAGAGGAAATCCAATTTTTCATCATTCCTAAAGCCCCAGCTACCTTCTCTTACTTTTAAAGCATCAGCTTTTAATAAACAAATGAGCAGTTCCCTATCAGCAACTGAGCCAGTTTGTTCCTTTTATGGAACATGATGTGTTATTTGTTTAATTCACTCAGGGCTCTGGAAACATTTTTCCTGGAAAGTTGAAACATTTAAAAAAAAAAAAAAAAAAAGCAACACACACTAGAGATGGAGCACTTATATGAGTTCCAAGTGATTTGCTTCCAAATGAACTAGAATAAAGGTAGAAGAAAAGTAAAAAAGCAAACTAGGGAAAAGTCAATTGAAATAAGTAGATAGCCCACAGTGTGTAAGAGTGTAAAGATAAAATGCTATCTTGTCCATAATGAAAAATTGCAAAGGAAAACTGCCGGTGTCATCTGGGAAAATACAGATATGCAGTGACTGCATTAAGCCAAGCACCCAGATCTTGTGAAGCACAGAAATCTGAGTCAGAAACACCCGAGAAATGTGTTGTGCACTGCCACCTTCAGAGCACCACGGGAACAGCCACGGGAACAACGGTATTTAAAATTCTTCTAGAGGGTGACGCCTTGAGAAGGCTGACCTAGAGCAGAGGCTGGGCAGAGTTACAGAATAAAGTAGGGATTTACTGAAAGGATCTCCTCAGTGGATCCACCTTGGGCAGCACAACATGGACCAAAATGGTCACAAAATGCACGACCGGCCACGAGGTCTCTCACTTTTATAAGTTCTGCTCCATTCTTTTATTGGAGTTCATTGTTCAATTCCGGCTTCATGTTATTTAGTCCCACCCTTAGTGTTTTTCTCTCTTTATTTCACATTTTTGTGCTCCCGGGCCTGCTGGAGCCGGCACTTCCGGGTGCGGTCACGTGGGCGGCGCGTCATGTGACCTGCGGCGCTGCGGGCCGGAGGTGGGAGCGGGCCGGGGGAGCTGCTGTGGGGCTGTGGGGTCACTGTGGGGCTGTGAGACCCTTCTGTGGGGATGTGGGGTCACTGTGGGGATGTGAGACCCTGCTGTGGGGCTGCGAGACCCCGCTGTGGGTACGTGGGGTCACTCCCGGGGCCGCGGGAGCCCCCGGGATCGCTGGGGGGGCTAGAGGGGTCTGAGCCCAGGGGATCGGGAGGGGGTCCGCAGGGCCAAGGCCGGGTGTCCCCCTCCCCTGACGCACCCGTGTCCCCTCCAGGCCATGGCCGCCCCCCGCCCTCCCCGGGTGGTGCCGGGCGAAGCCTCCGAGAGCGACTCGGAGCCGGAGCTGCTGGTGGAGACAGCCGGGGAGGCCCTCGGGGCCGGGCTGAAGGTGCCGGGCGAAGCCTCGGAGACGGACGAGGAGGAGGAGGAGGAGGAGGAGCAGCAGAGGCCGAAGACGCCGCCGGTGCTGGCGGAGGAGCCGGCGGCCGTGTGGGGGGGCGGCCCCTCGCTGCTGCAGCAGCGGCTGCGGGAGGGGACGGGGCGGCTGCGGGGGGCGGTGGGCAGCGCCCTGCGGCAGAGCTACGGCAGCGCCGCCCGGAGCCTGGGCGGGCTCGGGGGAGCGCTGGGCCGGGCGCAGGTCACCGCGGCCGCGGCAGCGCACTGCCTGCGCCTGGCCCGCCGCGACCTGCGCGCCGTGGCCGACACCATCGACATCGTCACAGCGTGTCACCTCCTGCCCGACATCCGCGGGCAGCTCTGACCGGCACAGCCGGCACATCCCCGCTGCGGCTGGCACCAGCGGCGGCACCAACGCGTGGCGGACATGTAGCAGCACTGCTTCCTTCCCTCGGCATCGACAGTATCGCATCTGCCACGGCGGGGTCACGGCCGGCAGGATCAGCGCTGCTGAGGGTGGAGTTCCGACATGGAGTTATGTTTGCAGCAGCCCACACTGACCCTGAAGACCTCCTCACCACGGTGGCATCGTCACCAGTGTACCACAGTGACACCAAACAGTGGCTTTGGCACAGAGACTGCCAGCCTGGTGCCCCAGGACCTGCATGTGCTGGTGACATCTTCACTGCTGGGCCCCTGGCCAGCTGCCACCATCCCTGAACTGCAGCTTGGTGCTGGCTCACCACCATTGTCCCCGAATGCCACTGTTTTATGTGTCATGGAACTGAATAAAGTTGGTGATGTCAGAGCCATAGTGGGGAGATCAGCCAGCACTGTGAGGACCGTAGTGCTACAGGAGCAGGGACAGTGTAGGGTGACATGGGTGCTGGTGTCACATTGCAGTGGCATTTGAATTCACTGGTGGCCCAGGGGAAGAGGTTGGTGGCCTGGGCTGTATCCCACATGTCCCCAAGCAGTGGTACTGTCACATTTTGTGATGTCCCTGGTGCCCCCAGCCCTAACACTGTATCCCTCCTGGGACACACTGTCCTTGCCCCATCCCAAGGAGGACACACTCTGGGGCCAAACAAAGGTTTATTTGGGGGGACACTTGTACCACACCACCACTGTCACCCCCTGTGGACACAGGGAGAGGTGTGTGTCCCTGGAGGGGTCACATGTGGGTGTTCAGGCTGTCCATGTACTCCTGCAGAGCCTGCAGCCGGGCATCGATCTCAGCCAGTTCAGCTGAGGGCTCCTTGGAGCAGTTCTCTGGAGGCAGTGCAGGAAAAAAGGGTTAACAAAGGTCTGGGTTAGGGTATCCCTCAAATATCTAGGGGCTCAGATGGGGCCTCACCTTTACCAGGGCGCTTGCCAGCAGTCCTGCACACTGGCAGCTTGTGGCTGGCAGCTGGGCGAGGCACCTGGGGGGGAGGGTGGGGGTCACCAGTGACCTCCTGGTCACCCTGCTTTGGGATGGAGGGGTGGGGGAACCCCAAAGGGGCAGCCACTCACCACACAGGGGCCATTGCAGAACGAGGTGCTCAGGGGTCCCCGTGAACGGGTCACTCTCCTGTCCCTGCCCAAGGAGGGGGGTTACAGGGTGCTGGAAGGGATGCCCACCCATCCTGCCCAACCCCAGCATTACCTGCAGGGCTCGGGGGCTTTGCTGCCAGGGCTCTCTCCCCGGCGCCAGCTCTGGGAGCTGTCAGCTGCAGGGAGAAATGGGGATGGGGAAGCTGAGGAAGGAGCCCCAGCACGCAGTGGGTGCACCCCCAGCCCTCCTCCCGTTCCCCACTCACCAGACGAGCTGCGCCTGTGGCTCCTCGCCGGGCTGCTGCTGCCAGAAGCCACTCCACGCCGCTGGCTGCGCCCAAGGGAGATGGTGATAAGGGGGAATGTGGGGCTGAAGGGGGGAGGAGACCCCCCAGGTACCAGGGAGGGATGCTGATGGAGGGAGCTGTCAGCATCGCTTACTTTCTGAGCTCAGCCTCCTTCTGCCGGCGCTGCCGGGCCCTGACAAAGGCAGTGGGGTCGAAGCGTGGTGGGCGGGAGCCTGGCAGGGGGAGGCAGAGGGGTCAGGGTGAGGAGGGGGTGAGCCGTGTCCTGTCTCCACTCCTGGCTGTGTGTCCCCAAGTGTCCCACACCTGCAGGTGACAGGGACTTTGGCGAGGGGTGGCCCTGGCTGCTCCTGTGGCTCTCCAGGGATGCTGAGCGTCGCTCCTGAGTGCGTGGGGCCGGGCTGGCAGATTTCTGGCGGCTGCCAAGAGAACCAGCACCATCAGGGGTGGACAGAGAAACACCCCACGGTCATGAGGGCTCCCCTGCAGGCTTCACCCCGGCCTCACCCCCTCCTGCAGGAGGCCAGTTCAGCTGTCAGGTTCTTCACCCGCAGCTGCAGCTTCTGCTCTGACGCCTTTGCCTGGGCCAGCTGCGAGGGGGGAAAAAAAGGCTCACTGTGCATCTGGCAGCCCGCGTCCCTCCCCAGAGCAGCTCCCACCCTCCCAGCCCACCTCTGCCGCCAGCTGCCGGTACTCGCGCTGGTGCCGGCTCTCTGCTGCCCGCTTCTCCTCCAGCGCCTGCCACAGCCTGGGGGGGAATGGCAGGGGGTGCTCTGGGGGTTCCCTCCTCACCCTGAGAGACAGGAACCCCCAAACCCCTCCGGGTGTCACCGGCCCCACTCACGCATCCCGCAAGCGCTGGGTCTCCTCCAGGCGCCGTGCCCGGAGCTGCCCCAGCTGCTCCTGCAGCTCCCGCACCAGCGCCACGAGGTCCGGCCGACCCGCGTAGGGCAGCGGCAGCGGGTAATGGATCCTG